GTGCTAAGGTCATAAATGTTAAAGATTCAGGAACTATTTTAGATGAAAGAAATGAAATAGATATGACAACCATCTGTAACATGTATTTCTGATCCTAGATCTTGACTGGGGTGGTGTTTTTTCTTTCCTATGAGACAACAGTGGGACAACTGGAAAATTTTGAATAATTACCTAATTATAATAATTATTATAACGATTTTATAGGAGAATGTCCTCATTTTTAGGAAATTCACACTTAAGTGTTTAGGGGAAAAAGCATTATGCCTGCAACTCTGAACAGTTCAGAGAAAAGATACTACCAGACAGAGCTAAAGCAAACTTGGTATAATTTTAACATTTGGGAAGGTATATAAAAATTGTACTGTTTCTGCAACTTTCATATAAGATTAATTTTTTTCAAAATAAAGTTAAAATAAAATATATATAGACAAGTCAAAGTCCTCTAACAAATGTGGAAAGGAACTAAAGCATAAACAAGTGTACTTACACCACAAACTGACAAGTCACTATATTTAAGTGCATGAAATTACCTTTCCATTTAAATGTGTGATAACATTTTCAAGTGGAAAGAACAACTTTAATATTATAAAAACTATGCATAAGCTAACATGATTCTACATAAAATATTATAGCAATGTTCCCTGGGTACATGTTTGTCTTCTCCCACAGGCCATAAGCCCCAGAGAATTAAATCTGATTACCTGTGAGGCCCCAAAATTTAGGTACTCAACAAATGTTTACAGAAATGAACTCAAACAAACTACATAGATTATCCCTATCTAGCTAATAAATTTGTTATAATCAACTCTAAAATCCCATTCTGGTTATTAAAGTTGCAGGGATATGGATTTGTGACAATGGTTCTCAGACTAAACCAGGCAACAGAACCTTCCACATACAAGAGTACTAAATCCAAGTCAGACTGTAGAGAACCGGTTTACAAGAGACTGGAGAGCTGGGAGCATGCGAGTTTAGAGCCGCATGGACAATGATTCTGTTTTCTCTGCCTGAGAAGGCTGTAGTCTTCAAGAAGGGAAGCCCAGTATTTACAGCATCACTCTTAAAAAACAGGGCCTTGGGGGCGCCTGCGTGGCCCAGTTGGTTGAGCGGCCAGCTCTTGATTTCAGCTCAGATCACGATCACAGGATCCTGGGATAGAGACCGGTGTCCAGCTCCATGCTCAGCGGGGAGTCTGCTTGAGGATTCTTTCTCTCTCTTCCTCTCCCTCTGCCCCAACCCCCACTCGTGTGCACGTGTGCTCTCTCTCTCTCAAATAAATAAATCTTTAGAAAAGCAAAAAACAGTACTTTGATGCACACCAGGACTGATACACCAAAAAGTCAGTTCTCATTGCAGTAGGAGCCAGCGTTTCAGGCCCCTAAAGTGTTGGGTGCTGAGGGAAACTGCACTGAAGTCAGGCTCCTTCTCTTCCCCTGCTCCTGGGGACTGCCCACATCCACCACACTTCTGTATCATCCTACAAAACTTAAGACCTGATTTTTAACTTTATTTACTTAGCAATATCATTATGCACTAGCAAAGACTAATGAAGCACTATCATGTCTGGGATGGGGGCTGAGAGAAACATTTAAGAAATATATGAAAAATATGGTCACATACATTCTACACAGACAGATTAAGTTAATTGGTAAGAAGTATGGCAAGGCAGGGGCGCCTGGATGGCTCAGGTGATTAAGCGTCTGCCTATGGCTCAGGTCATGATTTCAGGGTCCTGGATCGAGCCCCACATCGGGCTCTCTACTCGGCTGGGAGTCTGCTTCTACCTCTCCCTCTCCCTCTGTGCTTTCCCTCTCTCTCACTCTCTCTCTCTCAAATAAATAAAATCTTAAAAAAAAAAGAGAGAAACAAAGTAAGGCAATAAAGTTAGTACATGAAAAAGAACCTAAATTATTGATATATATATTAAATGCTGTGTCTGATTAAAGAAAGTTAAAATGGATTATATGGTTTACTGAGAGTATGTTTTAATAAATACTTTTAAAATTAAAATGTTTTAAGTGATTTATGCCTCACCTTGTTCCAGAAAAGATTTAAGGACTATTACAAGGAAAGGTAAATTATAACATGATAGTGAAAGTATAGCAGGAATGAAAGAAAGAAAAAGAAAGGTATGAAAATATCAGAACCAGGAATAAAGCCAAAAAACAATATACCAGATAAGCCACATTTGATAGGAAGGCTCTAAACTTTCTAGCAGTCAGCAATAAAAGGAAAACCAACCAGTTACATAATTTATATATGCAAATTATCACCACTCAGAAGTACAACAATTCCAGAAGTGACATGAAATAGGAATTTATTCTGGGTGTGTAGGAAAAGAATTTGGAAAGGGGCAGTAATCACAAAAAGAATACTGCAGAATGCCCAGTGGAACAATAGTACAGAGCGTATCAACTTAGACTTCAGGCATCAAAACAAAGTGGAAAGCAGTAAAAGCAATTCTTTTTGTAAAACATAATTAATGAAATATCTACCTCAACCAAATTAACATATTTACAATGCTTCTAGATACTGGTGCTGCTTCCTGCTCTATCCTCAAAATACTGTGAAATATACATAAAGACAAGCGAATATAACATTTTTTTGAATAAGATTATTATTCATCATTCTACCAAAGACAGTTTTAAGTTTTAGAATACTGGATTTGTAGCACCTTCTTTCTAGATGTAATAGAATGGCAAAGGTCACAACCTCTTGGAGATTATAAAAGTCCACTGAAGTATTTGAAGACTATTTTGCTCCCTTCTTGGAACAGCTGTCTTCACTTTGGGATTTAAAGTACCACTAAACTTTTTTTAAAAATGGGGGACAGGGGCGCGTGGGTGGCTAAGTCGGTTAAGCGGCTGCCTTCGGCTCAGGTCATGATCCCAGGGTCCTGGGATTGAGCCCCACATCAGGCTCCCTGCTCAGTGGAGAGTCTGCTGCTCCCTCTCCCTCTGCCTGCCTCTCTGCCTACTTGTGCTCTCTCTCTCTCTGTCAAATAAATAAATAAAATATTTAAAAAAAAAAACGGGGGCTACCAACTCTTCATAGTGCTAAGGACACTTAAAAACCAAAAATAATGACCAAAAAAAACCAGATCAAAAAAAAAGAGAGGAAGAAAATCAGAGCTTATTAAAAACAAAAAAACAAGCTTATTTTTCTAATTTTGCTTAAGACTAGCAAAAGTTTCATCATCAAATACTATTTTGAATTAGAGCAGCTCTCAAAAATTGATTCTGGCCATAATAAGCAAGGCAAAAGACTCCAAAAGCTCATTTAAAGCACTATTTTCAGGCGTCTGGGTGGCTCAGTCAGTTAAGTGTCTGCCTTCGGCTCAGGTCATGATCCTGGGGTCCTGGAATCAAGCCCCACATCAGGTTCTCTGCTCAGCGGAGAGCCTGCTTCTCCCTCTCCCTCTGTCTGCTGCTCCCCCTGCTTGTGATCCCTCTCTCTCTCTGTCTCCCTGTCAAATAAATAAAATCTTTAAAAAAAAAAAAAAAAAAAAGGACTATTTTCAACTTTTTAGTAGAAAATTAATTCTATGGCAAAGAAGTGGAGAATAATAAAACCAAAAGCTGCAGTAAGCATGTCACTAGCAACAAAAAGGAACTGTATACTATTTAACTTGTAAGAGAAAAACATGAACATCTATGCATGCTTCTATATTATAACAAAATGTCATAAGAGCTTTAATAGAGCCCAGAAGTAGTATTACTCTTGCTTTTATATATTTATTTCAACAATAAAAAATTCATCGGCATTACATTACCAAGCATATAAAACACAAGTGTCACTAGTTTAACAATGGGACTAGAGATGATTTGAGTATTTGAGCCCAAAACAACACATTTTAAAATCTAGTTATTGTATAACAAGCATCAAAACTACTACACCATTAACATAAATATTAATCCTGTGTATTCCTTCCAGTTTTGTCTCCTATGGTTTTATTACAATGCAGACTATGAATAAGCAACCATTATCAGAAGAAAATGTGATACAAATTAGAGGAACAAGTAGAAAAGTGGCCTAGGATTTTCCATAACTAGCAGAGTTAAGCTGGATGTGTCAGGTGTGGAAAACTGAGCCTTCCAAGAGTTAAATGAGATGTGGGCCTTGACCTGGACCCATGCTTCAGGTCACTGCCTAAAAAGCTGCCCTCACTGCGGGTGCAAGTGGATCTAGCAATTCCTCCAAAGATATATTCTAATGGAAAATTTAAAAGAGACCTTGGATTTGTCTAGGATCCTGGAGAGTGAGATGCAACAGTATGATTAGTAAACACACACAGAGAAAGAGCGTATCTTATCTCCCCAATGACAGCACTTTTCTATTCTCCAAATCATCTAAAAAGCAGCAGGCTATAAAAAAGTTAGGTACTACCAGACTTGATTTTCAGAACAAAAAATTAATACAGTAAAAACCAAAGAAAGATAACTTATGACCTTAACTGCGCTAATCCAGAAAAGGAAAAAATACATTAACATTAATGCATTCTTAACCATAAACAAATTTATGTATTATTATTAAATTAGAGAGGCAGTATAATGAGTGGGTAAGAGAGACTAGCTAGACTCAAAGCAAAGGTGTGAATCAGGGCAAACTATTTAAACCTTCTGTGCTAAATTTCTTTAATCTACAAAATGAAAATAATTAGTGGTTCAGAATTCAAACAATTACACAAGTTAATTATTAAGTTAAATATTGTTAGGCTCCTAGAAGAGTGCATAATAAACACTGTATTAGCTATTATTATTTCTGTACATGGTAAACACCATATTAGCTATTATTTCTGCTCAAAATTATCTTTAACATTACAGAGAAAAATTTGTAAATCTGATCAAGTATAAGAAAATTTCCACATTCTCTTTTAAGAGATATTGTTGCCATAGTTTCAACAATAATGACAGATATATATTTATATATATATACATGCTGAAACTTTATCAGTTAATCTCAAATATCTACTAGCTTGATAACTGTTTAAAGTCACCCACCTGCCAGGTATAATCCTTTATAATTACTGAAGGCATTGGAATTACAAGGAGATTCTGAAGAATAAATGCAGCCTTAAAAAAAAAAAAAAAAGAAAATGTCAATACTGCCACCTTGTTGTCATCTCTGAAATAACCAATATATTGAAATTTAATAATAAAAAACGTATCACTGGGCAACTGCACAAGCTGAGACATCAATATGAGAGCTCATTGCTTGTTATATGATGACCTAACAGTGGGTGAAATTATTTCATCAGGAAATAGACTTTTCCCCATTTCAGAATTTTATTTTTCCAAAAAAATGATCTATAAAATATAAAATATAAACTGTTCTGGTAGCAGTTAAGAAATACACTTTCATGTTTCTATTATTATACACACACACACACACACACACACACACACCCTTCTCTTTCTCTCCCTCATACAAGCTCCTCTCAATAAAAAAGTCCTAACTAAAAATACAAACCACAAACGTCCAACTTTATCTTCCACGTCCTGAAGATGGTCAAATTAAATAATCTTAGTAGTATGAACACTGGTCATCTATATAGTGAAGATGACTATATGAGGGTGAATAACAGGGGTAATGGAGGGGATCCAAGAGAGTGAAATTTTCAACCATCTTAAGTCAGTAGATATCTTTAAAAATTGGTAAATCAAGAGGAAGCTACAAGTTTAAGCATTACTATTAAAAAACAAATAACAAGAAAATAACAGCATTTGGATTTTGGAACCGAATACTGGCAAATGGTGGGCCCTGGAGCTGCTGCTTCCTCCATAAGCCTCTAATCACTATTTCATTACTGTTTTTAAAAATATTTGCATCAATCATCATTTCAGGAAAAGCAGCAACGAAAGAAAACCACAAATTATTTAGAAAGATTTAAAGTAGGGTTTATTTTTCCTCTTAGGTCACAGGGTAACTACTACAGAGTATTCTGACAGCCACTCGTCCCAAGTAAAGCTTTATGGATATTACTCATATACACTGAGGTAACAGAAAAGGAATTTTTTTCTGTGAACTACCTTTCAATGTGTAATTATATAGAAGAGTTTGTATAAAATATAGCAAATTCAGCTTTGATTTTGTCAAAATAAAGGACTCCAGTATTTACTGTGAATTAGTATCTTTTTTATTCTCTGATATCATTTTATTTGGGTGTTTTTGCAGGCAGAAAAGATCATGGTGGGTGATCAGTCCACAGTGCTGAAAAGAGAGTATGATTTTTAAAGACCATCACAACGAATTTCTACGGTTGAAAGGGGAGGAAGTGCTAAAGGGACAGCCGTACCTCCCGGCGCACCATACTACATTCCGACTGGTCCAGAAGAATGTTCACCACCGTTCCCCAGAGCCCACCAGAAATGTTTTGACAACTGTTTGACAATGCCATACAACCAGTTTCAAGGGTGGTCAGTGCTGATCCTAATCCCAGCGAAGTAAACCTCACCTGTTCAGATTAAAGAAAAGTTGTCAAATCAAAGAATCCAATTCCGTAACATGGATGATTCTTAATTTTTCTGGTACATAAGAGATCATACTTTTATGACACTGATGATCCTAAATTATAAAAGGCACTTACAGAAAATAGTGCCCTATAAATTTATATATGAATAAAAATCCTATTCCACAATTCAAACAAGCAAATGTCACAGAAAATTAAATCCAGGTATAAATAAGAATAAAAATTATAACTCACAAACCTCTTTCTAGAGAAAGCATCGGGTGCTTACATATCTTTTATGAACATGATTCCTGTTTATTCCTCATTTTTAAAGAGCTTATCTATTATTTTGTTCTACCATTCTTAAGTTATTAGTGTTTCCTCCAACTGACTTAACTTTTTTGAAACTTCTTTTCAAAAAGAAATAACTATCTTTTTATAAAGCATTTAGTATTTTCTCCAAAATTACTGTAAAAGAAGAATGTTTCAAGTAAGACTGATGAGGTATAATACGTTTACCATAGTCCCACTGCTGCTCAAGCTATGCATTTTGGTTCACTTCTGAATTCTGATTCTAAAAGTTTCACTGATAGCTACAGGTTTACAAAAAATAATGTAGTCATAACATAGTCAAGCAACAAGTCCAAGTTCAATGTGTACAAAGAAGGGAACCTCTAGGTTCAGATCAAATAGCGTTTCTAAAAATCAAGGTTTTTAGTGGAATAGAATATAATCATTGCTTGCTTGAATTTAACGGATGGTGCCCACAGTTAACAGTACTGTATTATATACTTAAAAATTTGCTAAGAGGATGAATCTTATGTTCAGTATTCTAATCACAAAAATAAACAATAAAGAGGACAGGAGGAAACTTTTGTAGGTGAAAGATATGTTTACAACACTGATTGTGGTAATGATTTCAGGGGTGTACACTTATCTCCAAATTCCTGAACCTGTACACATTAAATCATACCTCATGTCAATCATGTCAATCATGTCAATCATACCTCAATAAAGTGGTTTTTAAGAAAAGAGGTAAGTGGACAAATGGCTAAAACTGGAAATTTTATTAATATAAAATTTTGCACTGCAATGGTATTATTGTATTAAATGACACACTAATGTCATTTCGCAGCTATCCTTCTAAACTCATTGAAAATGGCTAGGTTTCTCCATTAATTTTTCACTCTTCTTTCTAAAAGTGAAAGATTCTATGATCCTTTCTTTTTTTCTATTTTTTAGTCTGTACTTTAATGAGTTTGACTGAAAAGGGTCTGCTATGAACTGAACTGTATCCCCTCTAAATTGGTATGTTGAAGCCCTAACCCCCAATGTACCTGAATTTGACGACAGAGCTTTTAGAAGGTAATTAAGGTTAAATGAGGTCTTAAGGGTAGGGTCCTAATCTGATGGGATTGGTGGCCTTATAAGAGGAGGAAGAAAGGAAAGGTCACTGAGTGCAGAGTAAGAAGGCAGCTGTCTGAAAGCCAGAAAGGAGAGCCCTCACCATGTCAACCATGCTGACACCTTAATCTCAGATTTCCAGCTTCCAGAACTATGAGAAAATAAATTTCTGTGTTTCAAGTCACCTATGTTATGTGTTATGGCAGCCCAAACTAAGACAGGGAGTAAACAGCTTAAGGTATAAGTACTAAAATAATCTCAGTGTGGAAAATATGAATTCACATATATGCATACAGATTTTGTTTCATTTGTTTTTAATCCCACATAATGGACTCGACTTTCCCTCACACTGACCTCTGGGTCTCGATCAACCCATAATGGAATCAACCAAGCCAGTCCTTGTTGAGTACGAGCATGCTCTTCACTGTGAGTACCCAAAGGCAAGAACCAAAGTGACATCCACTCCTAGAATGAAAAAAAGGGAAGAGACACATTAGGTAAGCTTCTAAGAATAAAACAGAGGAAGTTTAAATAACTGAATTTTTAAAAATCAAAACAAAGTTAAAATGTACTTAAGACTTGGCTTTCATTCGGTATTTAACCAAAACAAGGCAAAAAAAAAAAAAAAATCTCAGCTTCTTCTTAGAAAGTTAAACAAAATAATTTTTCTTTAGAACTATTCCCTGCATGATTTAGACAAAATGTAGTTCTCTACAGCACGCACATTTCAATCAAATTTCAAATAAAACTCAGATTTGTGTAATATACAACTTCTAAGAAACATCTCAGTCAAAAAATCATTTTTGTCTAAGAAGAAAAGTCAAAAGAAACATTTTTAAATAGGCCTGAGATGTGTGAGACACAGCACATTCCTTGTCTAGCATGCGTTCAGAAGACAGCAGCTTTTAATGCTCTCACCGAGCTCTGGGCCTGGATCATCATCTCGTGGGATAAGTGAAGCAAGCAAAGAACTGTGCTCTTTGTGACGCCTTTTCCCATAAAGGACATAGCATTTCCTCCACGCTCCACATAAAAAGAAGTAATGACCTGAGAAAACAAGGATAAACAATATCATGGTGGCTTTACTCTGAGTGGTATATAAAAATAAACATTTAACTTTCTACTAACTTGTCTGATTTGAATCCTAACCACATAAAGTATATGTAACATTCTTATAGTATACACATTTCAAAATGGTTAAGATGGTATATTTTAGGTTGCTACCACAATTAAATATTGTTAGTTTAAAATTTTCTCTCTTTGGAACTTGTACAAAGGTATGTAGTATCCTCCTAGGAGACTTTTGTGATGTAGAATATGCTCATACATTTTTTAAATGTTATAGTATCCTTTAAGTAAAAGAGCTTATAAATATCTTATTGAAAACTATACTTAGAAATTGCTACTTATCTAAAACTCTATTGGGGTGCCTGGGTGGCTCAATCGGTTAAGTGACCAACTCTTGATTTCTGCTCAGGTTACTGTCTTAGGGTAGTGAGATTGAGCCCAGCATCAGGCTCTGCACTGTGCGTGGAGGCTGCTTAAGATTCTCTCTTTCCCTCTGCCCCTCCTCCCCAAATCATGGGCTCTCTAAAAAAAATAATTTTTAAAAAATTTTAAAAACTTATCTGACCAATACAATAAAAAGTATTTCAGTTCATTCACCCAAGGCCTCTGAATGCTTTTATTCATCACAGCATCCTTTGAAGTAAGTCATTTTGTCTTAAAATAGAGACTACTTTCTAGTTTTGATTTTTTTCAGTTCATACAGCAGATGATTTTATTTTATTTATTTTTTTTTTTTAAAGATTTTATTTATTTATTTGACAGAGAGAGACATAGTGAGAGCAGGAACACAAGCAGGGGGAGTGGGAGAGGGAGAAGCAGGCTTCCCGCGGAGCAGGGAGCCCGATGTGGGACTCGATCCCAGGACCCTGGAATCATGACCTGAGCTGAAGGCAGACGCTTAACGACTGAGCCACCCAGGCGCCCCAGCAGATGATTTTAAAAAGACCATAAATCATAAATGTTTGGTACAGCTTATTTAACAAAAAGAAATTTATTTGAAGATGATTTGGGATCTGTGAGCTACGTCAGAATTTTCATAAACCAAATAAGTGTATATTATGTCTGAAAAATAAAACGAGACTGTCCAGGAGTTAAAAACTCTAAGTGGTGGGCTCTGCTCTACTACTCCCTCCTCAGGTGTATATTTGAAATTTTTCATAATTAAAAGTTTAAAACTTTAAGGGACTATCTTAGAAATAAGATACCAGAATGACCAAGTCCTTATTATTCTACTCTAAGTCACTGGAGATAACTACATTGTAGTTTCATGCCTAGCTGATAAAGGACAAGCCAAGAATTTCAATGCTATCTCCTTTCAATCAGACCTTTTTGTCAGATCCATGGAATTATATTCTGTATGTCTGATTTTAAGGATTTTAATTATCACAGTTTATTCACCTGTCATAATGTATCATGCTTAGTTTAAAAGCCTCATTTCTCAACCACAAAAAGCAAATATTCCCATTCAAATTTCACTGGGCAAAAACAAAATACCTCTATTAGAAACACGGCTCCCTTCTGAAAAGGAATCAGCTTTAATGAGAAACTATACAGCAAGTCCTCTGGACCAACAATGACTTTGTTTCAATGTGTATTCACATAAGCCTTACTTCATTCTTTAAAAAAATACACTTAACCAGTAGTAAAATAAATAAATCTAAATGTTTACTAATTATGTAATTATGCAAAAGGTCCCAAGTAAGATTTAATGGGACTCTGCCACAGTGTCTAACAAAAGTGACATATATCTTCATATTATTTTCCTGTCACTTAATGTAAAGACAAAAAGATTTTCTTCCCAAGACACTGTATAAAGCATGAAATGTGTTTATACCAAATCATGATTTGTTAATCAGTGGAACATTATAAAACAGGGATTGTACGTCTTAATCTATTCCTTAGCTAATACATTGTGTTGATTTTTATCACCTCAAAGACAAGTGAACTTAGAATGACATTACTGCCTTTTTGCCTCAACTTCTCACAGAACTAAGAAGCCCTTTTGTTCTCCAACACCGAGAAAGCTCATTTTAATTTCTGGTATTTGAAACATGAGGTGTGATCTGAAATCTCTCCTCTTACACAATTTTAAAAATACAAGCACTCCGGATAGTTTCCAAATATAAACAATGTTAGCACTAGCTTCTTTAGTCACTGTTGTAGCAGACCTACACATATCCCTTATCTGAAACAGATAAAAGTCACTTCACAGAGGAGATGGGTTCTAAAAGGTTTATAAATGGAGTATATACAAATCACATTAGACATAATGCTGTAAATTAGGTACTTTATACTGAATTATATTTTAAATGCATTAGAGGATCTGACTTTTTAAAAAATATTATGGTAAGACCTCTAAGCTAACATAACTTTTCTAAAAATGCATACATTTCTGGACATGTTGAAGTTTGGGAGTAATTAATATACTGTCAGTGTGTACTTTTTCAGTATTTATAATTATCCAAGAAAAAAATTTATTTGATTAAAATCGCTACACTAAAATTCATATTAAATTTTATAGTACACCTAATAGTATTTAGGATTTTGAAAACTTTTTAACAAAATAAGATGTACTTTTGGGAAAAATTCTAGGTAACATCATCTGAAACATGGTTTACAGCTGAATATACATCACCTAAAGCATGATTTAATAATAAAAGCACAAAAATTAAACACACATCATCACTTACATTCATTTATATCACATTTTCAATATTAATTCAAACTGTACTCTAAAAATCACACATAAGATACATATAAATTAAATTACTATTTCTCCAATATGTACAAATCACTATGTTAGGATAAAGGGGAACTATGGGAAGGTGGAAATGATCCAATGATGAGTCTCACAAGCTTACAGTCTAACGGATAAACACATAAAACAAAATAGAAATACAATGTCTTAAGCACCATAATAGTGGCCCATACAAACTGCTGCAGGTACACAACCAAAGAGACCAGTCAGTCACTCTTTACTGAGTGTGCATGTATAGAAGATAAGACTTCCTTAAGGAAGGTAAATGAGTAAGTGAGATCTTAAACTTTGTGTACAGACTGCCACCCGAAAAAGAGAAGAAATTATATGAATAGACTTTTAAAATAAACTTTTTTATTTAGTGAAAAGAGCCAAATAAAACGGAAACTTCAGAGACATGGGAATAAATTAAAAGAGATATAAGATTTAAAATGCAAGATTACAAAGAGCCATATGCACTTGAAAGAGCTTTGGGCTGAAAGGCTTCTGTTTTTAAAGGATAATCTGGTGGTAGGTAGATGGCTGGACAACAAGTAGGAGTGTGTGGCAGGAAAAGGAACAGGAAGTGATGGATACAAATTGGTCAGAATATCCCATGTCTAGAATGCCCATCACTATCGATCAGATCATTCATCTTTCAAAATCTATCTCTACACTGCCTCCTCTAAGAGACTTTCCTGATATCCTAAAAGTTAAAGATCCCAACCTCTGACTATCATTCAAACTCGGGATATCACTGAAACTTTCAAGACAAGCAATGCTGATAGATTTGGTCAATAAGGAAACAATGAGCCATTTTTTAGATTCAGACAGTTTATTAGTTACATAAACAGCAAAAGCATTAGTAGCCAAAGGTGCCAGCTCCCAGTCCTTACAGGGTGACACTGAAATAGAGGGGCCAGATGATAGCAACGCGGATAGTAGGATACTCTGTTATGGAGGAGCTCATGCCCCGCTGCAGCTAAGCTGCTCATGGCCTGCAGCTGTAGCCCAAGGGAACTGAGGCAGAAAGCCCACTCATCAAAACCCAGGAGGCAATAAGAAATAGGTTCATGACAGACATCCCTATAGAGAACAAAGCAAGTAAGAAACAGTCTTGTAGCAGGTCCTCACAAGCCTCCCATGTTCTCATGATCCAGAAAGATCACAGGAACTTTTTCAAGACTTAGATCAGCTATGATTAAGCCTTCCCTCTGTGGACTACATGCATAAATGCAAGGCTGGGAGGGAACCCTGGTGAAGCTCTTCTCTTACAGAACTAGGTATAGCTACATCATTGCTATATTTATTACATCATACTGAAACTATACTGACCTAAATGATAAAAATGGGACATATCATAATGTGTTAAATAAAGTTAAGGCCATGCTTATTAGAAGGTAATGACAGGTAAAAATACTTGAAAAAAAGTTTTTTAAAAAATCAATGAAATAAGACTCTATCTTAAAATACTGGGAAAAAAGGGGGGTACCTGGGTGGCACAGTTGGTTAAGCGACCAACTCTTGGTTTCCCTCAGGTCATGATCTCAGGGTTGTGTGACTGAGCATTGCATCAGGCTCCGCCCTCAGCACAGAGTTTGCTTGGGACTCTCCCTCTCTCTCTCTCTATCTGCCCCTCCCCCTCTCTAAAATAAATAATTTTTTAATTAAAAATTTTTTCAGAAAAAGAGCCATATATTAAACCCAAAGGAGAAAGAAATAAGGATAAGCAAAAATTAATAAAATGGTGAAAAACATTAAAGGGAGTATCAACAAAACCAAAATTCATTCTTTGAAAAGAATGATAACAATAAAACATACAAACCTACCAGTAAGACTAATCAAGAAAACTAGAGGGAAGGAGTAATACCTGGAATGAAACGAGACCTCACTGTCAACCTGACATACATGTAAAGAATGAGCTGCATTGATGGATAATTTTAGAGCTATGAATTCAAAAATTAGATGAAATTCTAGAAAAACATACCTTACTGACACAAAAAATTAAAAATCTCAGAATTCTAGATTTAAATTCATTTCATTTCGTTCAATTAATTTACAATCTTCCCCAAAAGAAAACTCCAGGTCTGATTGCTTCATCATCAAATTCTACTAAACATTTAAGAAAGAAATACCACCAATTCAAATCAACTATTCCAAAGGGGGGGAAAAGGTAAATAAAAGAAAAACTTATGCATAAAAAGTAGGCTAATTTTGATATTAAAATCTGAGGGCACCTGGGTGGCTCAGTAGGTTAAGCATCTGCCTTGGGTTCAAATCCCAAGATCCTGGGATCAAGCCCCACTTTGGACTCCCTACTCAACGGAGAGTCTGCTTCTCCCTCTCCCTCTGCCCCTGCCACTCCTCTTGCTTGTGTTCTCTCTCTGGTGCGTACGTGCTCTCTCTCTCATTCATTCATAAATAATAAATAAATAAAGTTTTATGAGAAAGAAGACATGCAGTAATTCTAAAACCATTCTCTGCATAAGAAAATTGGAAGAACTGAATTGTGCAAGACTGCTGAATCACAGATCTGTACCTCTGAAACAAATAATACATTGTATGTTTAAAAAAAAAAAGAAGAAGATAGCAGGAGGGGAAGAATGAAGGGGGGGAAATCGGAGGGGGAGATGAACCATAAGAGACGATGGACTCTGAAAAACAAACTGAGGGTTCTGGGAGGGGGGATGGGTTAGCCTGGTGATGGGTATTAAAAAGGGCACCTTCTGCATGGAGCACTGGGAGTTATACCCAAACAATAAATCATGGAACACTACATCAAAAACTAATGATGTAATGTATGGTGATTAACATAACATAATAATAATAATAATAAAAAGAAAACTGGAAGAATTCTAAAAACATTAACAAATCAAATCTTTTAATATATAAAAGGAAGGGGGCCGTGGAGCAAGATGGCAGAGGAGTAGGAGACCTGGATTTCGTCTGGTCCCAGGAATTCAGCTGGATAGGGATCAAACCATTCTGAACACCTATGAACTCAACAGGAGATCGAAGAAAAGAATAGCAACAACTCTCTGAACAGAAAAGCGACCATTTTCTGGAAGGCAGGACGTGCGGAGAAGTGAATCTGAGGCAATATTCGGGAGGATGGGTTAGCCTGGGGACGGGTATTAAAGAGGGCACATTCTGCATGGAGCACTGGGTGTTATGCACAAACAACGAATCATGGAACACTACATCATAAATTAAATAAATAAATAAATAAATAAATAAATGGAAGAATACGTCGTAACCTAAGTTGAAATTCTCCCAGAAATGGACGCTTGCTTAACATTTTTAAATGGATCCATCTAATCCACCACCTTAATAGGTTGTAGGAAAAAAATCATGTTTATCTTAAAAGATACAGAAAAAGCACTATACATCTATGAGTTAAAATAAAAAAAAAAAACACTTAGCAAAGTAGAACTAGAAGGAAACTTCCTTAATCTTATTTTTCTTTAATTGAAAAAACTACCATAAACAGCATGATGAAAAGGTGAAAAATTAAAGGCCTTTCCTTTGAGTTTGGAAACAAGGATGGCTGGGTACATGGTTAATATAAAAAAACTGAGTAAATTCCATATATTCAACAATACTTAGAAAATAAAATATCAAAAATTCATTTCCATGTAGAGACAAGAATATTTACTGAAGCAGGATCCAAAATTGCTCTAAATTAGAATAAGAAAACCCAAATGTCCTTCAACATTGTAGTGTACTGAGTACTAGACAAAAATAAACTAACTCTACCTATAGGCAGCAGAATGAATAACTCTTCTAAGCATAATGATTAAAGAAAGCAGCCATATGACTCTGTTTTACAAAATTTTAAAAATCAGGAATTGTTGTAAATATGAACACATAATTAAGTGGTAAGACTACCAAGAAATGTAAACAAGTGATTACCGTAAAACTCAAAGTAACAACTACCTTCCAGGAGAGGAGTAGAGATTGAAAAGGGGTATCACAAACGTTCCCAAGGTGCTGGCTATGTTCTATTTTTAGATCAGGGATGGTTCACTATGTTATGCCTGAACTATGTATTTATGTTTTATGTATTTTCCACATATGTGTTGTATTTCACAAATAAAAAGGATAAATAAGTTAATAAATAAATAAATAAATTACCCTAATGAGGGGACTTAAATGTAAGCCTTAGTTTTTCTTGAAAATTAGTGTGTTCTGAAAGTGATCTTACATATTTGTTAATAAAAATCATTAAAACATTTAACCATTATGATGAATCATATGAATACTGAATAATAATCTGCATTAAATATAGTGATACATATAATGCACTTAACATTGTGCCTGTCACAAAGGGAGTGATCAATCAATCAATCAATAAATACTATAATAAATAGTAAATAGCTATTCTTTGGGAGTTGTTATTATTGTTGTTATAGTCACTGGTTATTTTTACTTACTTCAAGGAGACCTGACAAGTACTTAACACAAATTTCAAGTGGCTTTGTGAGAGGAGAATGTGAGCTCCATCCTGGAGATGCTGTGAGATGAGCCATTCCTCGTAAGGTCCTCTCGAGGGATGGCAGGCCATAGAAGTGAGGAGCATCCGTGACTCTCAGGCACTGGAGCAGTTTCAGAGCCAGCTGCGTTTGGAAAACATAAAGAAGTTCCAAGCACTTCCTGTGTATGTAAAGGAAGGAAAAAAAAATCAACAAGAGATCAAGTGTGATGGGCTTAATGGGTTAACTTATTGATGGCAGAGGGTTACTAACAACTTAATACGTCAGAAAAGTATGAACCAGGAGAAATGGCAGTCTCAAACAAGATTTTTCAAGGAAAACACAGTTCATATACCATCTAGGATATACGATGCAAAGGACCAATAACAATTACACTGAAAAATACATAAACGGATATTAGTATTAGCACCCAAAAATAAAACTTAAAAGTTGGAATGGAAAATTAAATGCGTACTTTAGATGACTTTAACTTACATATATTAAATCTATACTTTTAATCATTAGAAACTTGAGTTTTTAATTAGCTGAAATTGTTTTCCCCAGAAAGCTAAAATAAAAACTTTTAATGAGTTTGAGACATAATTTAAATGCAACTGTCAGAAACAGAACAATCAAGAGAACATTTTTTTATTAGAAAACAAAATCCCTGGGGCGCCTGGGTGGCTCAGTCATTAAGCGTCTGCCTTTGGCTCAGGTCATGATCCCAGGGTGCTGGGATCGAGCCCTGCACTGGGCTCCCTGCTCTGCGGGAAGCCTGCTTCTCTCTCTCCCACTCCCCCTGCTTGTGTTCCCTCTCTCGCTGTCTCTCTCTTTCTCTCTGTCAAATAAATAAATAAAATCTTTAAAAAAAGAGAGAGAAAAAAAAAGAAAGAAAACAAAATCCCTGAAACTAATAAGTAGGCATGGATACAAAGATGAAATTGCTGGAAGAAGTAACATCATTGTATAACAAAGCATCAAATAAAATCTGAAATTTTCTCAGTTTTACAGATTTTTAGACTCCAAAATTGACAACTACTGCCTATATTTTTACCCATTCCATCACAGTATTATAGGTGTATAGTTGTATGATTTAAAGATCATAATTTTTATATACCTGTCATCTAGGTGTTTTAAAGTTTTAGAAACACACAGAATTTACACCAAAGCCTAAAGGTTATTTGTATAAATTCATATTCCTCACGAGTCAACAACAAAGTACAGCTGAACCTTGAACAACGTGGAGGTAAGGGGCATTGACCCCCACGTGCAGTCAAAAATTCTCATATACTTTTTGACTCTCCAAAAATCCAACAAATAGCCTACTGTTGACCAGAAGCCTTACTGATAACATAAAGTCAATTAACATGTATTTTGTATGTTATATGTTATTATATACTGTTTTCTTACAATAAAGCAAACTAGAGAAAAGAAAGTTGTTCTTTTTTTTTTTTAAGTAAGCTCTACACCCAACATGGGACCGAAATCATAACTCTAAGATCAAAAGGCACATGCTCTATTGACTGAGCCAGCCAGGCACCCCAAGAAAGGAAAATATTATTAAGAAAACCATAAAAGAAAGTACATATACAGTACTATATTGTATTTATCCCCAAAAGATCCATGTATAAGTGGACCCACATAGTTCAAACCTGTGTTGTGCAAGAATCACTTGTAATCTAGTTAATAGTATTAAAAATGTTCTCCTGGTTTTTTTTTAAGATTCTATTTATTTATTTGAGAGAGTGAGCAAGCAAGTTCGGGGGAGGGTCAGAGGGAGAGGGAGAAGCAGGCTTCCCGCCGAGCAGGGAGCCCAATGCGGGGCTCGATCCCAGGACCCTGGGATCATGACCTGAGCCGAAGGCAGACGCTTAACGACTGAGCCACCCAGGCACCCATGATAAAATATATTTTTTTAAGATTTTATTTATTTATTTGAGAGAGAGAGAGACACAGTGAGAGAGGGAACACAGCAGGGGGAGTGGGAGAGGGAGAAGCAGGCTCCCTGCCGAGCAGGGAGCACGATGCGGGGCTCGATCCCAGGACCCTGGGATCATGACCTGAGCCGAAGGCAGACGCTTAACAACTGAGCCACCCAGGCGTCCCTGTGCTTCTGTTTTTTAAAATTAACATAAAAGTCATTCTCATTTTCTGCTCCTTTTACCTTAACCACTCCAAAAGAAAAGCTATACCATCAAAGGCAATGGTGCCTCTGCAAATATCTAACCAACCCCAGTTCAACCTGGCACAGTTGCCACCAACCAGTTCCCTCTCCTGGTCCCTGTGAACCTTCCCCAAGCTCCACACCCAAATGGTCTCATCCTCCCTACGCAAGTTCCGCTCCACATCCAGAGAACATTCACCCAAAGAACAGTCCATTGCACTGTTTCTCAAAGTCTAGCCCAAGGGACTACCTATGGCACTTATTTAATATGTAGATTCCTGAGCTACTGATCTTAATATTTTAATAAGCCCCCTCCCCAAGAGATTCTATACACATTCCAGAGTCTACTATCAATGGATTCACTTTGTTCTTGTCTTCAGTACTTTGATGAGGCACAAATGCATGAGGTAAAATTCACAAATCTTATATATACACTACAGGATGGTTTACATATGTATATAATCATGTAACCACCAAGCATAACAACATATAAAACATTCTCAGCACCTCAGAAGGTCCCTAGGTGACCCTTTTTAGTGAAATTTTTATTGACTTGTATTCTAAATTTACTAATCCTCTTTTATACTGTGTCTGGTCTGCTGCTAAGCCCATGCAATGAATTATTTACTTTAGAAACTGTATTTCTCAGTCGCAGAATTACTATTTAGTTCTTTTTTGCAGTTTCCATTTCTCTGCTATTGATATTCTACATATTTTTACTTATCTTGTCCATCTTTTCATCTAATTTATATTGAAAATATTGTTTATAATAATAGCTTTAAAGTTCCTCTAACAGTTGACATTTGAGAGTCTCTTTCTAATGACTTTTTTCTCTTAATTACAGGAGACGTTTTCCTACTTTATAATTCTCTCCATTTGTGATTGTATGTCAAATATTTGTATATAAGAGCTACTGAAAGCAAAGTACGTAATAATTTCCCATAGAAATGGTTTGGCCATTTGGTCACAAGATTTGGTTAAGAGGCCGATCTTTGAGATCTAGTCAGGTGTTGAGCTGAATTAGGGTTGTTTTGACACTTTAGTTGTGTCAAATGTCATGTGTGTGGGATCAGTTCTTTCCTTCCAGCAGAGATTTGGGATCTGAGCACAGAAGACCTGCAGATAAAAAAACTTTTGTACATCAAAGGACACTATCCAAAGAGTTAAAACACAACCCACAGAATGGAAGAAAATTTTGCAAATCATATTTGATAAAAGATTGATGTCCAGATTATGTAAAGATGACTCAACAACAACAACCCAATGCAAAAATAGGTGAAGGACTTGAATAGACATTTCTCCAGAGAAGATACAAATAATCATTAAGCACATGAAAAGATGCTCAACATCATTTCTCATTAGGGAAATGGAATCAAACCAAAATGATTCTAGTTTACACCACTGGGATAGCCATAATAAGAAGCATTAGGGCAGATGTTGAGAAATTAGAACACTCATACATTGCTGGTGGGAATGTAAAATGGTATAGCTGCTATGGAAAACAAAATTCAAAAAAAAGTAATCATAGAGTTACCACATGAACCAGCAATTCTAGTCATAAGTATATACTGGAGAATTAAAAACATGTGTTTACACAAAACTTGTTCACAAATGTTTATAGCTGCTGTATTCATAATAATCAAAGGTAGAAACAACTCACATGTCCACCAACAGAAAAATGGATAAACAGAATGTGGTATATCTATACATGGAATATTAATCAGCTATAGGAAGAAACAAGCACTGGTATGTGCTATAATATGGATGGACCTTGAAAACACAATGTGAAATCAGACACAAAAGATCACATATGTCTGATTCCATTTATATAAAATGTCCAGAATAAGCAAATTCATAGAGACAGAAAGACTAGTGGTTGCCATAGGCTTGGGTAAGGGGTAAATGAGGAGGAACTGCTCAATGGGTACAAAGTTTCTTTTCAGAATAATGAAAATATTCTGGAATTAAATAGTGACAGTTGAACAACATTGTGAACATATTAAAACCACCACTCAATGGTGTACTTTAAAATGGTTAAAATAGTAAATTTTATCTAATTAAAAAAAATTTTAAGTCAGAATTATAGATACACACTTAAAAATCACCTATGCAAAAACAGTCATAAAGTCATAGAAATGGGTATAATTGCTCAGAGAATTAAGAGAGGACTAAGACCTAAAACCTAGAGACAGCAAAATACTGCGTGCGTGTGTGTGTGTGTGTGTGTATGAAATTACAATCAGGCTATACCAGAGATTCCACTGAAATAAAAACAAACAGACCAGAACTGACTATTATTGAGTTCTTTCTTCCTTGATTTAGAAATCAAAAGGAAACTAGGTTCTATATCAATGTCCCCAAACCTTCAACGACAAACGGTACCTGTCAGTAACTGCCATGACACTGAGAAGCAAGGTACTGAAAAGAGCAATCAGTTCTTTCTGGAGCTGTTGCCTGACAGCAGTCCGGATGTCATCCGCTTCCTCTCCTGCCTGTGACTCCGTCAGAACCAGCAGGTCTAATAATGGATTTGGACTCTAAAAAATATATTTGTAAAAAAACGTATTTACTCTCTAATTGAGCTGTGTGTTGTTTCCTATAGAGATTTTTGCTACATATCACATTCTGGACTACCTAAGAGTTGTATTACCCAGCCAGTCGGTATGGGTCTCTAGTGCATCAATAGAGATGTTATGTTCTAAACTCAAAAGGTGCTTCATAGGTTATCTTGACAAAAGAACAGCACATCTATTATAGAAAACTGAGTATAATATAGAGAAGCACACAGAGAAAAACAAAAACCACCCATGATCACACTTCACAGAGACAGTCTCTATTAGTTTACTGGTGCACACTATTCTTTTTGTGTGCATATAAACATACACACAATTATAATTCCGTATTTCTAACAAAACTGAGATCAAGTGAAAAAACCCACTATTGTTACCCCTTTTTTAACTTAATGTTATCAGTATCTCTTCAAAAAAATTATTTTACTATCTGATTATTTTTCAACCACAAGGATTTACCACACCAGCTACTAAAGAATGGGTGATTTCTAATTTCACTGAGCTGTGCAGCAGGGTGTTCAACTCTGATTATATCCTGTGTGAATTCTAAGCAAAAATAGCTTTAATTGTTTTAATACTTTCAACATATATTGCCAAACTGTCTCTGCAAAATGTGTACAAATACATACAACTAAGCAGGGTGGGGGAAGACCAATGCTGAGCATTATTACTGATGCAATCTTTGCCAATTCGATAGGCTGATAAATAAAACTAGTACTACTTAAATTTCTTCCTGCTTTCCAACTTTAAAAAAAATGTAGCTAAAGAAATGTAATTATTTTTAATAATACTAAGAGTAGAAAATGTTATATTAACAAACGGCATTAAAGATATACAGAATAGTTACTGATCACCTAAAACGGCATAGGCACTGTGCTAAAAAGAGAAAGAAAACAAGATTCCACTTTTTGACACAGACGTAGTGAAAAGAAGGGCCACGTGCACCCCAATGTTCATGGCAGCAATGTCCGCAATAGCCAAACTGTGGAAAGAGCCGAGATGCCCTTCAACAGATGAATGGATAAAGAAGATGTGGTCCATACATACAATGGAATATTACTCAGCCATCAGAAAAGATGAATACCCAACTTTTCATCAACATGCATGGGGCTGCAGGAGATTATGCTAAGCGAAATAAGTCAAGCAGAGAAAGTCAATTATCATATGGTTTCACTTATTTGTGGAACATAAGGAATAGCATGGAGGACATCAGGAGAAGGAAGGGAAAAATGAGGGGGCGGAATTGGAGGGAGAGATGAACCATGAGGGACTATGGACCTGAGAAACAAACAGGGTTTTAGGGGGGAGGGGGGAGGGGGGGTTGGTCAGCCTGGTGATGGGTATTAAGGAGGGCACGTACTGCATGGAGCACTGGGTGTTCTATGAAAACAATGGATCGTGGATCACTACATCAAAAACTAATGATGTATTTATTGTATGGTGACTAACATAACATAATAAAATTAAAAAAAAAGATTCCACTTTTTGACTAAACTAGAAGATGTGCATTTTCATATTTTACAGATAGGCAAAGAGGGGTTTATAAAGAGGTTATATAACTTGTCCATAGTCATATGAATGAACAAAGCAAGGATTCAACCTGAGAATCATCTTACTTCAAAGCTAGCTAATATTCTGTCCCCCATATTATGTCACATCAATTCTGCATATTATAACATACAAAAAAAGATAAAATCAAGATGTAATTATGATTGTTATGAAATCCTTCACCTAAAGAACTCAATTAAAAAATAACTGCATTCTTTTTGTGGAAATGAAAAAATGGGAAGAAAATTCTAGCTTGTTTATATTATGCAGTACATACAGAATACTTCAATCAGGTACACACAATTATAAAGAATACAACTGAGAGCTTTTAGAAAGTATTGGGGACAAATGTCCCCAATTTACTTTTAACTTACTTTACTATGTTTCATACCTAAGCAGCATTTTTTTTCAGCTTTCCTTTCATCCTGAACAAGAAGTACCTCATTTGGATCAAATAAAATTACATAAAACATGACTACAACTTCTATGTTTTATACAGGAATAAAACAATCAAAATACACATTTAATAAAATCATAAAAATAAATATCCATACTCTATAGTATTCTTAGACCCAAATAACCAAAGGCTGACTTACACTCACCTTCCCTCCAAGTCCCATAAATACTGACAAAATAAGAAAGTTGTTTTTAATGTAAACTCCATCTTGGTAAAGTATAGTTTTACTATCACGAATTATTAATCCTGATATACCCATAAAAATTAAGTAGAAACTCCTGACTGATAGATTAATATGTTACAGTATGTATACACCTAAAACTAAGATTCTTCCCCAAAACCTCATTGTTAATAACTTGTTTATGCTAGTACCTGCTGAGATCTTCTTCCCTTTCTAACTTTACATGTTAATATTCAGATTCAGTGAACCTCAGCAACATCACTTCTAAAATATGGGACGAATTACCATTCCTCATATACAATAAAGAGATGTCTCTCTACCGATGCCTACTGATCTCAAGTGCTTAATCATACGTGAAGGTTTTGTCTTTAGACATTAGTATTCAATCCCAATTTTAAACCAACTACCATTATCATTCCTTTGTCACCGCCAACCTCCAAAAAGCAACAATTTCTATAATAATGGCTCATTTTCTTTAACCACACAGTTACCACTCATAACATCCACTTTACCATCCATCAGCAACCTACAAGAGGACATGCAATGCCCTCCATGAACTCTCAGTGCACAGGTGCCTGTGAAAGTCAACCAACACAGAGAGACATATGCTGAATAGTTCTGAATAGCCTACCCCCCCCCAAAAAAAATTACGGCCCCACTTTTATGACCTTCCCTCAAAAAACTCATTCTGAAAAGAAAGGTATTCACACTCAGCACTTCTAGGTGATTTTATATATATTAACAAAATCATCATTACATTAAAATGTAAATTAGTGGTGTCATAAATTCCTAAGTGCCTAAAATATTTGTAACAAATGGATGTTCCAATAAAACATACAAATTTTTCACAAGAGAAAGTTTCTCAATCTTCCCTCAGTAAGTTAGCTGATTTTTCTTTATACTTCCTATTCGCAATCTTCTGCCTGATCAAGTATTCAAGTATTCTGCCTAATTTTACTAGTTTTTGCCATGGCTTTCATATACTTTTTCATATTATGTCCATACATTGAAAACAATTCCTTTGGAAATACTATTTTACTGACCTTCTTAAATCCTCTCTCACTTATTTTACCCATTTCAGATGATTAAAAGGCATTTGACTTTATTTTCAAGCTTCCTTTATATTGAATGTTACTCTTTACATAACACTTAATAATTTAATCCTTGTAGCATGACAGAGAGTAAACTCTCTTAATAGTGGATGCTTAAGTCCACTGCTCACCTTTTGCTCACTCTATTGTTATTCATAACACCAGTGATGATAACATATGAGACAAAGTAAAAGCTTTCCAAAGACAGCCTTGATACCATACAAAGTCAAATATATTTAATTATACCAAAAATCCTTCTCTAAAACTGCATGAAAATTACAGTACAATCATTTAGAATTTTGTAGAAATTTCATTTTAATTTCAAAACTATCAATAAATTATAAAATATGCATCAGCACTCATGACATACTATAAAATTCATAATAAATGTAAAGTTTTAACTATAGTTACATAATTTAGGTGAATATATTTTAATATGCATAGTTATTTTTCTACCATATATACCAGGTACAAAGTCTCCTAAGCAAACACTGAATTATTACACAGAGTTTCAAGAAAAGATTCCACCTAAGCCCACTATAACTGCTATTTTCACAACCCAAAGCAACCATAACTCTCAGAATCCAAGAACTTCAACCTAAGGAGGAGACTGTTTTAGAAATTATCCTTTTTAAAAAAAGACTAAAAAGATTATGAAGTTATAAAAAATTTATAGATCAAAAATCGATTTATCAAAAAACTCAGAGGAAAAGCTTCATAAGATTCTTTTAATAATATTTTAATATCCATTCTCTAAAATATTTAAGCATGCCTAAAAGCTGAAGAAGGAACTATAGTGACATAAGGTTTTACTGTTTTGCTTTATCAAAAATGGTCAGAAAATAACTGCCTCCAAATGTTTGTTAATTTTAACAATTAAATGATACAAGAAAATCAAAGTACAGTAAATATGGTACTTTGAAATCATCCTCAAGAATATAACAGGAGAGCAAAATTTATAAGTCTAAGTATTCTGGGAGTTCAATCATCTTATTAAGGCTTCACTTATTATGTACTTTAAGGAAATCAGTCCATCATCTCTCATTTGTGTTATAAATATTTTTCTCAGTTTATCATGTCTTTTTAACTATATTTAAAGTATTTCTTGCCATACATACAGAAGTCAATAAAACTTACATATAAATACCCTCCTACTGGATAACTGTTTCATTGTAAGTTACACAAATCGAAAATAAAGTTAATCTGAAAGAAAAAATGGCCAGAGAAAAATATAAAAAATAAAGTTTATTAAAGAAAAACTTGCTATGATAATTTAAAAGTGTAGTTTTTCAGAAAACACAGGCATATCAAAGAACATAATACAAAATCCAATCACAGAGTCATGTACACATAGCACCTAGCTTACGGTATTTTGGACGTATTTTATGTTCCTATCTGATCTACCCCTTTCATCTCCAAGCTTCTGTTAGTGATGCTATTTTTGCTTTTCATCTTTCATAACATTTAAATTGTAGTCCAGGACCATAATTTCCACACTTAGTCACAGTCCTACAGGTGTGTGTATGAGAGAGAGAGAGAAGGAGAGGAGGAGGAGGGGGAGAGAGAGCGAGAGCAAGAGAGCTGCCTTCTCCACCACCTCGCCCATTCCCACTCTAGGCCAAGCTACCACCATCCCTCCCCTGGGTTACTGTAGGCCTCCCAGCTTCCATTCATTCTACCTATGGTTCCAGAGACAGCTGCTGCCAGGATCTTCTTAAACTTAAGTCACAGCATGTAACTCTTCTGCTCAAAACCCTCCACCTGCTTTCTCTCTCATATAGGTTAAGCTCCATAGCCTACAAGGTTCTATTTGAGCTTGATTCTGAATATCCTTCTGATCTCATCTCCTACCACTATACTCTATTCATCCTGTTGCTGCCACATGGACCTCTAGTTGTTTTTCAAACATGGCCCTGACAACTAAGTGCTTTTGCATTTTTTTCCTCTCTGGCTAGAACGCTCTTCCCTTAGATACCTATATGGCTGACTCCCACACTGAACTCAGTGCCCTGGCCAAATGTTAGTCAAAGAGGCGAGCCTTCTCTGACCATCATGTCTAAAGTAGCATCCCACCATGCCTGCCTAGCTCTGTCTCATTATCTATGTTTCCTCGTCACACTTATTGCTCCCACCTGCAGAAAATCTTTGTTTTCTGTCCATTCCACCCCCTGGAATGTACTCCATGAGGACAGGTTTTTTGTCTTATTCACTGCCACGTTATTTTTATAAAGTAATCATATTTATAGATTTCTTTCTTTATAGGTTCTACCTTATGTAACTTCTTGGAAAAAATCTTCTCTACTCCAAAGTTTTAAGTAAACACTTTCATACAACATGAAGACTACTTACTAAACATGGGCTATATAAAAATTATGCTTTTTCATTACATAGCATTACTAATTTTTACAAATTACTTCTCACACCTAAAATCCAATTCCTTAATAACACTTACATGTCTAAGAAGTAACTCTAGAAGCCAGTTTAGAAGTTCTACTGATGAGTTTTTTCTTTGTTCCTTCAATAACTTATTTAAAAAATGTATGATATCGATTAGCAGTTTCTCATCCTCAGTGCAAGCAGGAAGTACCTGTAAAAACCTACAATAAAAAAGACAATTATCATGGTTTCTAGCTCTTTACAGTAAGTGGTGTGCTGATAAATATTTAACAACCAGGTAAGGAGTGGGAGGATTTCTTGTGTTTGCCAGTTTTCATAGTGCAAACATTCCCCCATTGCTGACTGCGAGCCACCAACATAACACAGAGAGACAACACAGCAGGACACCATTGTGTGGCCTTTTCACAACAGACATAATAGGTATGAATCACCTCAAGAACACAGGTGTCAATAACATGTTGCAAAATAATCAGGAAGTGATGATATTCGCATAATCATTACTTTTATTTTTCTTAGAATTTAACTAACTTCATGCAATTTCATTTTTAAGAATGGCTGTGTTTTAACAACTAACTTACAAAAACCCTGATACTCAACTGCCACCTCTCTCACAAGGAAGCACTGGCTGATTCCAACACACACCAGCGGAAAAGCCAAATTAGGTATCTGAATTGTGAGCGACCCATTTTGAGTCCCCATTTCGGAAATTCACTTAACCTCACACTTTGAAAGTTGCACACATTATGTTTAATAGAAAGTTATACATCTTACACTAAATTCACATGAAGATTAAAATGGAAAGCTACTGGCAATGGCTGCTTGTCCGTCTTGTCTCCGATGCAGCCATCTGCTACCAGTGAAACGTGGAATTTACGAGCTAGAGGCTTCCCAGTAACTACTAAAGGATCTCCACACATGGCAATCAACTTCATGAAATTCAGGGTAAAAAGAAAAGCAGGAGAATTTTCTTAAGAACAAAACAAAAGCAAAACAGCCCACTGCAGGTGCACCAAACTTCTCCGTCAATTCACTAATGGTCTTGGCTCTCTTATAATGTGGACAGCAATAAACATTCATTTTGTTCAACCATGTCTTATCCTAATCATCTGCTTTTGTGAGATAGTGAAATAAGATTTTCTGATAGGATATAAAAACGGTATTGTTTATTATTAATTCCAAAATGCAGTGATTAAGAAAAATTTTCTCTTTTGCTATTCTTAGATATTTACTACGCATAATGAAAATCCCAGTTTTTCTTACTGAAAAAAAAAACCATTTCTCTAACGATAGCAACAAGAATACATGCTCTTATCTTCAAAGATACGGAGATAGACCCAAATACGATTCAATCCTGCTCTTTGAAACTGGAAGCCCTGAGCTGTATATACTGACCTGTTCAGTGTGGTGTGCCAAGACAAACACTTCAAGGTCACCCCACATGGGCCAGCACCACCCTTTAAAGACAGCCTGTCATTCAGAAGATAAAAACTCATGCTTGTGAAAGCAGCCCTCACTTCCCTGTGAGCTGCAGCCTCGACGATGGAACGAAGACAGTCCCTCAGTGCACGAGCTGTGTGTGTCACCTGCAGAGCAAGGGTGTCCTCTGTGTGTAACTTCAATGCATCTGAAAATCTAAACAAAAAGAAACAAAGGAGGAGCAACATAAAACTATTTAAATAAAAGTTCACATTTAGGTTTATTATAAACTCTCTCCAAAAAACTGTTTTATCTTCATTTTAAAGGCTGACTCAGGGCCAAAAGAAAATCTGGTATATATCTGTCGATTAGAGTTTTATGTTAGCATCCTAAGTGTTTGTATTGACATTTTCCTGCTTACAGAAATATAACTTTCATTCAAACAAGAAAGCAATGATAGATCAGAATATTAGGATATTCCAAAGTAATCTACATCATCATCAGAGCAATGATAACATTTATATATATACTCACTGAAATTTGACTCTAATCCAGACTACTTTCCCTAGAGATTTATATCCATTAACTAACCAAACTTGAGGTGCCTGGGTAGCTCAGTTGATTAAGGTCTGACTCTTGGTTTCAGCTACGTTCATGATTTCAGGGTTGTGAGATCGAGCTCTGTGTCAGGATCTGTGCTGGGTATGGAGCCTGCTTAAGATTCTCTCTCTCCCTCTCCTTCTGTACCTCCCTGCCCCCCAGCCCCCCAACTCCCGCTTGTGTGTGCGCACTCTCTGAAAAAAATTAAATAAAAATTTTAAAAATAATAACTAACCAAACTTTATATAATCTCTAAAACAGCACAGAGCACATGCTTTTTAATTTAAATTTCCTTGTGTCATGGAACACTACATCAAAAACTAATGATGCAGGGCACCTGGGTGGCTCAGTCGTTAAGCGTCTGCCTTCGGCTCAGGTCACGATCCCGGAGTCCTGGGATCGAGCCCCGCATCGGGCTCCCTGCTCCGCGGGAAGCCTGCTTCTCCCTCTCCCACTCCCCCTGCTTGTGTTCCCTCTCTCGCTGTGTCTCTCTCTGTCAAATAAATAAATAAAAATCTTCAAAAAAAAAAAAACAACTAATGATGCAAGGTATGGTCATTGACATAACATAATAATAATAAAAAAATTTCCTTGTGTGATAGTTTCTAAAAAGTAATGAACACATGTAATCTTTAAAACAAAGTAAAAATTATAATAATCAGTGGAAAAACAAGATCAGATGGTAGCAAGTAAAAAAGCCACTTGACCTAAAGGAAAAATAAAACCAAACTAGTTACTTATAATTTGTTAAAGATGAACACTTTTTCAACTAAGCACAACAGCTTACTCTTGCATTTCAGGTTCCGAATGCATCTGCTTCAGCAGGTTATCACTCCCGTGATACCAGGACAAGTTCCAAGCTACTCTCAGCATGTCTGAGACCGGCTTCAAGGCCAAACAATCAGCAGGAAATGGCAAAACTATGGAGTAGGGACTCACAGCATGGTGGCCAACTACACGCGCTGGTAGATGATACCTAAAGAAAACGTATACAAATGATTATGAACTTTGCAACTCTTAAACACTACGATAAAAGGATGAGCTATAAATGAGGGCTAGTTCTCACAATAACGGAGTTCACTCTCATAGCCCCTATTTCGAAGTTATGCTGTACATATTATTTCATTTATCCTTTTGCCGTCCTCTAAACTCCCAAAAATACTTTTTAAACTCTTGCGTGAAGACTTCCTTATTCTGTGTTGTGTTGGGGTTGCTAGCAGAGATGACTAATGCCCCTTCAGGTCAAGGCCTGCAGCTACAGTGAGTCACACATAAAGGGTTTCAGCTCGAACATGAGCACCTACTTTATGCCAAACGCTGTATATTATCCACCATTCATTCAGTTCCATGCATGGCACTGATACCCATTTTACAGATAATCAAAATGAGTATTAAAGAGACTAAATGAATTGCCTCATGTTCACAGGAATCACTAAGTGACAAAATCACAACCTAATATTTTTACTTGAACACAACTGCATCATCAATAAACTCAACCACCAGTGTCACCAAGAAGACCCAGAAATATTTTTAGATATAAGAACAGAGACAATAGCAACAGCTCTTAAACCAGTCCAAGTTTAACAGTGTTTTACAGGACAATAACGTCTAGCATGTTCAAATGTTAAAAAATAATTTTGGTAAAAAAACATATCCCAAACCCCTAATTCACATATTTGTGACTAATATTAGATAAATTGGGTAAGATTTCTCAGGGGAACTTTACTGTGCTTTTTCATTTCACGTGTCTCAATAAAGAAGCTAAGGGAGAGTTCTACATATAAAGCAGGCTGAATAGTTTAAGAAAATACTTTTAAAAATTGAAATTTTCCACAAAAGTAACCAAGAATCCTTAGATAAATGGCTAACACTAGGTCTCAAATAGGGAAATAAAAGGTGATTCTTGGATATTTCTTTGTACTAAAAACACAAGAAAATATTAACAAACTCATGGGGCCTTGACAAAAGGACACAGAGCCCACTTGAAAGGACTCGCACTGAATAAAAAAAGGCAAGGCAACTGATTAATGGGGAATTCTTTAGTAAGTTAGAAAATGAACTGCAAATTAAGCCTAAAGAACAAGAAGGAAGAAAGGAATGAAAAGTGCAGGGTAATACATCACAACCAGTTTGAAAAAACACTACACATCCACCAGACAGGCAACAATTTTTAAAATGACAACATTACTGAGTAAAGGAATAACAAAACCTTGGTTCTTCTCTACGGACAAATTTTATCTTGAGCGAATTCTGGCCCTTTGCCCCAGGACAACCAAATAGATATGGAATGTCAACAATATTACTGAGCTGTTGTTTGTGCTTACGGTAAAGATGACTCTCACGTCTGGGCTGGGAGGTGTGGGAATAAACCATAAACGCATGATGGGAAACCGCAGCCCTGAGCAATGCTTAGTGCCGAGGCTCTTACACGTGACATGTTTTGTGGGGACCTGGAAACTATGCCTGTGGCACCCTCAGCTCAAGAAGTTATTTCCTACTAGCACACGGGTCTTCTAAGCCGAGACAGCTCCCAGCACCCACACACGGAATCTCATTCCAAGCAAGGCCTATTTTAAGTCGTGTGAGTTTGATTACTTAGCCAAATCTAAAGACCATGAAGAGTGGGTGATGTCTACAAACAAGGAATTTCACTCTGAACAATATATTTAAAAGGAACTCTTACACACTATACCAGGAAACATACATGTTTATAGGAGTGGATACAGGAACAAAAACCCAGAATCAATCCAAATACCTTCTGACTGGAGAATGAATAAATTGTGGTAAATAAATACAACAAAAGAGTATTATACAGCAATGAAAATGATTATAGTACATGTCATAAGACCTACCAAATTATGGAATGTTATTTATAAATTAATCATAGTTTTATTAAGACATAACTTACTTATCTTTAAATTATACAGATTTTCTTTTTATATATAGCCTGATGAATTTTTACATTTGCATTCATTTGTATGACCATCACTCAGAATAAACTACAGAACATTTCTATCCCTTCGGAAAGTTTTTTTGTTCCCTTTTCATATCAATTACTCCCCTTGCTCTCCTCCAAGAGTAATTACTATTTTGGATATAACTTGAGAAATTGGATCACATTATAGAATTATTTTTAATTTTCTTAGATGTGAATATGCATGGTACAGTGGTTATATAGGAGAGTGTCCTTAATTTAAGCAGGTACATGCTGGAATAATTAGGAGGGAAGTAAAATTATGTCTGAAACTTATTTTCAAATGCATCAGAGAAAAATTACATATAAATAAATAAATACATTGAGAGAGTAAGCAAGAGAGTAAGCACATGTTCACTGCATAGTTCTTCGAACTTTTCTGTACACCTGAACCATATCCAGATGGAAAGATGGGGAAGGGGAAATGAATTTACTGAACTCTCCGAAGCACCACTGTGAGGAAACATTAAAACACTACAAGTCATGTGATTTAAATACCAGATGAACCTTCCTGAAACCGTTTACCTTCAAAAAAAGTCAAAACAATAAATCATTTACCTTCTAAAAACTGAGACAGGCAAACTGAAGACCGAAGGTGCAGGTTTATTGGAAGGATTAACAGACCTATTTCATTAAAAACACACACACACACAAAAGGAAAGAAACAAATGAGTAAACCATGGTTTTATCCAACAAATACAATTTGCTCCTTGACTGAATCTCCAAATAAGAGTTGCAATTGGCTCTATCATTTGTATAGTTACAACACGTTTTCTACTACCTAGATTTGCTTCTAAAGAGTAAACTAGTGCTTAGGAAGTCCATATAATAAATTACTCATTTAATGTGGGCACTGTACTGGCAGGTGAATCTGTGTCCCCCTCCCACTGGATCTTGCTTAAGGTCATTGTTAGTCAGATATTACCATCCTAAACATCTTCCCAAAGGTTTTTTAATAAAATATTAAAGAAAAGTATATACTGAAAAATGTATTAATGACAAAAATTACTGCAGAATTTTTTAAATTTTATGCTTAGTAATGTTCAAATTAAAAGTTCATGGGAGGGACGCCTGGGTGTTTCAGTCAGTAAGTGTCTGCCTTCGGCTCAGGTCATGGTCCTGGAGTCCCAGGATCAAGTCCCGCATCAGGCTCCTTGCTCAGCCGGGAGCCTGCTTCTCCCTCTGCCTCTCCCCCTCCTTGTGCTCTCTCTCTCTCTCTCTGATAAACAAACAAACAAACAAACAAACAATAAATAAATAAATAAGTTCATGGGACTTTCTGAGCCAATAGGCTCTTTGATACTGCTTACTCAAACCAAAATGGAAAGCATAAGCTTCATAATTCAGAAATTTTCCATACATTGCTATAAGATTGCATCAGAAACCTTATAATTAAGAGTAAAAAAGTTTTACAATCCTTATAGCTCACCACATATCCATTCTTGATACTTCATCAAATAACAGAAGACAAAATAATGCTCCGACTTCAGTCACAACAGCACAATTTTCATGAAATATCAACGAAACTAAGATATAAAAAGAAGCATAACTTCATGAAATATTTTTACCTCTAGAAAAATGAACTTCAAATTTAAAATGTCTTAACTCCAAGGGAAGAGATGTCATTCTCAGAGAATTGCAACAAGAACCCAGATACACTGACATATGTGGATCGTCAGGAGGGCTTGTTAAAACAGAGTTTCTGCTTCAGCAGGTTTGGGCTGGAGTCTGTGAATCCCACACGCTGCCGGTCCAGGAAACGCACCTGCCCATCCACTCACTAGATACTATGTACTTTCAGTTTCTCAAAAAAGCAAAGTGATGTAGTTTCTAGGGAGGTCTGCCAAGTCCTTTACCTCCAGCTAAAGTTTGCTCATTCAGAGATCTCCTTATTTGATCATTTCTGCCCATTCCCACAAACATACAGTCATAGAACTTGAGTTTGCCTTCAAAACACCATGTTTGTGTTGGTGTTGTTTTAATTCGTATGTCTTGTTCATTACAAGATAATGGAAAAGGAAGCTGCTCTGAACTAATAAGACCTAAAGCTAGCACCATCACGTACTAGTAGTAAAGTGGCCTGGTCAAATACTGTAGCATTAATAAGCCTTAGTTTCCACCTCGGTACCATTCCTAATGCTACGACTTCTCAGTGCTTGATAACTATGAAATTCTAATCAAATAGGTACGGTGGTGATACCAATCACACAGGAATAATAACATAATACAGAGTTAGCAAATCCAGGAAAGTAGCAAGAAGAAATTAATTTCAAAAGAAGATACTTTTCCTAACCTTAAGAAAAGGATAATATCAACATGTAATTGACATGATTAAAAACAGCAATGAGCTAAAAAGAAACAAATACATGTAAGAATTTAATATGTGATAAAGTAGACACTTCATATCAGTGGGATGAGCTATCATACTTCCAAGTACCTAAGAAATTACTGCAATATAACTGCCTATAATATGAAGAAAAATAGATTTAGATCCCTACCTTACACTATTTATCAAAATCAGTTCTACATGAAGATCTAAATTTTTTAAACAACACTATAAACATGTTAAGAGAAAGAACAGAAGCCTATTTAGAATCCTGCATTCAGAATTGGAGAAGGCCCTCCTTTTAGAGCATGATGGAAACCTCAGTTGCTACAATAGAAAAGCTTTATATACTTCCATAAAATACTTAAGGCTAAAGATATAATAATAATAAATACAGTAAAAAGGATACAAAAGTTGGAAGAAAATCAACATAAAATCAGACATAAGGTTTATATTTATGTTATATAAAGAAACTCCACAAGTCACTAAAAAAAAGTAAAAGCAACAGAAAAATAGGCAATTCATAGAATAAGAAATTTGAATAAATACATGAAAAGATAATCACCTGCACTAAAAATGTTTTAAAAATAAAAAATAAAACAATGAGATAATATTTTCACCAATAATATTAAAGAACTAAAAAAGAGACACATTCGGTGTTATCAAGGTTATGAGGAAAATAAGCACTTTTAAATACCACTGGTGGGAATGATGTAGAGGGGAACCAAATCATATCCTGTAAAATCTCTTTGACCCAGCAATTCCAATTACAGAGTATGCACAAGATGATCATAAAACAAGATTACTATTACAGTTAAATCTGAGAGAAATATTAATATGGCAAACTGAAACTCTGAAACACTATGCAATAGTTTTCTGATCTTGTGTTTTTTAAGAAGGCAGACTCACATGTAATAACATGGAAAGATATTCAAAATACATTGTCGGTTGGAAAAAAGCAACACAATACTTAAGTATATAGCATAAAAAATACAACATGAGTGTAAAGAAAAGATCATTCTAAGTGATATATGCCAAGCAATACCTAGCAAATTCTTCTTTGGGGAAACTGAGAAAGAAAAGAAAATTTAAAAAACTTCTGACATTTTACTTTATATCATTCCATACTGTTCAAATTTTTACAGTAAGGATGTAGAAGTTCTGCAATTATTTAAAACAAAAACAAATCAACAAAGGTAAGGAAGTTTGGGTTGTTCTCTTGCCTCCACCATTATCTGGTTATGACCTTGACCAAGTCGCTAAATCTCTCTAGATCTCAATTTCCTCACTGTAAAATGGTGTAATAAATGGGTTCTAAGTTAAGTTCTCACCATGCAATTCTGTCGGGGTAGGATTCTGTCATGACATAAAATTTATAATAAAAGCAGTGTGTCTGGCAGATTACTTGCTACTCCCCTTCAATCTATTCTCCATGCTGTGGATAGAATAATCTTTCTAAAACACATTACTCTCAGTGTAATAATCTTAAATGGCTTCTCAGTGCCATTTTCTGTGACCTACCAGGCCCTGCATGAACTGCCCTCCGTGCCTCATCTCATCATCTTCCCCTCACCCCAGAAGCCCCCAAAATCCAGTCATTTCTGACCAACCACCATTTCAAACACACGTTCTCTCTCACACATAACCGTGACTCCCTCTATCTGGAAATCAACCCTCTCTAATTGAACCACTCATTTCTGAAATTCCAGCTTGGATCCACATTTCCTGGAAGCATCCTCTGATGTTTTCCCGCCACCCAATCTGCTCAGGAACACTTCCCTCTGGCACCAGGAATTCCACTATTATAAATATTTTTATGCCTTACTGTGTATTTGTTGAAGTCTCCAACTATAATATAAGCTTCAAGAGGGTCATTTACCAAGCTCATCAATATATCTCAAGGGTCTAGTGCTGTACCTAGCACATAGCATGTACTCAATAAATATTTACTGAGGAATGAATTTCCTGGTAGAGTACTTGATTAAAAAACTAATTTTGCCATGGGGCCTGGGTGGCTCAGTCAGTTAAACATCCGATTCTTGATTTTGGCTCAGGTTATGATCTCAGGGTTGTGGGATAGAGGCCTGAGTGGGGCTCTGTGCTAAGCAGGAATCTGCTTGAGATTCTCTCCCTCTCCCTTTTCCTCTGCCCCTCCTCTACCCTGCTGACACACATGTGCTAATATAAATAAATAAATCTTAAAAAAAAAAAAAAACTAATTTTGCCCTGAAACTAAATCCATTAATAAGAGATGCTATAATTCATTTTCAGACTCACTGAAATAGTTCTCACAAACATCAAAGAAATAGAAAAATTGCTAATACTAAAAGGGTACAGATGCTGCTGACTTAGAAAGTGCCTTTGAATCTAGTAAGTGCTCATGAATGCTTGAATAATTTAAATCAAAATTATAAAAATAAGAATTTTAAAAATTTTAAAAGAAAAAAGAAAAGGTAAATTAGGGACTAAATTCTACTGAGTGAGGTTATTAGGAAGATAATTAACAGGACTAAAGAAAACTCAAGATCCACAACTGCTACTCTTCCAGATCTATTAAAAATTGTAAAATTTTATACACTATTTAAGATTGCATGAGCCTGGACATGCTGAGTCTGTTTAGAACTTCACCTGGTTTGGACCTTTACCAATGCTTATATTCAATGCTTACATTAAATGAACTGTGTCCTTTTCACTTGGCAAGCTGAAGGCATCGGAAGAAATGAAAATGCTAAAATAAAATGACTATATTCTAACCTATATTCTAGTAATATTTTGAACATAAATATCACTTATAATAATTAACAAGGTTAAGCATATTGAGACATTTGATCAAGATGCATCTTGTAGAATTATTTAAAAGCAGTGGCCTAAACTTCTAAGAAAGAACATAACACAGAACGTTACCAAGCTCTCTACTGAAACAGTCAGAAGGAAGAAAAAGAGAACAAAACTACATGGAATTTTTCTACCTAAACACATTAGTAAATTACAGCCAAACTGAAATGGGTAAAAAAAAAAAAAAAATCACTCTCTATAATAAACTAATGCTCAGAGTCATTCAGGATGGTCTAGTTCCCATTCCACACAGACAGGATGTACACTCTTACTGTCAGTTTAATGACATAATCAGATACCACACCACAGGTCAGGATGTAAAGGCACAAGCAAACCAAGACTGTGGAAACAGATATGGGCGAGAAGGCCATAATGACAGCAGCTGCAGCCTGCTCTCTTTATAGATAACAGGTTAACTGAGCACCAGATGAAAGCCACATCCATGTGCTAAGACCAATCAGAGGCTTCAGCCTTTCTCAGCTCTGAGGTCTCCTCAGTAACAGGATTACAAGGAAATTTCCACAAAAGAAACACTTTCCATTGCAACAGATATTCTCAGCAGCACATTCACTAAAAAACTTTGTTATTCTGTTAGTAAAACAGAAAGTAAATGTGACCTACAGTTAAAGCATAACACTTAAAGCTTAAGACTGATCCCATTATTAGCAGACTTTATTTTATTCACCTCTGAATAACAGGGTCAAAAGAGAAGACTGCTGTGAGAGGGCCACGCGCATGACCGGGTCGGCACACAGAACTTTCCTCAAGAGCGTGAGGCATGGCTGAATCAAACATTCTATGACCTGGCCAGAAGGGAAAACACAGGTATTTTACTATCATCACTTCTAAGGCAAGATAAAATATACTCTAATATTAACTTATTCTAAATTTTATGCTTTTTCATCAAAACTGTGTAAAACAAAAATGCAAATAAATATTAAGAATTATTTTCCACTGAAAATAAGCTTTGTATATACTTCTGCTTACACATCCCAAAAAACTTTAGTTTTCCTTTAGGGAAACCCCCCGCCTCTTAGAAATTAAAAAAAAAGGGAGCTCTTGGGTGGCTCTGTCAGCTAGGCGTCTGCCTTCAGCTCAGGTCATGATCCCAGGTCCTGGGATTGAGTCCCACATCGGGCTCCCTGCTCAGCGTGGAGCCTCTTTCTCCCTCTCCTGCTCCCCCTGCTTGTGTTCTCTCTCTCAGTGCCAAATAAATAAAATCTTAAAAATAAATATATAAATAAATAAACAAACAAGGTACTCAGTGTTAATCAGGATTTAATCTCCAAGTACTTACCCAAATTCAGCTGAATTTAGTTTCAGATCTGAATAATAAAAATACCAATCTGTAAAAATATGTCTAGATATACTGTTAGTCTTACCTCACCATCCTGACCTACACATTCATTTAAATACTCAATTATCTTGTCAATTAAGTGTAACTTTTTCACCACAGCATGCATTTTAATATCTGTAGACAAAAAAGAAGAAGTCACTAAGAGTTAAAGAATATTTTTGTAGTTTTAAAAATACAGAGCAGGTGGGCGCCTGGGTGGCTCAGTTGGTTAAGCGACTGCCTTCGGCTCAGGTCATGATCCTGGAGTCCCGGGATCGAGTCCCGCGTCAGTCTCCCTGCTCAGTGGGGAGTCTGCTTCTCCCTCTGACCCTCCCCTGTCTCGTGCTCTCTCTTTCTCATTCTCACTCTCAAATAAATAAATAAAATCTTTGAAAAAAAAAAATACAGAGCAGGTATCCACAACTCAAACCGTTAAAAATAGTTACACCTGGTGTTGAAATTAGAAGAGGAAACTTTAAACTTTTACTTTACACATCTGAACTATTTGAAAACTTTTAGGTAACAAGCACATCTTACTTATTTCTACAATGTAAAATTCAAAAGCTATTAAAAAAGAATAATTAAATCAAATAGTTCAGACCCTGAAAACTACTAGAATTTTAAGTATACAAATGAATTATTTGTACATGACAAGTTAATTTCTTTATATTGTTTCATTGACAATTCTTCTCTTTTCCAAATCCATCACCTCAAAATGTTTAGAATTATCTATAAGTAATGTTAATAGCTTGCAACATGGTCACTTTTCTGCTAATAAAAACTCAGATTTCAGGGTTGCCTGGCTGGCTTAGCCAGTAGAGCACATGACTCTTGATCTCAGGGTCATGAGTTCGAGCCCCACACTGGGTGCTGAGCTTACCAAATAAATAAATAAATAAAATTTAGATTTCTAACCTCAAAACTGTCAATAGCAAATATAAAAGGTAAGGGATTATAACATACACTACATTTGAAAAATATGAGCTTTTTAAATAAGCATATATACGTGACTGTGTGTGTGTGTGTGTGTGTGTATTCACTGCTATGGGCTGTTTATGTTCCCCCAAAATTAATTTGCTGAAACCTACTCTCCAGTGAGATGATATGAGGAGGTGGGGCCTTTGGGAGGCGATTAGGTCACGACAGTGGAGCCCTGAAGCAGGGGATTAGTGCCCTTGCGAATGAGGCCTCTCCTCCCTCTGAGGACACAGGGAAAGACAGCTGTCTCTGCACCAGGAAACTGGCTCTCACCAGACACTGAACCTGTGGGCACCCTGATCTTGGACTTCCAACCTCCAGAACCATGAGAAATAAATTTGCACTGTTCGTAAGCTACCCAGTCTGTGGTATTCTCTTGGTGCAGCCGGAATATAGTTAGACATACGTACACACACACACACACACACACACACTACTGATATCACTAGCAACAAAATCTCTAGCTGCTTATAGATTAGTTATAAGTATTTAACATCTCGCAGACAAATTTTCTTAACTTGTTGTCCTATAACTCTCATTGAGAATATGCATATATACAATGAGAAAAACACACAAATACACATATTGATATTGAATTAGTAGCTATGACTAGAACTACCTTTGGCTGCCACTTTAAAAAAAAAAGTTTCCACTACCCGCCAACAGTGTATACCAAAATTATAAGCTTTATTTTTGTAATTAAGAATACTGGAAGAATACTCTCTAAAAGAGTTTTATGATTTTCTTAGCCAAGGCTGTCCACATTTTCTAGAGCCTTATTTTCTGTAGTCTGTACCATTATTAAAGCCACAAATATGTTGGGTATGCTTTTTCAAATTACTCTTCTCATCCCAGTTTTCACTAACGTCAGGGCAGGAACATTAAGTACATCCCATGTTCCAGGTTAGAATCTTTTTATGTAAGTGCAAAATTATCATTTCTCTCAAATATTAAAGATAAATGATATACATCACATACAGGGAAAAATAAAAAACTAACACAAAGAATGGAAGCCTGTGGAATAACAACACTACAAATAAAGTTAGCAATGTATTTTACTAGTTGTTTTTTTAAAATAAACCTTTAAAGAAAATACAAAGTTACAATGCACTATTTTTATTTTATCTACCTACAGAGTACTATTTGATTGATTTCTTACCCAAGATGGAACAAACTGAAAAAATCATGTACTACATAAATTGAGAAAGGAACATCCAGTTCACTATTAAAATTTTATAAATATTTTAGAAGGAAGATAATTCTATCAAATGACATTCTACAGGTTAAATAATGGTAATCTCGACTAGGGGTCAGCATACTTTTTCTGAAAAGAACTAGATAGAAAATATGGTAGGGCGCCTGGGTGGCTCAGTTGGTTAAGCGACTGCCTTCAGCTCAGGTCATGATCCTGGAGTCCCGGGATCGAGTCCCGCATCGGGCTCCCTGCTCGGCAGGGAGTCTGCTTCTCCCTCTGACACTCCCCCCTCTCATTCTCTCTCACACAAATAAATAAATAAAATCTTTAAAAAAAAAAAAAAAAGAAAATATGGTAGATTTTGCGGGTCACAAATCGTCTTTGTCACATATTCTTTGTTTCTTTTTCTTAATAACTCTTTAAAAATGTTAAAACCAGGGCACCTGAGTGGCTCGGTCCGTTAAGCATCTGCCTTTGGCGGAGGTCATGATCCAGGGGTCCTGGGATCCAGTCCCATATTGGGCTCCCTGCTCAGTGGGGAGCCTACTTCTGCCTCTCCCTCTGCCCCTCTCCCTGCTTGTGCTCTGTCTCTCTCTCTCAAATCAATAAAATCTTTTTTAAAATTTTTTAAAAAATAGGGGTGCCTGGGTGGCTCAGTCGTTAGGCGTTTGCCTTCGGCTCAGGTCGTGGGATCGAGCCCCACATCGGGCTCCCTGCTCAGCAGGAAGCCTGCCTCTCCCTCTCCCACTCCCCCTGCTTGTGTTCCTTCTCTCACTGTGTCTCTCTCTGTCAAATAAATAAGTAAAATATTAAAAAAAAAAAAAATTTTAATAAAAATGTTAAAACCATTTTTAAGGGCTATAAAAAAAAACAAAAAAAAACAGACCATAGCCTGTATCTGGCCCCCAAAACTGCAGTTTGCAACTCCTGATACCACTGCAAATAGCTATCTAAAATTCAATTACCAGCACTACAGAAATCATTTTCCTTAAAAGACATTACCTTGCATAATCACAGCTAACTGTTCTGCAGCTGACTTTCTCAAAACAAGATCGATATCATCTGAGGTAAAGATTTCATATACCTTTTCAACAGTCTCCAACTGAAAACCAGAAAAAAAAAAAAAATTGTTTTCATCTACTTCCAATTGTGCAATAAAATTACATAATTCATATCATAAGAACAAAAGCTCCAAAGTCCACTTACTTAAGTGATATATTTATGTGTAAATTTGTAGCAATGATGTGCTATGTCAGGGAAAACTTAGGATCTAAAACAAAGAGCCATCATGTCAAATAAGCCTTTCTTTTTAAGATTATATTTGTGCCAGGAAGTAATTCATAACCCATTAAGCACCTTAAGAACTTCACAGAAAACCAAGCTACCTAACATCTCTACAGGTAGTAACCTAAGAATAGTGACCCCAGACATGTGACTCCGTATTTCTCCACGGCTCCCAGAAGCCAACAGCTAGAATTCCCTGGCCCTCTGCCTTTCTCCCCTCTTAGAAGCACATGGCTCTCTACTAGGACTTGCTGCCCAGCACTCCAACACAGCCACTCCCAATACCAGTCCCTAACTGTCACTTCATGCCAGGACAGGGTCTGAGATGGCAAACCCAAAAGTGAAGGGGGAGAGGAAAAGGACAAAGACAGCACTCCTCCCCCTCCCCCCGCACTGCTATCTTCTGGCCCTAACATGGACTTGCAAAGACAGTGCTAGAACCCCTCCTCCCCACCTTCCTCCACATCACTCACAGGGCACAGGAACAACTACCAGTGGTCAGTACTCAGGGAGTCCCCAGGAGGACGAAACCTGTAGTCAGGGGAAGGTTCTCCAATCCTCCTGCTGGGACTTGTCACATGGCCCTGAACACTTAGATTAGAAGAACATTTTTAAAATCCATCGTATTATCTGGGGCTGTACAATACCATCACAGGCTTTGGGGGGGTTGGTCTAAACTTCAATAAAAACTGACATACTGGGGGCGCCTGGGTGGCTCAGTTGGTTAAGCGACTGCCTTCAGCTCAGGTCATGATCCCAGGGTCCTGGGATCGAGTCCCGCGTCGGGCTCCCTGCTCTGCGGGGAGCCTGCTTCTCCCTCTCCCACTCCCCCTGCTTGTGTTCCCTCTCTCGCTGTGTCTCTCTCTGTCAAATAAATAAATAAAATCTTTAAAAAAAAAAAAAAAAAACTGACAGACTGTACCCTTGAAGTCACAAGAGAAGCTATAAAGAATAGGAATGAATCAATGAAGATAACGAACAGCTTTTCTTTATCTAATCCTGCACTGGTCCAGGATGATCTGGGTAAAGATAGGAAAATGGATGATATGTCTCTGGAGGTATATAAGAAGCCAAAGATTTAGGAAAGAGATTAACAACAAAATCCCAGAACCACTGTAACACTTAAGAGAAACCACCTTTGACATCTATATTATTTTTTGCCTCTCATAACGAAGAGGCTGATAACTTGTATCATAGGAACTTTCTCCTTTTCCCTTATAGGCTGTTTCCAACATAAGAACAAGAAGAACTTCCAATAGTTTTTATGTCAGTAATATTTGTTTTTAAGAGTCACCACAGAATTTCTTTCCACTACATTAACCTTATATTGTATTTAAGATGCTATTCAAATTAATTTGCATTTCCAGTGTATATATTAAATGAAAGGGATATAATGCCTGGCATACAGCAGGCACCCAAGAAATATTTACTCAATAAATAAATGTATCCAGAAGCCAGACAAGGCCAGAACACAATTTCAAACTAGCCACGAATAACCACACTTGAAGCTAGCTAGTACTTCTCCTCTCAGATGCACACACAAACTAAAGAATGTAACATAAAATATGTGATATACAAATGTATCAAGTAGCCATGAAATAATAAACCCAATAGTTATAGTCACCTTAATAATCAGTTCTCTTCTGTCATCCAATTTGAGTTCAATAGGTTTTTTCACGATAAATAAATTAGTAACTCTGGAGATAACTCTGGCATCTATTGAAGGGCGCTTCCTGTCAGCCCCTTCTTCCCTTGTGAGATGACACGCTAAAAGCTTTAATGCTAGTGAACGGACCCTAAAGAAACAAAGTGTTTCAGTCAACATTTTGTAATATACAATGTCTATACTGTAAAAGCCTATAATCACAAAGCATTATTGTATATCAACACAATAATTTGCCATGTTTATACTGACATTACTAACAAAGGTACTTTATTTTTCTATTAAAATAGTGTACAACTACAATTATTCTTTCAATTTTATATTTATAAATAAATATCAGAAATAAAGAATAATCAAGTTACAAATGAAGAGACAGACTCACTGAGACTTCACAGTCCATGGTCAGTATCACAGTCAATGGCAATAAATTAGTAAAATCTGGAAATTACATCCATAACCCCTGACTTGAAGTCTAATGATCTAGCTCAAAATCAAAAATTATCACAGACTCATGAACAGAATATAAACATTAGGTCAAACCTCCAGGAGAGTAATCACATTAATAACTAAAATGTGATGTCACAACAATGTATGAAAATGTTCTTATATTAGGAGTCAAACAGATCCTTCCCAAATAAGAAAATGCAAATATTTGTGATTACCATCAAAATTCTATTTTATCTGGAATGGATTAGGATTAAGGTCAGTTGAGTAGAAGGTGGGAGATTTCAAGAAAAGATTAAATATTGCATGCCATTAGACAATGAAATGGAAAAATGAAAATCAAGTGCAAAGGGCATGGAGCTGGGAGACAGTGAGACAACCAGGTATCTATCACTACTCTGACAGGTCCTTGAACTACATAAAAACTGGGAAAATCTGAAGTGATAACCCAAGTTCCAGGTTTTAAGTATCACTTATAAGATGACTCAGGGAGCCCTCCCTACCACAGCCAAGGCTAGGTCACCTTGCTGTGTGTGGTCCTGTCACCCTGAAGTCCCTGTGGCATACCACTGATCTTGCTTTACTACAATTAATAATAAAGTATAACTGGTAACATTTCTCCTCCCAATTACATGCCCAATTCCATATGGGTGTCGCTGTGCCCACGTTGAGTGCTATTAATTTCCTACAGCCTACCACGGCTCTTAGACACATAGTTAACATCCAATAAGTACTTCCCAAATCTACCAGAAATTTACAGTGATTTTATTAATAGATATCATCTTCAGAGTACTGATATTTACCCCAAGATGGTGTGAGAAGTCAGACAAACTTTCTCCCTCTACCATCTGCTGTTAAAATAGCAAGACACCTACAGAAAGCTCTTCCTTTGCTCCTTTCATTCCAAGCCAAGGCCATCTATATTAAACTCTGGGGCTGTCAGCCCCAGCAAGAAGGCCAGAGTGGAATATATAAAGCATATACTTATGCATCTCCTCTAGTATACAAATTTAGCCTTTTTTTAGGTTTAGCATGGGGAAACAAGTCCAGTTATTCTCACCACTTATTTCCTTCAACAAATATGTTTTGAGCATATTTATGTCCAAGGTACTTTATGAAGTTCTAAGGACATAAAGATCAGCAATGGACAGGGTTCTTGCCTACATAGAGTTTATGGTCTGGTGGGGATAGAATGACTCAGATGAGAACAAATATGTAATTCAAACTATTGTAAGATCTGTGTGATAGAAAATTACCTTACTGGAAAAGTGCTCTGGCCTTGCCCTGGACTCCTGGGAGGGGATCTCTAAGCCCTTGGAATGTCCTGCCTGATGAGTATGTCTTTGTTTACGTGGAGACTGTGGGCCCCCAAAGGTGAACAGGAAATAAACTTCTATTGTGTTACATCGCCAAGTCCGGGGGTGAAGAATACTACCCTAGCACATTAATAAAGACACTGCCCAGTCGTATGGAGACCAACTCCTGAGGAGAACAGACATTTTAACTCCATCTGCCCCTGCTTCCTGTATCACTTTACTCTCCAGGTAACTTTACTCTCTATGCTATGATTGTAGTCTCTTTTCTTGATCTTCCTCCCTCCATTCTCTTAATGTTTTAGATTATTTCCACCTACTTCCTTATTTTTCAGTCTGACCGTGTGTTTATAAATAAGCCACTATATTATCCTGATATAAGGTTTGAGTAAAGCAAAGTTATTCATTGTCAAAAGGACGTCTGATCCTCCTAGCCTTTGCAACCGACTCTTGCCCTTCATCACTGCTTATCCATCATGACTCTAAGCTTTTTTCTCTTCTCAGTGAGGGAAAATCTAACCACCGTTACCTAAAGAGAGCTATAGAGAAGATCCACGTCGCACTGACAGAGAGGGAAAGAAGGCAATGTATTTTTTTCTTTTAGTTTAAATGACACTTATACTAGTGGTGGGGAAAAGAACACTTTTCCAGTTTCCCAAATAAGAGGACAAACTAAGCAAGATTAAAATGCCTACTTACTCTGGTATATGGTCAACTGGTCCACCACACTTTTATGAACACTTGATTTTCAGGACGAATGTTTAGAAGAGGAGGCTATTTCCAATCTATTCATCCCCGTGGCTCTCGAACCCGCCCGCAGCACTCAGAACAGCAGCGCCAGAACGCACGCTGATCTGACAGCGAGGCTGGCCGCCAGTGAAGGTTTCAGGAAGGCACCCAAAGGTCCATCCTCATGTCTGTTTAGTTTCACACACTGGTCTCCTCTCTCTGCCTAACAATGGAGAGTCACTTCCCTTTACCTTCTCTAGTTCTACCGTACTTGGGAATGGTAGAATTACTCTAGTTTCTTGGAATGCTCCCACTAATCCTGTACACGCAGAAGATCGTGCTACACTTACGACGGCTTTCTGACGAGCAGGAGCCGCAGCATGGACTTCAGTCGGGTGGTACAAGGGAGAGCCCCTTCGCCTGCCTCAGGACTCTCTTTGCTCAGGAGGAGAATGGAGTTACCCAAAGGATCTTCTGTGTCAGCATAGCCCTAACAGATTGCAGAAAAAGAGAAATTACTCTTGGTTTTATACATATTGCTGAACCTTTTAACTTGAAAATAAGAATTGTATTAGCCTGTCAAGCAACTCCTAAATTTCTTTCAACTCAGGTGAATAGTCACTTGTCAAAATAACCTATGTGAGGTAAGAAGCCTATGTAAAGTTGTATTTAAAAAACAATATTGGACAACTTCAGGAAAATATGCCAACTCTCTTGACACTTGCTGATTTTTCTATTTTCCAAGATTCTGGTAGTGGCACCTCCCCTAGATGAGGTGCTTCCCAGATCTTCAGACCTGTGCCCACATGACAGGTGGAGGCGGGGGAGTGCCCTGAACGCCCCTCACTCTTCCTCAGTGCCCAGAATCACTGCTGGAAACACCTGTTTCCCAGAACCTGTTAATCAAAGTAACACTCTGATCACATACATACATGGATGCAATTCACAGGCAAGTTTAGTTATGTAACATCTGCTTAAAAAGCACTGTTAGCTTTGCCTAAAAGCCTTTATATAAGGCTGAGTTCTATTTTTCACAGTCAGTGCCAAATGCCTGCACCCCTCTTCTTAACCTCCCACCCAGATCCATAAAGTGCACACAGACAAATTAGCTCTCCTGGTTTAACCTTCTTCCAGAAACAAGACAGCCACCCACTCCCTGCCCCCTTCCCCACAGAGCCTTCACGGCATCTCCTCATTTCTTTCACAGGACAGTTCTGCTGTCTGCACACGTTTCAATCAATCACACTCGCCCGAGATAAAAGGTATAGGAAACGGGGACTCGCCCACAGTACCTGCAGCACTGGAATGACAGGACAGAGAGACTCAATAAACTTGTTCCAGGTCACCGCTGTCATCATCAATCGTCCCTGCAGCAGATACAGCAGGATGGCCTTGGCAGCAGCATTCACCTGTTCAACAACACGCATCACGTGACGCGGCAAAGTGAGGCTCCCACTAAAGTCACCCGTGTGCACCTCTAACATTGTGTCAAATCTGGAAAGGTGCTCTAATTAACATCTCTTCCTTCAAATGCTCATATTCCATAGCTTCATCTTACATTCTGTTCTCAGCCTTCCTCCCTAATGATTTCCTTTTTTTTTTAATCTTTAAGGTATATGTTTGCATTAAATAAAAATCTCCCCGATGAAATAACCTGCTGGCTATAATGCCATAGAGTTCATATCTCACATGAAAAACATAAGAGCTTCCTCTGAATTCTCTGAGAACAAGTATGTGCTTTACCTTGATTCTCACGTTTTCCTTAACATTTCTTTTTATGTAAATAACATCTCAACTGAACCCATAAATCAAAAGCAAGTTTCTTTTCAACTTCTCATTATACTATCTAGTTATAGTAGAATAGGATCTTGATTTAACTGAGTATCTAATAAGTACACTTGTCTTTTGCATTTACTCTTATGCCATACCTCATTTTTGGGCTCTTGAATGCCAAATGCAGAGATTTCATACAAAACTTTCGGGTGAAGTAGAAAATGAATTCCATTACAAAGTGAAGACACAGGTTTAGTGACATTATGGACACCTAAGCATTCCTGTAAAATAGTTTTTAAAAATTAGTGACACTAATTTTTCCAAAGGATTCCTCTTTCTTCTGTTTACAATTTAATTCTAATTTTTTTCACTTTGCTGAAACTTTTCTTTTACCTGATAGAGGATGAAAAAAATTTCTCTTGCCTTGTGAGGCATGTTACATGATATATGTTAGGATATATGTTATGTTACTTTCTGCCAACAAGAAGAGTTTTGATAAATTAAATAACCAAACTTCTGAGACAATCATAATCTCGTGAAGTTGTTCATAATTTTTTATTATTAAAAAATTAATAATAAACTTATCCTAGGGTGTTTGCATTTTGCTCACTGAGGTTTGAGAAAGAAAAACAAAATTCAAATGAAAATAGACTTGAAGTTTTGCAGGAAGGGAAGGACAATATATCTGCAGGATATTTATCATCAATACAGCTCTGCACCTGAATAAAGTACTGACTCCATGCCGTCTCTCAAACTCATCATAAATTCTTTTCTCAATTTGAGCTAGAGGACAGTATTTTCTTAGAGACTGCTTAAGAAGGGGGTAAAAGCTACCTGAAATATTAGCAGAATTTAAATACAATATAAAATATAAAAATAAAATCAACAATGACTCTCAGAAATGGAATTTTATTCACCCTGTAAAATACTACTTCCTAACCACAAGCAGTAAATCAGAGGTCAAAAAGTTACACACACACACACATACATACACACACACATATTTTTTTCTCTTTAGATTTTAACTTCATGCTAGACAATAACTTTATATTCTAAGCTTTCGAAAGAGCATAGCGTTGGCCTATGGTTTAATAAAAGCTCTGTCACTTGGGACGCCTGGGTGGTGCAGTCGGTTGAGTGTCCACTCCTGGTTTCAACTCAGGTCATGATCTCGGGGTCATGAGACTGAGGCCAGCGTCGGGCTCCCCGCTCAGTGGAGAGTCTGCTTGGGATTCTCTTTCTCCTTTCCCTTCACTTGCTCGCACACTCTATCTCCCCCACCCCAAATACATAATAAATAAAATCTTTAAAAAAAAAGTTACTTCCTCAAAATCCTTAAACTCGGGGCACTTGGGTGGCTCAGTCAGTTAAGCAATCGATTCTTAATTTCGGCTGAGGTCATGATCTCAGGGGCGTGAGACTGAGCCCTGCAGCAGTCTCTGTGCCCACTGTGGAGTCTGCTTGAGATTCTCTCTCTCTCTCCCCCTCTGCCCCTCCCCCAGCTTGAGTGCACACTCTCTCTCTCTCTCTCTCTGTAAATAAATAAATAAATAAATAAATAAATAAATAAATAAATAAATAAAATCTTAAAAAAAAAAAAAACAACCTTGAACTCTCTGACCTTCAGTTCACTAATCCATATAATGGGAATAATACCTAATCCTTAATGAAACACCTTTCTTTCTCATCACTAAATATATCAACTTACCTATATTGGTCTTTTCACAACACAAAAAAACACTACAAATGCTGTCAAAGACCAGTCCTACCTGCTAAACTGCATCCTAGGTCTCCTCCTAACACCTATTAGTTCCTGCAACTGTCTTCTCCTCCAGCACCTTCACTACTTCTTCTTCAGAGGAGGAGTACTCCTCTGACACACTCTAAGGGGTCCCTGCTGCTCACAGCCTATCTTCCAGCTCTGCATCACAGCACAAGTCCTCAGTCTCGATGTGCTCACTCCCAGATTCTCCTCCACCCACACTGGTAGGATGTCAGGCCCCACCACCCCCTAGAGGCCTCCTGTCAACCCCCCTGACACCAAACCCAATGGGCTCACTTCTGTTGTCATCTGACTCTGCCCAGGAAAGCATGCTCCCCTTTCACCTCAGACACTTCTATTTCTGGTGCTGGCTCCTTCCGTGCCCAACTTCTAACCCGTTAGACCCTAAATGGCCTTCTCTCCCCCAGTCTCTCACCAGATCATCCGACTGGTTCAAAACAGTTCTATTCAACCCACAATCTGATACTTAGGACACCACCATCAATCCAACTACTAAATCCCAAACTCCAGAATTCCTCTTTGACCACTTTCTATATCCTATTCCCATTATCAGCAGACCAACCAGCTCTACGTCCATAATACATCCTGAATTCATTTTTCTCCTTCATCTCCACCACATGATCATATCTCACAGGGGCTACTAGAGTGGAATTGGTCTTTTGGCTTCCACTCCTGACCCCTGACAATCAATTCCCCACACAATAGGAAGAATGATCTTTTTAAAAAGGTAAACAGATCAAATCACTTCCCTGCCTAAAATCATTCATAGCTTCTCACTGTACTTAGAATAAAATTCAAAGCTTCATAATGGCTGGCAAGGCATTCCAAGGAATTCATTAAAGTCCACTTCAAGGACCTGAACATCAAAACCTATTCCACTATTCTAAATTTCTGAGGGTAAGAACTATCCCACACATATGGATCTCTTAGCCATCAATATTCTAGATCCCAATGCCTTCAATTTTCAAAGGCACTAGCTTCTCTTAATTAGCCACTTGCCACCCTCTATCTTTCCCTCTCAGCTGGTTCTTTTGATGAACATTTCTACATACTTAAATGAAAATGTATCTTCCTAACAAGCCCCTCCCGGGCTACAGCACCTATCAACTCTGTCAAATCCCTGGAAACAAGGCAGAAGCAGATATAAAACCAATGTCTACAGAATATGAGATTCCCAAAGTATAAACCACCTGCCAAAGAAAACCTTACAATCAAAAATCACATCACCTACTGAAATCAACATTTGAGAGAGTCAATGGCCATAATAAATGAAAGCATTCTATATAATAGAAAAATCTAAATAAATTATAAAGTATGTTCACAATTTCCAAAGAAGCAAAAGAAGAAAATGAAAGACTATTATAGGAAAAAACAACAACAACAACAAATAAGTTAAAAAAGCAAAGTAAAAAGTGTAATAATAAAAAATGGAATCAGTGAAATTTAAAACTTGATAAATAAATTAAATGCAATCACAATGAGACTGGGTGGCTATTATTAAAAGAAAGAAAAAAGAGAAAATAACAACTATTAGGGAGCATGTAGAGAAACTGAAACCCTTGTGCACTACTGTAGGGGACGTGAAATGATGCAGCCGCTATGGAAAACAGCATGGCAGTTCTTCAAAAACATTAAAAATAGAACTACCATGCAATCCAGTAATTCTACTTCTGGATATATATACCCAAAAGAAATAAAAGCAGGGACTCAGATATTAGTATGCCCATGTTCAAAGAAGCATTGTTCACAATAGCCAAAAGTCCTTCATCAGATAGTGATCCGTCAACAAATATAATTACATGCAACAGAATATTATACAGCCTTTAAAAAGGAATGTAATTCTGATATATGCTATAATATGAACTATGAAGACATCATGCTAAGTGAGATTAACCAGATACAAAAAGGCAAATACTATATGACTCCACTTATATGAGATACCCAGCACAGTCTCATTCAGTCAGAAAGTAGAATGATGGTTACCAGGACCTGGGAGAAGGGAGAATGGGGAATTATTGTTTAAAGGGCAGAGTTTCAATTTGGGAAGATAAAAAATTCTCGAAATGGAGAATGATAATGGTTGCACAACAATGTGAATGTGCTTAATGACACTTACCTGTATACTTAAAAATAACTAAGTGGTAAATTTTGTGTTACATATATTTTACCACATTTTTTAAAAGCAAGTTAGAAATAGCTGAGGAAAGAACTAGTGTACTGAATGACTGCACTGAGGAATTCCATCCAAACAAATCAAAAAAGATATGGAAAATGTGAAAGAGGATTTAAAAGACACAAAGGGTAAAATAAGGAGGACTAACACAGATCTAGTAAGAGTTCTACTTGGAGAGAACAGCAAGGATAAGAGAAATAGTAGTAATTGAGAATTATCAGAAATGAAGGTAGACATGAATCTTTTGGCTGAAGAGTACTAAACAAGACAAATAAAAAATGTGCACAAAGACACACTGCAATGAAACTGAGAACAGCAGAGATAAGGAAAAGATCTTAAAAGCAACTAGAGGAAAAAAAATCCAAGGAAATTATAATTTAACTGATAGCAGACTTCTCAACAATGACAGAAGCCTAACAAGAAAGAAGCACTCTTGACAAAGTGCTAAGGGAAATAGCAGTCGACCTATACTTCCATATCCAGCAAAACTATCATTCCAGAAGAAGGTAAAATCATGGCATTTTCAAACCCATGTACCATCAGTTACAGACCATCAATAAAAATACTGCAAAACTTATTTCAGTGAAAAGTAGACTGAAGCTAAATTTATATCAATAAATGAAAAGTACTTTCAAACTAAAGAGCAGTTAAGAAGAATGAACTGGTAGGAGTCCACTATTAAATGAAAGGCATAAGGCAGCAAAAACATACATACAGTATGAAATTATATACTTTTTTAAGCAGAAGAATCAGTTGTATATATTATTCATAAAGACACACATATATAGTAAAACTATATAAAACACATGGATGGGAAGGAGAAACACCAACTTTGTAAGAGTGGTTGTCTTGGTGGATGAAGAAAGGGGAAAAAAGAAAGGAAAGAAGTTTGTTATAACTAGTATTTTTATTTCTCTGAATAAAAGAGGGTCAGAATTAAAGTGGCAAAATGTAAACATCTGTTATATCTAGTTAGCATTTACAAAAATGTTAAATACAAGAGTACATTTTCTTTTTTTTTTAAGATTCTATTTATTTGTCAGAGAGAGAGAGAGAGAGCACACGTGCATAGGCAGGGGAGCGGCAGAGGGAGAAGCAGGCTCCCCGCTGAGCAGGGAGCCTGATTCAGGACTCGATCCCAGGACCCTGGGATCTCGACCTGAGCTGAAGGCAGACGCTTAATCAACTGAGCCACCCAGACATCCCAAGAGTATATTTTCAAGAGTACACAGAAACATATATTTTTCAGTACTGTCCTATGTACAATGTTCTTTTTAATATTGAAATAGTTAATATTTTATGTACTATTCTATGCTGAACTATCTTACAGCTTAAAAAGATAGAAAAATATTTTCTTCAAAAGAAAAATATTACTAAGAAAACAGACCTGACACTATAAAATTTAAGGTTAATAACCCAAAATTTTTCCTGAGCATAGAAATGACTTTTGTTCCTTGGTTTTAAAGATTTTATTTATTTATATGAGAGAAAAGAGCATGAGCAGGATGGGAGGCGGGGGTGCAAAGGGAAAGGGAGAAGCAGACTCCCCGCTGATTGGGGAGCCTGAAATGGGGTTCAATCCCAGGACCCTGAGACCATGACCTAAACCGAAGGCAGATGCTTAACCAACTGAGCCACCCTGGCATCCTGAATACATGGTAGAAATCAACATTTTCTTACAATGCTTCCATCATTAAATAACACAACACAAAGGTAATTCTTAACAAATCTTCTAATAAAGCAATTCAATTGCTAGACTTGCTATTTAGGGAATTAATAGCAAAAATTTCTTAAAGTTGATAAATGTCATTTATTTCTATGGTAATAATTCTTATATCTCATGCAAAATGTCAACTAATTTTAGAGTTTTAATAAGAGAATCCAGAGGCACTGGCTGGCTCAGTAGAGCATGCAACTCTTGATCTCAGGGTCATGAGTTCAAGCCCCATGCTGGGCATGGAGCCTACTTAAAAAATAAAATACTATATAAAAAATAAAATAAAATAAGAGAATCCACTATTAGCTCTCTCAACAACAGAAAACAAAAACCAAAAAACCCACCTTAATAATTTCCAGACAGCAATTGTAAGTTTCAACTTTCACTTCCAGTAATGGGTGAGATAACATGCGTAGAAACACCTTCTGACTTTCTCCTTGAAGTAATGGACTGGCCTGTGCAGATTTCCAACTGGCAAAAAGGTAAAATATCCAAGACATCTAAGGTAAGTGAGTTATTAAAGAGACTGAAAAGCATAGTGGAAGGGGTTTCTTCCTACTCCAACTCCTCCAACTGAGATCTTACTTAACTAACCCAGTATTAATTGACCTAAGCACTTACTTGTCTCAATGGAAAAAAATATTCTCTTAAAAAGTACAAAAAAATTCTTTAAAAACCCATATTTGGAATGTAAACTGATACAGCCATTATCGAAAACAGTATGGTGTTTCCTCAAAATCAAAAGTAGAACCTACCATATGATCCAGCAATCCCACTACTGATTATAAATGTAAAGGAAATGAAATAAATATCTCAAAGAAATATCTGTACTCCATGTTCATCCCAGTATTATTCACACTAGCCAATACAGCTGACCTCTGAACAACACAAGGGTTAGGGGCACTGACCTCCATGCAGTTAAAAATCCATGTATAACTTTTGACTCCCCAAAAACGTAACTAGTAATAGCCTACTGTTGACCAGAATCCCTCCAAGTAACATAAACAGATGATTAACACATACTTTGTATTTTATAAGTGTTACATATACATTGTAGTCTTACAATAAAGCTAGAGGGGAAAAAAAGTTTAAAAAATCCTAAGAGAAAATACATTTACAGTACTGCACATATATTTATTGAAAAAACCCTCATATAAGTGGACCTTCAAAGTTCAAATCTGTGTTGTTCAAGAGTAACTATATATGAAAACAATCAAGTGTCCATGGATGGATGAACAAATTAAAAAAATGTAGTATATATATACAATGTAATATTATTCAGCCTTAAAAAAGAAAGAAATCCTATCATTTGTAACAACATAGATGAAGCACGAGGACATTATGTTAAATTAACCTAAACCAGGTACAGAAAGACAAATATACTGCATAATCTCATTTATATGTGTAATCTAAAAATGTCAAACTTGGGGCGCCTGGGTGGCTCAGTTGGTTAAGCGACTGCCTTCGGCTCAGGTCATGATCCTGGAGTCCCTGGATCGAGTCCCACATCGGGCTCCCTGCTCGGCAGGGAGTCTGCTTCTCCCTCTGACCCTCCCCCCTCTCATGTTCTCTCTCTCATTCTCTCTCTCAAATAAATAAATAAAATCTTTAAAAAAAAAAAAAATAAAAAAAAAATAAAAAAATAAAAAAAAAAATAAAAATGTCAAACTCATAGAAACAGAGAGCAGAATGGTGGTGGCCAGGGGCTGAGGAACACAGGAAATGTGGAGATGTTGGTCAAAGCGTACAAGGTTTCAGGTTTTCAGGATGCACAAATTCTGGAGATCTAATGTTCTCTATGATGACTACACTTAATAATACTGTATTGTATTCTTGATACTTGTTAAAGAGAACAGATCTTAAACGTTCTTACCACACATAAACACACACACACATAAACATTAACTATGTGAGGTAATAAATTAATTAATTTAAAAATCCCATACTTAATATTTTTTTTTTAAGATTTTTATTTATTTATTTGACAGAGAGAGAGAGAGAGACAGCAATAGACGGAACACAAGCAGGGGGAGTGGGAGAGGGACAAGCAGGCTTCCTGCGGAGCAGGGAGCCTGATGTGGGGCTCGATCCCAGGACCCTGGGATCATGACCTGAGCCGAAGGCAGACGCCTAACGACTGAGCCACCCAGGCGCCCTCCCATACTTAATATTTATCATCATGGAATTTACTCTTTCCAAAAGCAATGAAGATACTAAATTCTAAATAGGAATCTGCTCCAATGTCTTCAAAACATTTATTTAAGATTTTATTTATTTATTTGAGAGAGAGAGAGCATGAGCAGAGGGAGGGAGAGTGAGAAAGCAGACTTCCCTGTTGAGCAGGGAGCCTGATGTGGGGCTCAATCCCAGGACCCTGGGATCATGACCTCAGCCAAAGGCAGACAGACACTTAACCAACTGAGCCACCCAGGCACCCTCAATGTCTTCAAAATAAATTAACCAATGCATGATGCATTCTAAAAATCCATACAGGAAAAAGGTAGGAAGCAATGAAACATTAAAAAACCCTCAATTAAGTTATTAATTAAAACTTTAAAGATAAATAAACAAATATGCTTGAATACTTAGTTTGGATGGATACAAAAACAAATGTATAAAAATCCAGGGATAATTCATTTTGATTACAGGCATGACATTTTTAAAGTTTACCCCTGAATAAAATAGCTGACTGCCCTAATGCAGCTATATATATAGTTTAGAAGTCAGACATATATAAAAACAATTTTAACTAAAAAACAGTAACAAGATTTAAGACCAGTTCTGTTTTCATTGCTTCTAAGTGCACACATACACAGTACACCCTATAATAATATAATCATATCAAGAAAGAGAATATTACATCTTTGAACACATGCAGATGATTTCCTTTATTAGGGGGAAATGCTGATGATAGGAAAAGCTTCGCAAGGCTTGGTCTGCCAGCTCCACTAATTCTAAGAGATTCTTCTCTCCCTAAAAAAAGGGCAGAATGAAACAGTAAATGTCAAATTCACGTACAAAAGAATTCTCAACAGCTAACTAAGCAACTTCAAGAAATTAGATCATTCATTAAGAAAGAAAACAGATGAACGTATGGGAAGGGGTTGGGGGAGGAGACAGGAAAATAAACCATAAGAGCCTCTTATCGCTAGAGAACTGAGGGTTGATTGATGGAGGTGGCTGCGGGATGGGGCAGATGGGTGAAAGGTATTAAGGAGGGCACTTTTCGTGATGAGCACTGGCTGTTATATGTAAGTGATGAGTCACTGAATTCTACTCCAGAAACCAATATTGCACTGTATGTTAACTAAGTAAAATTTAAATTAAAAAAAAAAAAAGAAATTAGATCATTCAGAGTCCTTGAGACTGTTAATATTTGCTTAAGTCCACTTTTCCAACAAGCAAACTAAAAATGTCAGCCCAGGAGGAAAAATTCCTCACGAAATGCCCAAGAAAGGTTTCTATTTTTCACCTCTAAGTAGGCTTAAGGTTACAATTGAGTGGCTATTTGTTTGTAGCCCTATTTCCCTACTAACTGTAGACTCAGAGCAGGACTCATGTATTTTTATGATCCATTTCCCCCTTCTACATCCTGACTGCTTCTACAAACATAAAGGACAACCAATACATGCATGATTAACTGACCATGCAGAATACCACAGAAATAATTCAATTTAAAGACAATCTGCACTTCTATCACGGAGGAAACAAGAAGCCATTGGCATTGAGATATGGCTAAAGAAAAAGAAAAAAAATAATGGGTAACTAAAGGAAAATTAGAGGTTGAGATAGCTTCCACTGTAGGGAATAAAAGGAATAAATATTTAGCTCCTAATTTTTTAAGATCTTCAGGACCCATTTTGGTACTTTCAAACAGTAAACAACTATTGTAGTCAGTGTCTATTTTAAGACTCACTAACCCCTTCATTGATAACATATTAAACATCCTAATTAACAGTTTCTCTAAAAGGGATAAATAACAATATATAATTATTGCTATAACATGGCACCTAGTCATCCTACCTTACAAACAATCTAGCTCATGGTTTTATTTAATAAAAATCAGGCTCTTTGTGTGAGTGAGTACTAAGAATCCATAAAATATTAAAGGAAACGTGTGTCTACAGATAAGCACTAAAATGGCCCTTATAGTTGTGTTTATGTCAATTGTCACAGTGTTCATACAAAGTAAATCACTTCAAAAAGGAACTCACTATTAAATATTCAGACATTGATAATAATTACTGCCTTTTTAAAAACCACCGGTCTCATGAATACACACCATTCATCCATCTACAGTCTTCGTTTACCTGCCCCCTCATGCAGTAGGCAGTGCATCAGTCTCATAACATCTTCGTTTACCTTTACACAAATCATATCCTTACTTTAATATGATAAATGACCATTCAGTAATAATATACCCCGCCTCCAACAATTCAGTTATGATACGTCCATTGATTTGAAAGTATAGGCTACATTTTCCAAATATTTTAGCAAAGGAATATTTCAAAGATATTAACAAAACTGTTTACCTCCTTCCCAACATCAGACAGGAAGTTACAGGTACATTCAATTGAATAAACAGCCTCTGCAGTTCGTTTATAAATACTGTAGTTTTCAGAATTCAGCTGTTCCAAATATGCCACAACAGCTTCGTGAATATTTGGATATTCCAAAGAAATAGGCATGTCCAAAGAAACTAGAAATAATGCTGCTGACATAGACTCCGGTAAAAGGTGGCTTGCCTTAATGAATTAAAAAAAAAAAAGTTAAAAAAATTTTTAAGAGAAACATGGTAGACTACTCATGTAACTAGCTCAACTTCCTATTTTTATCATTCTCTAGCACAAAGTCTATGCTTTTCCAAAGAAAATTCTATTCCCTAATGCACTACTCACTTCTGTGTCTTGTTCAATGTAATTTTTCTCTGCCCAGAATAACTCAAGTCCAAATTTCAACATTTTCCCAAAACCTGGGACACAGGATACTTAACTTCTTCCCCAAACCAACAACCAGAACTACCAACAGCTAGAACTGGACCCTCCACCTTGTTTATAACTCTGCTACTGAACTGAAGGCAGGAGGCTTCTTGATCTGATTATTTCATGCTGTGCACATAAATCTCCAGAGTAACGCAATAAACTCCTGAAGACGAGCACTTCCCAACCAAACAAAGCTGAACACATAACCCAGGGCTTATTAACTACATATTGAATTGAATAACACTAAATCAAACATAACTACAGATTGATTTGAACAGAAATTGATTTTTTGTTTAGTTTGTATTTTAGAGGGAAAAAGGGAAATTCAACAATATTTAAATATTTCTAGAACACCCAAAGAGGACTGACCCTTAATTAGTATAAAACCACAGGCCCAAATGAAATATTACATATTTTAACTTCAACTGATTTAAAATTGAAAGAACTGTTTGGGTTCTGTTTTTTTAATGATTATAGTTTAGTGATAGGATTCTATGAATCAATTAAGGAAACAAAAAGGATTAAAAATTTAATGTTTGGAGAAAATCATTTGGCAGAGCTCACTACTTTGGCTGAAATAATGTCTTTATTAAAGTAGGTTTGGTCACCATTTATTTCATGGATAACTTATTTTAAGAATAATTAGTTACCGCCTGAAAATCTAAAATTAAGTCTGAATCAGTTAAAAAATGCTTCTGTATGAAATAAAGTTGCCAAATAAATATCAGAAACCAAAGGAATCAAACATAAGCATGAAAAATAAAAACCCGCTATTAAGATAGCAGCTATTAGATAAGAGAAATTTCATGATTCTGTGAAGAACTCTCTTAGTGGGGAAAAAAGAGAGGCAAACTGAATTACCTGATCACCTATTATTTGCTCACTCAGCAAATACTTATTGGGCCCCTACTGTGTTCCCCTACCATAAGCCAGATCCTGGGGGCACAGCAGGAAGCAAACAGAGCCTCTGCCCTCACAAAGTGAACATTCCAGTGAAGAAGGCAGAGTAAATCAATATACTTCATAAGATATAAGGTGTGACCAGCAGTGCTAAGAAGAAAAACAAACAAGGGATGGGAAAGATGGAGAGGAAGAGATACAATGCGGAGCAGAACAAGGGAAGTGCTACTACTCTAGAGGGGAAGGACTCTCTGATAAGGCAACATTTAAGTAAAGACCTGGAGGAGTGAGGAGCTGTGTGGATTATCTGGAGGAAAAGCATCCGTAGAAGAGGGAACTGCAAGTACAAAGACCCAGAGATAGGGTATATCTGGCAGCAAGAAGACCAGTGAAGCTAACACTGAAGGATGGGCGCAGGGGCAAAGTGACCACATCAGCTAAGGCTTAAAACTTGTCTTTGGAGGAAGCACTGGAAAATTTCAAGCAAGTATCAAGAGCAGTCTGTAGGGAAAAGGTGAAACAGTGCAAGGGTGGAAGGTGGGACATCATTGAGGAAGTTACTGCAACAATCTAGGCACGAAAGGTGCTTGAACCCTGGTAACAGTGGTGGGAATGGCAAGAAGTGTTCAGATTCCAGATAGATGTCAAGGAAGAAATGACCCTTCTGCAGAGGGACTAGATCCAAGGATGTGTGAAAGACAGGAATCAAGGATGACTCTAAGCGTTCTGCCTGATCAACAACCAACTAGAAGAATGAAGGTGCTATCTACCCAGAGAAGGAAGACTATAGAAAGAACAGAGCAGAACTGAAAAACGAGTTTGCAGTTCAGGGTACACATGTGTTCTGGAACTATAAATCCAGGAGGTGTCAGCAAATTGATGGTATTTAAGACCACAAATGGGAGGATATCTCATGAGGACCTTGGTCAGTCCTGGGGTTCCACTCCTTTCAAAGGTTAGGAAGAGAAAGAGGAATTAGCCAAGGAGATTTTGTGAGTTGGGCACTATGCTAAGATACCAAATCCTCATGGATTTAATGCCAAAGGCACTGTGTTCTAATTTTAAAAGAGCTCTCTCTGACTCTAGTCAGAAAAGTAAGAATAGCTGATGTGAGAATTAAGCACGAGCAGATGTCTAGCATATCTCACTTAATAAATATTAATTTCCTTTCTTCTTTTCACCCCAACACTAAGGAATTCTGACATCTTCACTCTTCCTCCCTACATCTGAAACTTCATCATCTCAGCAACTCAAAGCACCATGCTACAGTCTCAAATTTAATGCTGGCATGGCCCAATGGACTGATCACAGTCGAGAGACTGAAGACAGCTGTCCTATATATATAAGCATTAGTCACATGTCAGTCAGAACTAAAAGTGAAGATACTTCAAAGCAAATCCATCACCACTATTAGATAAAAACAATCAACAACATCACTTCATGTGCTGAGGGGGAAAGGGGCATAACACTGCTCTCTCTATACCTTCCCACTCAGAGCAGGCACAGCATTATCTAAAGGGCTTGTTAGAATGCAGACTTTCAAGTCCTACTCCAGAACTAAAGGATGTAAATATGCAAGATCCTAGGTGATCCGTCTGCACATTACACTTTGAGAAGTGCTACTCTGAATCTATCAGCTTTAGCAAATTATTAGATTATATATATCTCACTGAAAAAGTCAAAGCCTTGTGGTATGAATTCTTCTTTACCCTTAGTCAGCTAGCTAAGAAACAGTCCCAGAGGTTCCTAGGATGCTCTGGATCCTGCTTCCAGCACAGGGCCAGTATTTTTAGCTTTTATTTTTACCAATTTGATTTATCCAACCAAGTTATTTTTCATAAGATTACTAATGCATTGTTTTAACCTGTACATAGGTATTGTCCAAAATCTTTTCAACCAATAATTATCAACTTCAGAAAGGCCTTCAAGGTCATTTTGTCAAAACTTTCAAATCCAGGAAATCTCTACACAGATTCATATTATCATTTTCCAACTTCCAAATTATGTATTTGGGAAGTGGCAACTCATATTTAAAAACCACTTTCCAGGTTGTAAGTTTCAGAATCCAAACTGCACTTCAACTTTTGGTGGGCCAGCAACAGGCAGAGGGCAGCATAATCTTGTATTCATATAAACTGAAAGAAGACATTTAACAGCAATGGCAGAGGATTTTTGTTTAGATCTCATTTTAAAGTTCTTAATCAAAGCAATTACAACCATCTACAAACTGATACCCTAATTGCCATCTCCTCCATGGCCTTCTAATGAAGTGCCAACTACCAAAATTCACAGATACTTACTTGCCTTCAAAAACAAAAACAAATAAAAAATAACTAACTTCAAAAAGTAAAAGAGGCATGGAGGCTTTATATTATTCTAACACTGAAGTAACGCAAAATAAAACAAATTACTGATTTCTACTTTAGTTGATTCCTGCCCAAAAAGCACATAAATGAAAAAAATCTGTAATAAGCAATAAATAAAACTATATGATATAATTGATAAGTTTTCCATCAATAGTACAACCTATAGATAGATTGATCATTTGCAATACTTAATAACAAGTTAATATAGCACTACTAATTTTTCAGTATATAATATCATGTAAAGTGAGACTTCCATATTTTAAATGCAATTACAATCTTATATGACTGGAATTCTTCAATTTATAATACTTCTAACATTGGAAAATTTCCTCAACACGGAGAATTTCTTCAGATTAGTCACTTCTTCATAGTAACTAATGAATGAAGTTAAAAGTTAAAATTAACAAAAGTGATGCTGTTTTCCCTAAAGCAAAATACTAAATTTAATATTTAATATTTTGGGGTGCCTGGGTGGCACAGTCGGTTAAGCATCTGACTCTTGGTTTCGGCTCAGGTCGTGATCTCAGGTGGTGAGATCGAGCCCTCTGTCAGGCTCTGTGCTCAGCACAGCTTCTGCTTAAGATTCTTTCTCTCCTTCTCCCTCTGCCCCTCCTACTTGTGCACACGCTCTCTCTCTCTTTCAAATAAATAAATCTTTAATAAAAATTTAATGTTTTATTCTTGCTTTCCCAGGTGACCTGATAGTATACTGCATATATAAGTGTTATGAAAAAATGGAGTTTAGACTATACGCTCTGCAGAATTCCACAAAAGGGCAAATGTCTATAACAAAGGACAACAAAAGGCACAGGAACTAGTTCTTTAGTTGCAGTAATTTCTCCCATACCTTCATCAAAACATGCCACAACTTTCTTTTTGCAATAAGTACACTATAAAACACATGTGTGTGAATCACTTGAGATATTTTACCACTAACATTCAAATTCAGAGATGATTTAAAAGAAATAGGTACACCTACTAAAATCATCTTTAATATATAGTTATAAAATGGAATTGTATTTTTCAATAAAAACAAACAACTGCTATAAGCAACAACAGTGATGAACCTCAAAAAAGATCTTGAGCAAGTACATACCTTATAATTCCATTTATGTAATGTCGAAAAACAGACAAACTGATCTATATTGACAGAAGTCAGAAAGGAGGAGTTTAGCTTGGACGGAGGAAGGAGAGGTAATGGATGGGAAGGGACTTTGAAATGCTGGTAATAGTCTATTTCATGTTCTGGGGTGGTGGTCACTTTTTAAACACAGATATATTCACTTTGTAAAAATGCAGTGAACTGTGTACTTTCTAAACATGTTACACTACAATTCTGTTACCTAAAGAAAAAACTTTTTTAGAATTACTGGTTTTTTTCTATTAAATGATTTGTCAAAACTGTTCAGAAATGTTAGTCTTTCTCAATGACTACATTTCCAATATAATCTTTGTACGCCATGAAGTGACCAGAAGAAATACATGACAGAGCACTTACTTGTAATATTCCATACACTACAAGCAACATTACCTGCCTTACCTTCTCAACAGGGAGAAGCAACTGCAGTACTCGGACTGCAAACAGTGAGATGCTGACAAAGGCCATCCGGTGGTGGACAAGCATGACCTGGGGTTGGTCCATGCTCACTCCGCTTTTATGGTAGCACATGGTATCTCCCAGGGACCCCAACACCACGAGGAGTTTCTCTTTCTGCAGACATTTAAACACGAAACAGGAAAACAATAAATTTCAGGGAGCCAGGATGTAAAATTTCACGGAGAATAATTTAAGATACTATGACTGAAGAACAAAAACCAAAACAAAAATCTGTTCCTCCCTGTAACAATGACCTATCCCGGGCGCCTGGGTGGCTCAGTCGGTTAAGCGTCTGTCTACGGCTCAGGTCATGATCCCAGGGTCCTGGGACTGAGTCCCACATCGGGCTCCCTGCTCAGTGGAGAGTCCGCTTCTCCCTCTGCCTGCCTCTCTCTCTCACTCCCTCAATCTCACTGATTGATTGATAAATAAATAAATAAATCTTAAAAAAAAAAAAATAACCCGTACCTGCTGAAGTAATTTAAAGCAGTACAAATGAAAAATAAGCACACCTAAAGTTTCTTCAAACAATACTTCTGATAATGAATAAAAATAAACAAAATACAAAAGCTTAACGAAACAAACTCCTCCTAGTTTCTAGTGCTTAATTATTCTAACTTCAAAAATCAGCATGCAAATCTCTCATGAAGTATTTATTAGGCTTAGTATATGCTTAACACAGTGGCAGGTATAATGGGGGAAAATGCATTAGCACAAGAGACATCCCTGCCCTCAAACTGATCCTAAAGTTACTAAAGAAATGAAACAGGGAAAGTCAGATCATTAAAAAAACAATTAAATATAAAATTGTATAAACTCTCCACGTAATAAGGTTATTTTAAGGCAAATGTTCTGCCATCATAAATTTATAGATAATTTAGTACTTAACTAGAAGTTATATCCTTTAAGTTGAAAGGCATACATAAAATACAAAGAGAAAGCTACAACATAGTCGGCTAACTTGCAAATCATAACAATATAGACCAAAATACATCTTACACATGCTGACATGGCCCATAAACGAGCTGGTAAAAGGATAGCATCAGTAAAACAGTAGAACAAACAAGCACTGGAGATCTTACTCTCACCTTTCCATTGAGAATATAGGAAAATAAAAATAGTAAATAACCTGTAAACTAAGGATAAAAATGTATGCCACATTTTTTTGTTCAAGGATAAATATATTGGAAGCAAAATTAAAAGGTATGAGGCCCCAAAAAAATTATATACAGGATCAAAGTCACAATGAGATATGGCTTCACATCCATTATGATGGCTATTATCAAAAATAATGGAAAATAACACGTTTTAGCAAAGATGCAGAGAAACTAGAACCTTTGTGAGTTGCTGGTGAATATGTAAAATGGTCAAGTCAGTTTGGAAACAGTATGGCAGTTCCTCAAAAAATTAAACATAAAAATACTGTATGATCCAGCAGATTCACTTTTGGGTAATATACCTATGAGAATTGAAAGCGGCGACTCAGACACGTACTTGTACATCATTGTTCACAGAAACAGTATTCACAACAGCCAAAAGGTGGAATCGTGTCTATCAATAGATGAACAGATAAACAAAATGTGGTACACCATATATATGTACAGTGAAACATCATTCAGCTTTAAAAAGCAATGAAATTCTGACACATGACATAATATGTATGAGCCTTGAAAACATGCTAAGTAAAATAAGCCAGATACAGAAAGACTGATATTGTACGATTCATTGCACTTACATGAGGTACCTACAACAGTAAATTCATAAAGAAAAATGTAGGATAATAGCTGCCGGGGCTGGGGAAAAGGGGAAAGGAGAGTTACTATTTAGGGTACAGACTTCAGTTTGAGATGATGGAAAAGTTTTGGAGATAAACAGTGTGATTGTACAACAATGTGAATGTACTTAATGACACTAAATTATATACTCACAAAGGGTCAAAATGGAGCTACCCTATGACCCAGCAATTGCACAACTGGGTATTTACCCCAAAGATACATATGTAGTGATCCGAAGGGGGTACATGCACCCCAATGTTTATAGCAGCAATGTCCACAATAGCCAAACTATGGAAAGAGCCAAGATGTCCATCAACAGATGAATGGATAAAGAAGAGGTGGTGTGTATATATATATACACAATGGAATATTATACAGCCATCAAAAAAAAAAAAAAAAAAAAAAACGAAATCTTGCCATTTGCAACGACGTGGATGGAACTAGAGGGTATTATGCTGAGCGAAATAAGTCAATCAGAGAAAGACAAGTATCATATGATCTCACTGATACGAGGAATTTGGGAAACAAGACAGAGGATCATAAGGGAAGGGAAGAAAAAATGAAACAAGATGAAACTAGAGAGGGAGACAAACCATAAGAGACTCTTAATCTCAGGAAACAAACTGAGAGTTGCTGGAGTGGAGGGGGGTGGGAGGAATGGGGTGGCTGGGTGATGGGACACTGGGGAGGGTATGTGCTATGGTGAGCGCTATGAATTGTTTAAGACTGACGAATCACAGACCTATACCTCTGAAACAAATAATACATTATATGTTAAAAAAATTTAAAAAAAAAAAGTAGGAAGGGAAAAATGAAGGGGGCGGAATTGGAGGGGGAGAAGAACCATGAGAGACTATGGACTCTGAGAAACAAACTGAGGTTTCTAGGAGGGAGGGGGGTGGGGGGATGGGTTAGCCTGGGGATGGGTATTAAGGCAGGCTCGTATTGCATGGAGGACTGGGTGTTAAACGCAAACAGTGGGGCGCCTGGGTGGCTCAGTTGGTTAAGCGACTGCCTTCGGCTCAGGTCAAGATCCTGGAGTCCCAGGATCGAGTCCCGCATCGGGCTCCCTGCTCGGCAGGGAGTCTGCTTCTCCCTCTGACCCTCCTCCCTCTCACACTCTCTGTCTCTCATTGTCTCTCTCTCAAATAAATAAATAAAATCTTTAAAAAATAATAATAAATTGGTTAAACGCAAACAGTGAATCATGGAACACTACATCAAATACTAATGATGTAATGTACGGTGATTAACATAACATAATAAAATATATTTTAAAAAAAGGTCAAAATGGTCAATTTTGTTATGTATATTTTACCACACACACACAAATTACATAGATGAGAAAACACTTGCTATTTACATGGATCATTTGATAGTGTTGAGTTTTAAAACAAACACAAAATTAAAACTATGATACTTTCCAAATCATTAGCAAAGTAAAAAAGAAGACAAAATATTCTATGCAGTAAAAAAATAAAATAAAAAGGAAACAAAAGAAATAGCAAAAAATTTTGAGAGAAGACCAAGCATAAATGTGCTACAAAAAGTTTAAATTTTCCTATAAGTCAAATATGCTTTCATGTTAAAGTAAAAAACAAAATTAATATGGATTGACACACATAAAAAAGATACCTTTATCTTTGTGCATAAAAGGTTAAAAATTAAATGTGTAGTGAAATATGAATAAAAAATCTATGAAATATGAATAATGAATAATTCAGGGCAAAAAAAATTGGATAAAGGGGGTCATTTTCTCTTGCTGAAATGCATAATTAAGAGTAAAGACCCAGGGGGCGCCTGGGTGGCTCAGTCGTTAAGCGTCTGCCTTCGGCTCAGGTCATGATCCCAGGGTCCTGGGATCGAGCCCCGCATCGGGCTCCCTGCTCTGCGGGAAGCCTGCTTCTCCCTCTCCCACTCTCCCTGCTTGTGTTCCCTCTCTCGCTGTCTCTCTCTCTGTCAAATAAATAAATAAAATCTTAAAAAAAAAAAAGAGTAAAGACCCAGGGGCGCCTGGGTGGCCCACTTGTTAAGCATCTGCGTTCAGCTCAGGTCATGATCCCAGGATCCTGGGATCGAGCCCCGCGTCGGGCTCCCTGCTCAGTGGGAGGCCTGCTTCTACCTCTCCCACTGCCCCTGCTTGTGTTTCCTCTCTCACTGTCTCTCTCTCTGTCAAATAAATAAAATCTTTACAAAAAAATTTAAAAAAGAGTAAAGACCCAATATGAATTGAGTCTGTATGGTCTGAATAACATACACTTTCAAGCAAAACCTGTTATTGAAACAAAGATGGTCATACAGGTTTTAACCCAGTCATTTTTAACTTAATTCATAAATAAGGTGATATAAACTTTGAACATTTCAAAGAATACAACTCCTCAAAGTGTCCAAGAAACACTGACAAAAACTAACCATTTACTTAACCAAAAAGAAAACTTCATTTTTAAATGAAGGTATCTTCTCTAATTTAAAGGTATTTAAAAGTATCTTTATTTAAAGGTATCTTCTCTAATCCAAAGAAAATAAAACTAAAAATTAATAAAATTTAAACCAGAAGCCATTATATTAATGACTACCAGTCTAAAGAAAACAAACTAGAAACAGAGAGACAATCTTACTATTTTGACATGCAATTTTTCCACACAGCACCTCTCCATTAAAATAATACTTTTATACACCTACAAACAACATATCTGTTATTCAACATTAACTCTGACACAATTTAATGAACATTAATTTAAAATCTCAGTATTATAGAGCTTTTCTAAAACTCTATTTGTGAAACTGTTTCAAATAACCTTATTAATTCCAATAATATGTTGAGTGCTTCTCAAATAGTATAAAAAGGAAGTACTATGTAGATTCAGGCTTGCAATTTTCACCATTTCCAGCATTTTTTCTAAGCAAAAAAAAAAGATTTGTTTTAATGTTTTAAGAAAAGAAAGGATTGAAAAACAACAGAAACTGGTCCAGTTTTAATTCGCTGGGCTAGAAATGTTCAAAATGCTGTGAAGTAGTTGATGGAGAGGCTGAGGAAGGCCAATTTTCAGAGGATATTTATAGCTTTTACAAAAGAAGGTACAGAATTAAATCAGATTAGCAAAATACTCCAAATATTCTCAATAAAACAGAATTTACAGTACAAACACAATTTCTCCACTATCTGCACATTACAAAATAGGTAGTAGATACTGTGAAGCCTCTGAAATGTGCAACTGGATTGGGCTCTGCCCCCACCCCCCATGCTTCCAGCCTCATACTCCATACTTGCCTTCCGCTGCAGCCTATGCAAACCTCCCCAGGCATTCTCCTGTGGAAGACCAAGCCCATCCTGCCTTCCGAATGGAGACCACGCTACTCAGCACCAGGGAGCACACCCTACGGCCCACCAGGGTCTCTCCCACATCCTCCACCTCGAGTTCTGTGCTGTATTGCTTGCATGCCCCCACCAGCGCCCCCTTCACCACCAGTCAGCACTATGCATTCCTCCCTGTCATTCCCTTCCCCTCTGCCAGATAAAAACCCTACCTTTACTGCTTAGCCACATCATACTTACAATTTAAGACCCAGCTCAGTCATGATTTACAAAAAGTTCCTCCCTAACCCCCCCCTGGGATTCTAAGATGGGAGGGCTGTCAAGGCATCCTTGGCAATAAAACATGATTGAAAACCTAGACTCTTAAGTGACCTTGAAAAAGAAACGGAGCCTCCATTTCATCTGTAACATGTGTTATCTGCCTTACAGGGTCGTGATGATTAAGTAACTTCATAAACACAGAGTGCTTAAACAGGGACTACAACAGAGAAGTGCTATCCTTAGACTATCTTTTTAAACTATTATTCCTGTGCTCGCCTCTGTTTTACTGGTGTCACAGCAGACATATCTATCCTCCACAAGAGTGAAAAGAACTGCCTCTTATTCATCTTGCACCCCCAGTGCCTAGCATATAATGGGCAATCAAGAAATGTTTGGTGAACTAAAATAACTGTTTCTGGACTGGGGGCAGCAGCAGGGGAGGCCTCTGCTAATTAGAGATTCCACTCACCCAATTATAAATTCACAGTCGGCTTCACTTACCCTTACTGAGCCCTTACTGGGTACAAAGCCCTTCTCTCTAGATCCGTTCACAATGCTCTCAGCCCCACTTGAACTCCAACCAGCAATTCTTCAACATGCCTGAATAGCTAAGTTACCCACTCACAGCAGGTCAGATGGGAAGGTGGAAGCAACGAGTCATAAAGGAGGAGAAAAGACTGTTTTTCATGACACTGCAATGACAGGAGCGACAGAGAGGAGAAGGGCAAAACATGAACGGCAGACAGCCCCCAGGGGCCTGGGGTTTTCTGGCATGAAGTAAAGATCCTCACTCCTTGAACCTAACTTACCATGTGAATGAAGATAAAACAGACTTGATTTCAAAGGGAAGCAAAGAAGGGATGACATACTTTATATAAGTGCTTAGCAAATTTTTTATCTTAACAAAACATAAGTTCATTAAAAATATTTTTTTCCTTTTATTTACTTCAAGGGAAATAAAAACATTCAATGGAGATGGGGGGTGCTTTTGACTATGCTTACGCAAACTGAACTATGGAGCTCCAGACATGACTGTTATTATCACTATTGGGAGAAGTCTAGAGATTTGATTACATATCCTCAGGTATCTACTTTCTGAATTGGTAGCAACACATTATTTTCCTTAAATGACTCAACAAAAATACTGCTTCTATCTTCCCTTTTAAGCTTGATAAAAGTAGGGATATTAAGAAATTCTATTGTTTGCTTCCATTAATATAGGAGGCATTCATTCTTTTAAACAAGTAAAAGTAAATCAAATATAATTTTAAGCAGTACTGTTTTATTTAACATTTCTATCATACCAATTGGCACTTCTACAACAGATTTAACCTTTAAAGTAAAAATAATTCATTGAATCATAAAAGATCAGCAGCCAAAAGTTAAAAGTGAATGACTAACTTTTACAGATAAATGTTCTGGCCAAGAAAATTTAAGTTAATTTAAGAAGGAACCGATAAAACATTCTTCACACTTCTAAGAAAAAAATCACTTGTTGAAAACCTTCAATATGTGAAAATCTTCTAAAAAGTACTACCAAATAGTATGATAACCTTAAGGACTAAAGAAAAACTAAGATTAAGAACTATTGTCCCTATTTTATGGATAAAGAAATTGAAGGACTTGAAACAATATATTATCCGTATTGTAAAATAATGTGTTTTTCTTTTGAAGAGGTGTGTGTGTGTCTTAAGGTTTGGGTTTTCCACACACAGGTATTGGTATTATGTAAACATCAGTATTTTGTTTTTTAGGTTCTAACCTCTATTCACAAGGATCAGGCAGTCCATAACAAAGTTTAATAAAACAAAGACAGACCTAGGTCAAAATAACATAAAGAGAAGAAAAACTGGCAACTATGGGAATCAATATATATTTTTGTGACTAATAAATTTTGCTTTTGCTTCTCTGACAAGGCAAGCATAAACAAAAAAAGAAAGACATAAGTTACCAGTTTACATTAATAAAAAAGACAGAATATCAGTTCTTCAAAGAAATCACATAATTTTAAGATGGAGATATAAAATGACAAATGATTTATGATATATTGAGATGTAAAAAAGGATATGATTTCTAATTACATGGAGACATACTGCTAGTTTACACATTTAAGAAAATAATAGGTTGTAATCTAACATTCCTGAGGTTCCTGTACACATGTTGATCACGCATGTGAAATACTACTTATCAAAACACTTCCTTCAAAAAAATAAATAAAGCCATACTCTCCAAAATTATCTTCCCTACTGAAATACAAATAGCAAAGAACACGGCATCTAGTAGTAAAATGAACTACTGATACACATATCAACATGGCAATATCTCAGAGTAATCCTACTGAAAGCAGACAAAAAAGCATATGAGTTCATAGATACCAAATTCTAGAAAATGCAAACTATATCATGCATATTCATATGTCAAAATGTATCAGAAAACTTTTTAAAACATGTGCAACTTATTATATGTTAATGATACCTCAATAAAGCTGTTAAACACCCACACAAATATATATACACACACATATATATGAATAAACAATAAGAAATGTACAGAATCTATATGAGAAAAAGACTCTTAAAAGACAAAGATGTAGATTTCAAGAAATGGAAAGACAGAGCATGTTATTCCCAAGGTGTGAAGAAAGTCCTTCTATGATTCAAAATCCAGAACCAATTTTTTAAAAAGAAACTGATAAAGCCAGCTATACAAAAATAAACAAATGAAGGGGTTCCTGTGGCTCAGTCGGTTAGCATCCATCCAACTCTTGATTTCGGCTCAGGGTCATGGGATGGAGCCCCGCATTGGGATCCTCGCTCAGTGGGGATTCTGCTGAAGATTCTCTCTCCCTTTCCCTCTGCCCGTCCCATCTGTGCTCACGCTCTCTCCCTCTCTCTCTCAAATAAATAAATCTTTTTAAAAAAACAAACAAATGAATAAAAGATTTTGCATAGTCAAAAGCGTCATTAGGAAGAAAGAAAAACCTGAGGGAATAAAACTGCAACTTGTCTTGGAAAGTCAAAGTCCTTAATATATAAAAGCTTGTAGAAATCAGTTAAAAGAATAAAAGACCAATGACCCAAGAGATAAATGGATGATAAATGGATAAATGCCTGGACTGTTTATAGAAAAAGAAATAAAAATGACCCTTAAAGTTACAAAAAGATGCTCAACTTTACTCATACAGAAAAACAAATTAATACTACACTGACATATCATATCTCACTTATCAGAATGGCAAAAATGTGAGGTTTGACTATAAACCCTACTGCTGAGTGTGTAGGAGAAAACACATTCTAATAAACTGCTGGGGAGTGAATGAAATGGTATAGCCATAAAGGAGAATGCAACAACATCTATGATTTAAAATACATTTACTTTTTCAATTTAAGGATAGTTGACAGACAATGTTACATTTAGTTTCAGGTGTACAGTACAGTGATTCCACAAAAACTTTATGCTGTGCTCACAAGTGTAGCTCCCATCTGTCACCATATGATGTTATTACAATATCATTGATTATATTCCCTATGCCGTATGGCTGTACCTTTCATCCCCATGACTTAGACATTCCTTAACTAGAAGCCTGTACCTCTCACTCCCCTTCATCCATTTTGCCAGTCCCCACATCCACCCTCCCTCTGACAACCTGTTTGATACAGCAATGCTACTTAAAGAAATCTACCCTAGAGACACACTTGTACATGTATGAAATGACATATGCACGTTATTCATATCACATAATTCATATTAGCAATTGAGTCCAACAATAGGAGACTGGCGAATAAACACACACTGAGATACTCGTAGCCTATAAAACAGAAGGATGAACACCTCCACATATGGACATGAAAAATTCTCCATACCTATTATTCCGTGCACATGGGATATATATATATATTTTTAAAGATTTTATTTATTTATTTGAGAGAGAGAATGAGATAGAGAGAGCATGAGAGGGTGGAGGGTCAGAGGGAGAAGCAGACTCCCTGCTGAGCAGGGAGCCCAATGCGGGACTCCATCCTGGGACTCCAGGATCATGACCTGAGCCGAAGGCAGTTGCTTAACCAACTGAGCCACCCAGGTGCCCCAGGGATATATTTTTAAGTTATAAAAACAAGGTGTAAAACCACATGTGACATACTACCTCTTATGTAAGATGTGGGAAGAGCAATGAGAATCTACATGCTTACCCGCTTATGTTTGCAAAAACTAAAATAAAAATGGAAAAAATAAACCAGAGAACAGGATGACAGGGGAACATCTCTGAATTACATGTTTACGAGGAGAAAATAATTCCCAAAAGTAAAAACAAATATAACTGTATAATAAACTGTTAACAGAGAAAAGAATTCTTTCAAGTGACTTTGAGGCACAGTTTTTTGACTGTATATTCTTTTTTCTTTTAAGATTTTTATTTATTTATTTTAGAGAGAGAGAGAAAGTACATGCAAGAGAGAGCTTGAGTGGGGGGAGGGGCAGAGGGAGAGAGAGAATCTGGACTCTATGCTCAGCACAGAGCCCAACGTGGGGCTCAAGCTCCTGACTCTGACATCACCTGAGCCAAAATCAAGAGTCGGATACTCAACTGACTGAGCCACCCAGGTGCCCCTTGACTACGTATTTTTAGTGAGATTTAGTCTAAGTCAAAAAGAAATGCCAAGGGCGCCTGGGTGGCTCAGTTGGTTAAGCGACTGCCTTCGGCTCAGGTCATGATCCTGGAGTCCCGGGATCGAGTCCCGCATCGGGCTCCCTGCTCGGCAGGGAGTCTGCTTCTCCCTCTGACCCTCCTCCCTCTCATGCTCTGTCTCTCATTCTCTCTGTCTCAAATAAATAAATAAAATCTTTAAAAAAAAAAAAAAAAGAACTGCCAAGAAATCTTGAACTTTATCGGTTATTGATCACAGTGATACAAACACTACTATTCTGAAATTACTTAGTATGAAATTACTGAAGGTTAAAGCTAATGAGCAATTATGTTGATATTGCTAAAAAACAAGATTTTCTATGAGCAACAGTACAAAATATGAGCAAGGAAATACAAGTTTAAAATCAGAAATACAGCAATCTGAACTCTTTTTTTAAAATACGTATTTCCTAGTTCAATTACTAAAAGAAAAAAAATATGACAGTAGCTATAAAGGACTCCTTTGGCCTGATTTTAGTTCAATATATATCCCCCATTACAAGTAACCAGAATCAAAAATTAATTAATTAATTAATTAATTAATTAAAGTAACCAGAATTTCTAGAGAAATGGCCTGTTCCAGAATGCACAAAATAAGCCTGGGACATAGTGGCTGGAAATAAAGCTTTCAAAGACTAATGAGACAATGAAACCAGCTTAAAAGGATCAAAATAAAATAAAATACTATTTACCATATCCCAAGGAAAACACTGATTCTCACCATATCTATAGCAAAAAGACTGCTGTCATCCCAGATATCTTCTGAAATTGCTTCACCAATAAGTATCATATCCTCTGCAAGCAATTCCAGAACTCTTATTATCATTTGTCTACTACCTAGGAATATAAACAGGAGATAAGAAAAAACGTTAACTTTCAAATGAACAGCTAGATATCATACTGCTCAATCCTCTAGTCAGTCATGCCCCCAAACTCCTATTTCTCTTTTTATTTTTTTGATGTCTTTAGAATCACTGAAAGAGATGAACAGGGAAGTCACAATCTATAACCACCATTAACATCTCTGTTCCAATCACAATACTATTTAACCACAACAAATCCAATGTGCTCATAAGTGAGAAAGATATTCAAAAAGAAAGTAGCGAAATCTAACTAAAAACGCTGTGAGGTTGATTAAGATTTTTCTAATTCAGAGACCGTCTGTGTTACATATAATATGTGACAAAGCACCAGGTTAGGTTTAGAAAATGCATTCTGTGAATCTCCCATTTAGTGCTAGAAGGCTTAATCCTTGTCAGAAGTATTACACCACACCTGAGCGGCCTGGGAATCTGAGCTTCCACTGGACCAACTAAAGTAATAAATGTGCATGATGGCGTTTGCTGAAGAAACTTCAAGAAAATCCACCTGAAACAGGTTCTCAAGCCTCTATTAACTTAAAAGTCTATAAAAATTCCAAATGAGGGGCACCTGGGTGGCTCAGTCAGTTGAGTATCTGACTCTTGATTTTGGCTCGGGTCATGATGTCAGGGGTTGAGCCCCACATCGGGCTCCCTGCTCATCAGGGAGTCTGCTTGAGGATTCTCTCTCTCTCCCCAACCCCCGCCCCTGAACTGCCCCCTGCTCATATGCGCACGCTCTCTCTCTCAAATAAGTAAATAAATCTTTAAAAAAAAATTCCAGAAGAAACTGTTCTGTCACACCCACCAAAGCAATCTCTTTTCTCCACAGAGACAGAATAACAAAGGAACTCTACCACCTGTAAGGTGAACATTCAATCAAGACTTCCCTGTCCCACATACCAAAGGTCAATTTCCAATGAATAAAAGTAAAGCAAACTACCAGATCATAAAGGTCTAGATTAACTGTTCCATTAGAATGGCTGGAGCAAGTCCTCTTAGAAATCCCTTATGATATTGAACAATTACAAATTATGCAATAATTTATCACAAAAGGGCAAGAGAACATTTAGAAAATTTTATGTACCAAGATATAACTTTATAGTTATCACTCTGACTTTTTACAGCAAATTAAGAAAGGTTAAATGAGAATTCATTAAATCTAAAACTCTTCTTCTCAGTGTACCATGCAGACAAACATATATACTTTATGATGCCAAAGTTCAGCCTTTCTTTATTTCACATTACTAGTACATGAATTCATATGTGCTTCTAACTCCTGGAAGCAGAGTTATTCAGTCAGTGGTAAGTTAGGGTTATTTGGTTTTCCTCAGGATAAAAACATTTTCAACACTTCCCAAATACAAACCTCCATCCTGCTTCCCGCCCCACCACCTCCAAGCAGGCAAAAATAAGACACAGCGCTTGAAGAACCATTCAAATAGGACAGATTCTTTATTGATACTCTATCCAAACAATGCTCATGGCATCCACATTTACTTAGGAGATAAAAAGACTATATTAAGTGCTTAAAAATTTGTATCCCAGGGGCACAAGCATCTGCCTTCGGCTCAGGTCATGATCCTGGGATCCTGGGATTGAGCCCCTCACATGGGGCTCCCTGCTCAACAGGTAAGTGTGTTTCTCCCTCTGCCCCTCCCCCGGCTTGTGCACGCACTCTCTCTCTCTCTTTCAAATAAATAAATAAAATCTTTAAAAAAACAACAAAAAAAAGAACAAGAAGCATTTGTATCCCAAAAGATAAGTAAATACAGATTCTAAATGTCATAACATAGGCGAAAAAAAAAAATAAAAGTCCCTGAAAACAGACAAAACAAAGACAAATTATATAAAAAGAACTACAACTTCAAAAACTAACCTGTTCTTAAGAGAGGAACTGCTGATTCCAGAATAGAGACACAGAACTGGGGAAGACTGAGCTGCTGGAATTGTAGTTCCAGAGTGTCTTCAGTCTCTAGCTCTGGCAGATCTACGTGAACCACATCCAAAGGCGAATGCACAGATATCCGAGAGTTCACAGGAGCATGACTACTACTTCCACTGTAAAATAAAGGATAATCCTTGAATGTGGAAACAGCTCACAAACAGATTTCCTGCCTCTCTGCTATCTGGCATATTAGAAGCTTCACTTTAGACACAACTACATAGCTTCATGCAACAATCCTGGTCAGATTTGAGAAACCCTGACAAATTTATAAGATTGAATTTCATAAAGATGACTCGAAATTGTAAATGAAACCAAAAATGCATTTATATATTGCTTTTTAAAATGACGTTCCTGAAATTCCTCTAAGAGCAATCAACATTAGCACTAATAACCCATTCATTTCTAGAGAAGAGCAAGCCAATTCATAACAAAGTTCTTCTGTAATCAACTTATAGAGGCCAAACTAAATCGTTTAGTTTCCTAGATTTTCTGTGATTTTCACCAAATGTTCTAAGTAAGCCAATGTTAGCAACCGAAGATTGCTAGAAAATGCCAGAAAAACATGAGGAGAAATGGATTACTTCATTTAGTACATTCAACATTACATCATGATTTTGAAAATATACCAAAAAGTGGAACATCCCATCTTCCTTGGCTTTCTTCATAGAAATTCTTACCGAAGTGATGGGGTGAGGATAAAGTGCTATAGAAAGGGCCGAACCTCGGGCGCCTGGGTGGCTCAGTCGGTTAAGTGACTGCCTTCGGCTCAGGTCATGATCCCGGGGTCCTGGGATCGAGTCCCGCATCGGGCTCCCTGCTCTGCGGGGAGCCTGCTTCTCCCTCTCCCACTCCCCCTGCTTGTGTTCCCTCTCTCACTGTGTCTCTCTCTGTCAAATAAATAAATAAATAAATCTTAAAAAAAAAAAAAAAGGGCCGAACCTCACATTTACAAATTTCTGACTTTTAATATTATCCATAAGTGAAGCTGAATCACAGATACACTAATGCTACCGAACGTGGAAAACTCCAAAAATTAAATATATGTTTTGTCATTTCTTCAATTTCAACATCCCAAAATAGGAAAATGAGGTGGGCTTCTCTCCAACTCTAAAGGGATCCATGAGGAAGGTGCTCAGTGAGGAGTGAAAATGCATGCACATGCAGCACTCTAGATACCGCCTAGAGAACAAGACAGAAGGCTTTCTACGAGTAAAGAGGAAAGCTGTGTCTGCCCAACACCAGCTCCCACAGAAGGATTAGGGGCGCAGGCTCTCAGACCATACTGTCCACACCTCTGCCCTCCTCTTTACCAACTGTATAAACGCGGGTAAGGTCACTGCCTTTCTAAAGCAGGCTCGTCTGTGAAGTGATGATGATGGTGATGCTATTACAGGACTGTCAGGAGGACAGCTAAAGGAGATAACACATGTACGGCACTTGGCATAAGACCAAGCACGCAGCCAACCCGAATCAGTGTGAGCCTGCAGCCGCAGGGGCACGAGTGAAAACCAAGCCAAAAACCAGTGTTCATCTCACCGAGCATTTATTAAGACACCACCAAAGAAGAAATCAGTATGTTCGTAAGATGCCTGTAGCCTAAGGAAGAGGTAACACACAAACACCACGCCAATCCCCTTAAGCAAAGTTGATATATAAAAACCTGTACTTACACAAATAAGTAAAATATCGTAAATTGTGCATCTTAACGGAATCTTCGTTTTATAGTCGCTAATCATTCTCTTTAATAATAAATACTGATGTTATGATTAGACTTACAAATGTGGGTTTAAAATATCATCAAAATGTATCTATCATCTAAAGCTATGCTTTTAAACTAGATCGCATTTCATTTGTGGCTGATAAAAACAATTCAAGAGGTCAGAATTTTCATTCTTTTTTTAATGAAATAGAAAACAAAATATAGTTCACTATGTAGCATATGGAATCAAAGTACTGTTTTGTGAACATCTTGTTTTGGCAGGGACACACACACAGGTGTGCACACACGCAAACACACATACACACACACGTAAGAGCATATGTCTATGTACAGAGTATTGAGTTGAATGTAGTATTATTTCTTACTGTAGGTCATGGTCAAAAAAGTATGAAAACAACTGGTTCAACATCAGGCCAATACTTATGGTAATGTTCCAAAAGAGACGACAGAGAAAAATATTAATCTCCCTCTGAAACTAAAACACACACACACAAGTTAACCAGGCTTTTCAACGGTCACCTGGAAGACACGGCGTCCCAATCCTGGCCATCTCCTCTGGGTCGCTGGCCTGTGCGTCCAACCACAGAAGGCCGGGGGCTACTGCTTCCCGGAGAAGGATTCTGGGAATGATGAGTAACTCTAACTTCATGACAGTAAGACAAAGAAGAATTTTGGGAAACTGTATCTGAGGGAAAAAAAAGAATGAAATTATCCCTCAATAGTGACAAATAAGGATTATATAGTTTTTATATGTCATTCTTCCAAAAGACATTAACAAAGTTAAGATAATGGAAACACTTCTATTGGGGTAAAAGTAAAGGTCAACCTTTTCTGCGAGTACTCACTTAGCACATTTAGATTTATAACTAACCTGATTATATGCAGCCTTCTAGCCAGCATTATTGACTTGTAACATTCGGGACTGCCAAAGCAGAATAACAGGTCACTCCCCTGCTCAAAATTCTATGAGAAACCCTACCTCAAACTACATGTAAAAATGAACTCAAAAAGTAAACCTAAATATGAGTTAAAACCATAAAACTCTTAGCAGAAAATACAGAGGTCAGTCTTCATGTCTTGGATTGGCAATACATCCTTAGACATGAAACCAAAGGCAGGACCAAAGAAAACAAAGATAAACTGGACTTCATTGAAATCAAAAACTTTTGTGCGTTAAAGGACATTATCAAGAAACTGACAACCTACAGACTGAGAAAAAATATTTGCAGATCATGTATCTAAAGAGGACTTTATAACCAGGGTATATAAAGAACTCCTAAAACTCAACAAGAAACAAACAAACAAACAAAAAACCAAAAAACCATGAGCACCTGGGTGGCTCAGTCGGTTGAGCTTCCAACTCTTGATTTTGGCTCAGGTCATGAGATCAAGTCCCACCTTAGGCTCCGTGCTCAGCAGGGAGTTCTGTTTGAGACTCTCTCTCTTCCCCTCCTCCTTCCTCCCCAACTCCCCCCCACCCCCGCAAGCTCTCCCTCTCTCTAAAATAAGTAAATAAAATCTTAAAAAAAAAAGCCACCCAATTTAAAAATGGGCAAAGGACTTTAAAAGACATTTTTCCAGGGGCACCTGGGTGGCTCGGTCAGTTAAGCACCTACCTTCAGCTCAGGTCGTGATCTCAGGGTCCTGGGATCGAGCCCCACGGGGAGCCCGCTTCTCTCCCTCCTTCTACCCCTCCCCCCTGCTCATGCTCTCTCTTGCATGCTCTCTCTCAAATAAATAAATAAAATCTTTTAAAGATAAATAAATTAAATAAAATAAAAAGGGAAAATAACAAGTGTTGACGGCTCGTGGAGGAACTGGAAGTCTCATGGGTTGCCAGTGTGGACAGCCACTGTGGCAAACAGTTTGGTGGTTCCTCAGACAGCTAAACGTAGAATAACATGACCCAGCAATTCCACTCTTAGGTATATACCCAACAGAACTGAAAACAGGGGCTAAAACAGATATACGATATTCACCAAAACATTATTCACAAGAGCCAAAAGATGAGAACAACTCATGTGCCCATCAACAGATAAATGAATATGCCAAATGTGGGATATCCATACAGTGGAATATTATTTATCCATAAAGAGGAATGAAGTTCTGACACAGCTGAAACATGGATGAACCTTGAGAACATGATGCTCAGTGAAATGAGCCAGACACAAAAGGACAAATATTGTATGACTCCACTTGCATGAGGTCCCAAGAACAGACAAATTTAGAGACAGAATGTAGATGAGAGATTACCAGGGGCTGCAGAGGGAAGGGGACATGAAGAGCATGGCTACACGGTCACAGATCTTCTATTTAGGTTGATGAAAAACATTTGAGAACAGATAATGGTGATGGTTGCACAAGAGGGTGAAAGCAATTAATGCCGACAAAATTGCACATTTCTAAATGGTTATGAAGGCAGATTTTATGCTATACATATTTTACCATAATTTTTTTAAAGAATTAAGTAAAATAAAGGCATCTGCAGAGGGAAAAAGAAAGTTCTCCAAGAGCTTCTCACTGCACTGCAAGGAAAATATGAAACACTTCCCAAGATCTACAAATCCCTGTACACTGTGGCCCCTGGCTACCTCTCTGATCTCATCCCATCCCCTCTCTGCTCCCCATTTCCCGATTACTGCACTCCACTCACATGCCAGCCTGGCTTTTGTTCCTCAGGCATGTCACCTCATTTCCGAGGCCCCCAACCCTCCAGGAATACTGTTTCTGCAGCTCTTCAAGTGGATGGTTCCTTCTCACCCTTCAGGTCACCTCCTCTGAGAAGCTCTCCCTGCCCATCCTATCCAGGTAAGCCGTACTTCCTGGTCACCTTCGGTCACATCACTCTTCCTATTTCCTTTGAGCACTTCTGATCTGAAACAAACTTATTTACTCATTTACTACCTGTCCCCAACCTTATCTCAGATAAGCTCAGAAGGGTGGGGACCTTAACCGCTTTGTTCAGTGTTATACCCTCTAGAGACTAGAACATCAACTGGTATATGGTTGGTGATAAATAAACATTTAATACATGAATAAATCTTCAAAGATACTATTTTTATCAACATTGTAACTCTTATTCTGATGAAATATGGGGTACCTACAGCTCTCTGTTTTCAGTCATTTGCAAAATGCTCTAGCTCAAGAATGTTAATGAGGAACCCTATACCCTCTGAGATCTGTAATAAAGTTAATGTACAGCATAAGTATTCAAGTAGTATAGGATCAGTGAAACTCTGAACAGAATAGGGATTAACTGTGAAGCATGATGACAAATCACTGTAATTTGATATTCAACTTTCAATGCGTAAGTGCACAGAATTCCTAGGTTGTAAATACTGTTTTGACAAAGCCAGTCTAGTGCTCTATTTGGCCATTAGGTGGTGCTTTTTCCCTTAAAAGTCTGGCACTGCTATCATATAATAAATAACTACATCACAAGTTGCATAAAAATAGTTTTCATAAAATACAAATCGGGGACACCTGGCTGGCTCAGTCGGTAGAGCATGCAACTCTTGATCTTGGGTCATGAGTTCAAGCCCCATGTTGGGTGCAGAGATTATTTTAAAATAAATAAATAAATAAAATATACCAAAAGTTTAAAAAAATATATTTATTAAAAAAATACAAATTATTCTTTTTCAAACCAAACAATCTATTAATACAAGTAACTGCATAAAATGCCCATGGTCCCACGTGAATAGCTGAACTCAGAATTCTGGTCCCTAGCTTCCAACAACACTGTATGCATAAGAGAAAAGAAAGACATCTTGCAAATGGCTCTTATCAAAAAAAAGAGGATGGACTGAATGGAGCACTGGGTGTTATACGCAAACAATGAATCATGGATCACTACATCAAAAACTAATGATGTAATGTATGGGGATTAACATAACATAACATAATAAATAAATAAATAAATAAAAAGAGGACGGGATCAGGAGTGGTTCTGTCATTCACATACTTGGTTTTCAAAGATAATCATTTAATTACATTTAGGAATGAGGAGTTTATGTTGTGAAAATTATACAGTAAGTGTAACAGGGAATACTCAGAAGAATCTGTAAATACCACCAGTGACTAATGAATAAATAAACATAAATACCTTGTTTACTAGAGAAAAAACCCGGATCTCGGTGAAAGTTAAGTCTGTTTCTTAAGGATGTGCACAGCTGCTGCAAGCAAGACACTGACTGTAAAGCCAGGCGATGTTTTCCGTCTCCTCCGAAGGCCAGTTTCAACAGAGATAAAAGGCTCTGAAATAAAGAAGAGCAATGAAAATGATCCAGGGAAGGTGGATGTGGAGTTTCAGTAAGGTCAAATGAATAACCGAAGGAAATAAAATAATTTGAAAGATATTTGTAAAACCAAGAAACAAGAAATAGGCAAAAATGACTTAGCATAATGCAAGAAGACGGGATAAAACAAGAAAATAAAATTTAAATAGACTAGTCAGTGTTTGTTGTATCTAAAATCTGATGGCTGAGTACCTATTCTGAGAGAACACATGAATTATTCCCCATTCAGAACATTAAGTTACACAGTACTTCTTAAAAATCACAGCAAGCCTTTGGCATCTCAAACAGCTAAATCATTTTGCCACCTTTTGGCAACTAACAGCTTTTCCTCTGCTATCTTTGGACAACTGCAACAGTATGTATTAATAGCTGCCATTCAGAGGCATCCATTCCAGCCCCGGGATTGGTGATTGAGGCTGTGGATATGCCACGATCCCAGACCTGGGATCCCAAGCTCTACTATACAAACTAATAGACCAGATTGCAAAGAATCCATCTAAACTGCTCACTACCACCTATTTCCACAGCATCTAGCACTGTGCCTTACACATCCTAAATACTCAAAAAGCGATGCTATTCTCACTGTTAAGAAGGGTTACTGCTGCCCAGCCTCAATTTCTAAAGTCTATTCTCCTCTTTAGGTGACTCATAAAAGGTAAATTCAAGGTGGCCAAACTAGGCCTGTATGTGTCAAATGAGACTACCTCCTATCTGAAGAACTACCACTATCCAAAGAAGTAAGACAGAAGTGGTTTCAGGAACCAAATACTTCATTTTTTTAAATATGGTAAATTCCTTCTGAAGGACTCCTACTTTGCAAAATTTGTTTCACTATAAAAAGTTCTCTATTTCAAATCTAAAACAATCACAGAGGATACATACCTGAACAATTTTTGGCCTTTGAAGGAAAATTTCAGCAGGAAAATCTTGCATGATTACATCCTTCAATAGTTCACAGGTGTTCCAAATTAAAGTGTGGTTACTACTTCTTAAAGAGCTACCAAAAAATACATACATACATAAATAGCATTATTTATTTTTAAACAGAGTTCATCTATACGGGATTGTAAGTAACCTAGTGGCATAATGACTCTATCAACAGTCCTCGGGTCTCAGCTGAGATTTCACTTCCCCTGGGAAGCCTTCCTGGATCTTTTCCCTAATCAAAAACTTTGGGGTAGGTCCTTCCTCCATATGCCTACATTTGGTACTAAGGCAACTGCATGTTGACTTTCTGTCCCCCACTAGACCCTCCTCAAGAGCAGGCAGTACACAGTATCCACCAACGTATGCCAAGACTATCACAATGCTACAAGATGAAACCAATGAAGTCAAAGGGCACAGAATGCAATGAAATCTGCTAAATGAATTAGGAAGACAGAACATTTAATAGCAAATACCGAGTTAAATTCTAGAAATTAAATTCCTTACTGCTCTTCCCTGGTCTAGTGAATCAAGCTGGGATTCTCCTCTTATCCCAAACAGAGGACACCCCTCACCTTCTCAGACAATATATGCCCTCCTAGGGATTCAGCAACTGTTTACGTCCCACCCCAAGAATCCATAGCCCCTCTCTCACCCCAGCTCCAGTCCACCACCCACCAACCAGAGGTGTGTACTAGAAATCATATCTCCTCCGAGGCCTGACTCAGAGCTGACATCAAAACCCCCCCTACCCCTTTCCCACGCAGACTCTACTCTTCAATATGTTGTTCCAAGAGAGTTTACTGATGCCACTGAAGTGCCAGCATCAAAAAGCATTTAACAGCGTCCAGCTGTTTATCTAGTCCTAACTCTAGCAAGTTGGGTCTTTACATGGTCAACTGAATATACTATCCACTAAAGAAGACTACATTTATGTTTAATTTTTTCCATTTTTTTTTTTTTAAAGATTTTATTTATTTATTTGACAGAGAAAGACAGAGCGAGAGAGGGAACACAAGCAGGGGGAGTGGGAGAGGGAGAAGCAGACTCCCCGCCGAGCAGGCAGCCCGATGCGGGACTCGATCCCGGGACTCCAGGATCATGACCTGAGCCGAAGGCAGTCGCTTAACCAACTGAGCCACCCAGGCGCCCCTAATTTTTTCCATTTTTATTAACTAAGGGCATAAGCAATGGCCAATCAGAGAATCTGGTCAATAAGAGATGACTCATGCCACCAAGAAGTATACAAGATTCCAACCACAAAAACAAAACAAAACCTTCATGTGTAGCCAGATAATGGCAAAGAGCAATTTTCTGCCTTGCTTTTTGAAACTGAAAATCATTCATATATTCCCATTACTACCTTTCACAGCCACTTAGTATCTTTTTTCCTGGTGAAAATGTGCAGTAATAGCAACCAGATTTAATGGCTATAAATGAACCAAAATACCTGACACACATCAGGTACCGTACCTTTCATTAGAGGAGAGAACATGTCTATCCGTTGTAGTCAGAGGTAGCCAAGGAAATGTAGAAAACTTCAAACACTTCACAGTCTGATTTACTGTTAATGGAACAGCAAAATTTAAGGGATCAAAGGCAATGTTGAAAGACTCACAATATTAAGAGTAAGGCTTCACCCTTAAAAACAAGTCCTCAAAGTTATATCTTACAGTAACTTAAAATATACCAAACAAGGTCAGCTGCAAATTTGTTCCCTAACAAGATAAACAACAGAGCTGTTTTCATAATTTACACAGAACCATATATTATTATTAGAAGGGCATTAAATACAAACTAATATTGAATGACATTTAGAGCTTCCATTACATTTTCTATTTTACCCTGCTGCTAACCAGAACACAGAGCTTAAATTTAACATAAAAGGAACTGGCATTTGGAGATCTTTAATTGTAGAAATTAAAAATGACATAAACATAACCATATACTATATTTAATTAGTCATGTTCAAATATCCTAAATGGTGTTAGATGTTTAAACTTCTTTGAAGATGACTTGAAGACCATAAGGTTGAAGATCAAATATCAGCACTCAGGATTAAAAGAAATCTGAGAAATCAACAGTTTTAAGCTACCCCATTCCAATTATTTTTTAACAGATCTCATATTGTACAAGTTAAGGTGGCAATGCTCAGAAACAGTATCTAGTATCTACATAAACCCTTCCAAGTGGCAAATATTCTTCCTGCCAAATGCTTTGAAAAGAGCATGAAATCGTTGAATATAGATAACAGCATTATTAAATTCCCAATATAGCACAGTTGTTTCTTTCAAAAGTGCTAAGACCCGGGGCGCCTGGGTGGCTCAGTCGGTTAAGCGGCTGCCCTGGGCTCAGGTCATGATCCCAGGGTCCTGGAATCAAGCCCTGCATCGGGCTCTCTGCTCAGCAGGAAGCCTGCTTCTCCCTCTCCCACTCCCCCTGCTTGTGCTCCCTCTCTCGCTGTCTCTCTCTGTCAAATAAATAAATAAAATCTTAAAAAAAAAAAGAGTGCTAAGACCCAAGCAGGATTTACTTTCTAACAGAAAAGTAAAAGGTGGGTAGGACACATTTATACCGCACTCAGAAAGATGTGTCCAAAATAAGCCATATTGTCAATCCACAAACTGCAACTCACATAACAAAATGTTACCATCTCAATGGTCCCTAACGTTTTCCACCTCCCAGCCCTGGACATACTCTCTCCCTTCAGATGTCTCTCACTGTCACTCAATGAAGCCTCTTAATCATAAACACAAAGAAACTACCATCTCAAAAACGGAGGCTCCCTAACAAGCGTAACAAAACTTTTTCAGAAAGAAAAGGTCTAAACAAGTTTTCAGTTCTTTCTTAGGCTGTTATTCAACCAGAGAGTTTCTAAGGAAGCATTTTAATAATGGAGGGCTTCCAAACAGAATTAAACTGAATACTTGACATAAGCAGTTATATCCTTGGACACAACCTTTTCATTGCAACTGTGCAGGCAATAAACTGTTAGGTACATGTTTACTTAATTATTCCCTAACTGCATTATCCAGAATAAAGGTTTTATCCTTCTAAGCCTCAGTGCCTTCATCAGTAAAATGGAGATAGTAACAATATCAATTTCACTGGAACGCCAGTGAAGATTCATTCATTCATTCATTCATTCAAAGAATACACAGAGGGCCTAATAAGTTTTTGGCATTGTTCTTCTGCTCACTGGGGATAAAGCAGTATTCACAGCTATTATTAAGCTTATAAACAGGGAGACAAAAAGAGGTAAATAAATACGTAATTTCAGATTATGATGTATGTTAGGAAGAAAACTAGACATAGACAGAAAGTGATCACTAGCTAGAGTCCTCAGGAAGTTCTCTCTGAGGAGGTAACATGTGAGCAGAGACACAGCCAGACATGAAAAAACTTGGAAGAGATTCCGGGGAGAGAGAGAGAGGCTCTAAATCAGAACTCTTCAATCAACTGGATGCTGGGATAAAGATAAATGAAGAAACCCAAATGATCCTGAGTCTTTGGCTTGAGTAACTGGATGAACAGTACCACTTAGTGAGCTGGAGAATAAATACCATGACATATATATAGTGCATGGCACCGTTCCTGACAAATCTGTGTTCAGTAGGCCCTGAGGACTACTGCCACCATCACCACCCACCTCCAGAGTTGCTCGAATGCAGTTAGAATAACATAAAATGTTACCATTTAGACTCTACATCCTAAACTAATTTGAGGAAACTGAAACATTCAGTTCAGTGCTGAAACATTCAAGTTGGACCACAATATGTCTACACCAACGAAGAAAAGTACATTAATTTCTGATTTACCAAGTCAACAGCATCTACTCTCTCTCTCTCTCTCTCTCTCTCTATATATATATATATATACACACCCATTGGTCGTGGAGACACTTCCATCTGCTGGAAATTACTTTTGTCTTGAGGAAAATATCCTATTAAAATTTCAGGTTGTTGTGGCAATTCTGAGAAGAAAATATATATTACTATATTACTGGTTCTTTATTTGCTAAAAGTGAAATTTACTCTTTTCAAATATTAATGTTTCTCTTAAGTTTTACAATCATTTTAAAAACTAGAAAAATAACAGTTTTTTTTTACCTGAAGAGTCTCCTTATAGAGGAAAAAAATGTAAATGCTGAGCAAGTTTTTAATGGGGGGGTCCCCTCCCTTTTAAGATTCAGCAAATACAACTATTTGTTGTAATAAAAACATCCATAATGTACATAAAGAATCTGTTACAAAGTATTTATTCAAGGGCTCATCTCTGCTTCTTAGCCCATCTCCTCCTCTCTCTTACTCCAGTTATGTAGCTCCTGACCACTTCAACCTTCGGGAATCAAGCACTATCTTTCAGTATCTTTGACGACTCTCTGTCACATGTGATTACAAATTCAGCAGTTCAGTTGCAATAAGAATGGGAACACAATATTGTTATTATTGCTATTGTTGAAAATTTGTTATTATTGTAGAAGTAATCTGTAAAGTAGTCTCAAAAAAGAAAATCTCTGGCATCTTTTAGGCCCCTTGACCAAAAAAGCAATGAATACAAATGTATCCTCCTCTGAATAACTGTAGAAGGTGGGGAAAAGGTCAAGCTCATGTAACTTAATGCGAGAACATGATCTTTTTTTTTTTTTTTTTTTTTTTTAACCTAAGGTCCCTTTCCTTAGAATTAAGCACTAGAACCAATATATTTCTATTTTAACAGAATGCGTCACATTGATTCCAAAGAGTTACCAGTTTGTTTGGTTTGGTAAGATGCAGAATATAGCGCAGCATCTTCTGAAGGAAGAATAAAAAGTCCATCCAGAATGCCATCAATTTCAGCCTGCAGATTCGGCTCCACATTAGAACGAAGTTTAGATAAGAATTCGACTGCACCAAGATCAACCAAATGCTGGACTGCTGGGGAATACTGAAATAAGAAGAGGAGAGTCTTGAGAATAACCCATATATATCAAAATTTCTACACTTTGTCTTACAGCAACAAAAACATGAAATTATTTTTAGTATTCTAGATATTCCTTTTTTAAAAAATAAATCTTGCATTGATACATGTAAAAGTAAAGAACTTCCATGTATACGACATAGATCTATAGAGACATACATAAACCACGTGATAACCACTTATGACAGAAAAGCCCAGACATTAAGCACTAGAAATGCACACTATAAACTCCTGTTCCTACTTATAAAATGGATTACCTCTCCCCACAGACTCTCACCCTATCCCCGCCAAAGAATGCCAAAGGAACAATCCCCTATGACCACACAGTGACTTAGTTTTGAAAGGCTACACTAGCACTCTTGACATTTAACCCTGACAACTACTCTCAAAACAGGCTGAGGAACATAAATCTGAAAAACAGATACAGAAAACGCAATTTCACATTCTTGAGGTATTATTTCTAAGGGTAGCTTACCCACTGCCGCCCACCCTCATCCACTGCCCCCATCCATCTTCCTCCTCCCTCTGACTACCTTCCATGTCACACGCTGTCATGGGGCACAGGGCCTGGAGAGGGACCAAAGTAGGAGCAGCAAGGTGGGGCCCTTCCTCCTCTCACCATCCCTCCCAAGGGCCCTGGGGGCAAGGAGGCGGGGGCCAGCTGGCCAGGGGGAGAAGGGGGGCATTCAGCTTGGGCTTTCCCCTCTGGAATAAACCATTGATCATGGAAAAAAAAAAAAAAAAACCTTTAACTTTAACTTTAAACATGTTCTCTTCCATACAGACACATCTAATTATTAACACGCAAATAACAGAACAAAAAGAAAAACAGAATGACAAATACCGACTTCCAAAGATGATTCCAAAAAAATCAGAACACACCAAAACTCAGAAGTTCTGTTACTTCAGAGAGCACGGTAATGTGAGGTTCAACATTACAAACAAGATCAAAGGAAGCGGAGCGTTATATACCCTGAGGAATTAAAATTCAACGTCTCTCGTTGGTTAGAAAAAAAGTTGTAATTATTTAACTTTCAAAAAAATGCTACAATTAAATGACCGCTCTTCTGATTTTATTTCAAAATGATCCTACCTTAACCAATCTGTTCAAAAGGCTGAGAACCTCTTCTTTCATTGGAACAGACGGGAAATTGAACCATTCCAGCAAATGGAGAAAAAGTAGCCTCTCCCGAACTAGATCATCGCAACAGACCAAGTTGTGCTCAACCTTGCAGAGAATGTTCTTGAGAGCGCGTTCCCGGATCTCGGCCAGCCGATGACCTGTCAAAGTGCAGCACACTGAGCTGCTGCCCAACTCCAGAGAGACGCCCCCGCCCCCCCGAATTTACCCTACCACTCAGCTATTTACGCGGGGACGAGGGCAGGGTGAAGAGGGAACTAAAGCGAATTCTTTCACAGGCGGGCCTCTGCCGCATTCGCGACGCGAACTGCTCAGTTTACACCAAGTCCGAGATGGGTTCCCGGCGGCTGCCCCGGCGAGGCCAGGATCAGCGGGAGCCGTCTCGGGGTGGACCGGCCTCGAAAACGTTACACGGCCATTCTTAGCAAGTGGCCACGACAGAAGGGTGACTGCAGCGAGGGGCAACTCAGCCTGTTACCGAGTTTCCTGATGAGCCCCGTCAAGACCATCTCGTCCCGCTCCATCAGCCGCCGCCGGAGAATTAAACTGCCGCGCCACAGCGTCCGTGTACAATTAGTGTCCCCATGGAAACCCGGCCGGTCGGGCTGTTGAGTTCCGCAATGTAGCAGAGAACCACCAGACGAACAGGAGGCACCGCATGAGCTGCTGCAGGCCCCCCGCGACTCCACAGAAGCTTACAGTCTCTCTGTAATTACTACTACGCAGTCCCTAGACAGTAGCCTTTGTCGTAAGAACGGGAAAGAATGAGGAGACAGGCAGGGAGTAGAACCCGCCCCGGCCGCGGAGCACGTCGGGAGTTGTGGTCTTCGCCCGTTTGTGCTTCCCTCCCGGAATTCCGGTCCCGCCACTGCACCCACCTTCCTGAGGTTCCGGGATCCCAGCGCGGGCTCCGGCGCGGACTCCCGCGCGGGCTGCGGAAGTCCCGGCAGAGCCGAGCCTGGCCCTGCAAAGTCGCTCTGGCCCGGCCCATCTGAATTCTCGGCTCCCAGAACTTTCCAATGTGCAATGCAGAGTTAGGTTGGGTTTGGATTCCCGCACATCCACAACCGCCCCATCCCCGTTCGTTACTAAAATCACTTTAACTGTAAAATGTACCCGCAAAGGCAAGCAGTGTCCTCGGATACTGAAGTTCGCTACAAACAGGCAAGTCACGAAAGGAAAGGGGGTCGGGAAGGAAATAAGCACAGAAGAGAAAAAAGGGGGCCGTAGAAACAAAAAAAATGGGGGGCAGGGCAAGGGTATGAATTGATATTTGAATGCCCCACAGTTGGCTTTTGCACTGAACAAACAGAAGGAAAAAAAATTCTAAGCCGTGCTAAGAGCAACAAAATTAAATTTGTAAAATGATTTGCATTTTAGAGAACATTTTCTCTCACGGATGCTTTCAATTTCCCTTGGAAAGGGATGTCAAGGCAGGTATAATATCCATTATTATTTCGCAAAAAAAGGGAGCGTAAAATCAGAGAAGTTCCTCAACCACAGTCAGACCAACTAGTTAAGTGGCCGATTGAGGGCCTGACCTTCATTTTTCTTTGTAACATTCGTGGGACCTTGCTGCTTCTGCGAGGTGCGTAGGCTAGAAAGTGGTGATGTTTGAGCTGGATCTTGAAGGGTAAGTAGGAATTTGTTTGCCAGGCGAAGAAATGGGGTAAGGGGATTCCTGCCAGAGAAAACAGTGCATGCAAAGCACGGATTCGGAATGCGTCTGTCGAGGTCAGGGAAAGAGCAATTCTTTTTTTTTTTTAAGATTTTATTTATTTATTTGAGAGTGAGAAGGAGAGAGAGAGAGAGAGCATGAGGGGGGGGAGGGTCAGAGGGAGAAGCAGACTCCCTGCTGAGCCAGGGAGCCTGATGCGGGGCTCGAAACCGGGACTCCGGGATCAGGACCTGAGCCGAAGGCACATGCTTAACTGACTGAGCCACCCAGGCGTCCCCTGGATTTATTGTTTTATTTGAAAGAACTATATGTACAGTTATTCTTCAACCAAGCTATAAGAGGCAAAACCAAGTAGATCTAAGGAAGAAAGTGTTCTCAAGTTCTTACACAATTTACTTTTCTCTGGCCTCATTTACCTCAAAGAACCCAAGGGAGGAAGATTTTAATCTTCACTCCCCCTTAAGGAATAGATATTCTTCATAGCTATGAGAAGACATTCTAGCTGAAATAAAACTTCATAATTTCCAGTAACAAGGTTAGTTAATCTGTATCTTTCCTTGTTACAAATTGATCAAGAGTTTTAGTGTGGGGCACTGGAAGTACATATGTGAACTTTAAAGAGGGTATATAAGCTTTATTTTTTTTTTTTTTTAAGATTTTATTTATTTATTTGAGACAGAGAGCATGAGAGGGAGGAGGGTCAGAGGGAGAAGCAGACTCCCTGCCGAGCAGGGAGCCCGATGCGGGACGCGGGACTCGATCCCGGGACTCCAGGATCATGACCTGAGCCCAAGGCAGTCGCTTAACCAACCGAGCCACCCAGGTGCCCAGGGAAAGAGCAATTCTATGCGGCCAAATTACCCCGCAGGAAGGGAAGTGAAGGGAAGGGAAGTGAAGGGGCTGCTAGCATGCTAGTTATTCTCCATTTGTCCCTCTGTGGTGAATAGGAGACACAAGTAGGAAATTGGAGAGTGGGAAGAAAAAGAGGTGTGGTTATTTAATCAATGTTCCACTAGTCCATACCTAAGCCTCACTGGCCAAGGCGGTATCGGGCTGCGTTTCTCAAGGCTCAGGAAAGAGAAGAGCTCCTGATAGATACTGTGCCAAATGGACCAAAAAGTGGAAACAGTTATACCAGCTGAGAAGTTTCTGTAGTTACTGAAGCATGAAGGCTGTAGTTGTGGATTTGAAGTATCAGGATCAAAATACACATGATGGTACAAAGGAGTAATGGAAATAACTTTTTAAAGATAATTCTAAGATGAAAGTCTTAGATGGTGAGACACTGAGGATGTCAGTGGGGAAGGGATGATAATACTGTGGGAGAAAAATAAATTACAGTTGACTCTTGATCAACATGGGTTTGAACTGCCCGGGTCCACTGATGCACAAATTTTTTTCAATAGATATAGTACAGTATGACTGTACTATAGATGTGTTTTCCCTTCCTTATGATTTTCTTAACATTTTCTTTTCTGTAGCTTGCTATATTGTATGAATACAGTGTGTACTACATATAACATGCAAAGTATGTGTTAATCGACTATTTGTTACTGGTAGGGTTCGTGTCAACAGTGGACGATTGGTAGTTAAGTTTTTGGGGAATCAAAAGTTAGACGTGGATTTTTGACAGCACAAGGCTCAATGCCCCCAAACCCTGTTGTTCAGGGGTCAACTATAATTTAAAACAAGCATGTTGCAAGCAAAAAGGGGGGTCAAAAATGAAATGGTCTCCTTTTTTAATGAGATATGATGGGCATAAAACATTATATCAGTTTCAGGTGTACGGCATGATTTGATATTTGTATACACTGTGAAATGACCAACCACAGTATGTCTAGTAGCCATCCATCAAAAATGGTTTTATGTTGCTTTTATTTTCTAATTTTTATTGTTATTGTTGAGCATATATTGTTTTCATAATTAGAAAAAATCATTAAGTCCTGCTTATTACATTCAAAGCAATTGTGTATCATTTTTCTATTAGACTAAGTATTGATTTGCCAATTCTTCCTTAAAGAATCAATCTTCAACTTATTAATTCTGCTAAAAAGAATAGTCATACTCTAATGTATTTACTGTACTTTTTTTTATTATCCGTAACTTTCTCGTTCCTTCCTTAGGTTTGTTTTACAGTTCCTTTTCTCACTTCTTGAGCTAAAGGTTTTGTTGTTTGTCTTCATTCTTTCTTATTTAGTTATAGAGAATTCCATGAACCCACATCTAAGAAAAGCTTTAACCATATATCATGAATTTAGATTTATAATGTTCTAACTGTGGTTAGAACTCTCAAGCATTCTGAAACTGCTATTTTCATACTTTCAATTTCACCCAAGATCTATTTAGGAGGAGGTTTTTAATCATCAAGTCTGTCCTGCATATCCTTTAGTTATTAATTTTCTGTTACTACATCCCAGTCAGCAACTGGGGCTTTTAATCATTTTAAACTTCAATGTAGGTTTTTTAAATGATGCCCAACTACTTGAAAAAAAATGGGCAATAGATATCTGTGTGGATGTATGGAGAACTGTATGTATGTATATTTGTAATTTTCTACTTGTACTTACAATAGTTTTTGTTATATTTCTTTAAATGCTAACTTATAATAAAAACATGTTGAATTTTACCTGATGGTAAATATTTGATAGTCATTCAGGTAGCAGTGTATGTATGGATTGGGAACGGAATGAAGAGTAGAGACCTTATATGTTGGGATCTGCTTATCACAAACCATGCAACATTATGGAGAAAAACATGTGGCTCCAGGACCACAGGTCAAATTCTAATTGTTGAACTCTGCTTCATTTTCAACCATCCTTCGACCTTTCAGTCATACCCACTAACAGCTGGCATTGCCTCAGTCTGCTATACTGGATCCTTTGGCTTAGATGAAGATATTTATATCAAAAGTCACAGGAAGGGGCGCCTGGGTGGCTCAGTCGGTTGGGCGTCTGCCTTCGGCTCAGGTCGTGATCCTAGGGTCCTGGGATCGAGCCCCGCATCGGGCTCCCTGCTCCGCGGGAAGCCTGCTTCTCCCTCTCCCACTCCCCCTGCTTGTGTTCCCTCTCTCGCTGTGTCTCTCTCTGTCAAATAAATAAATAAAATCTTTAAAAAAAAAAAAAAGTCACAGGAAATATTCAGTGACTCTCCTAAGAACTCATACTACTATCTGTGGTGATTTTATTCCAGGAGAAAAAGAAATGCTTTATTTTTTTTTTCCTGGAAAAGTCGTGCAATTTTGCCCTTCCTCATAATTTGAACATGAATTCTAATACTTGGGTAGGTCTGTCAGTTGGGATCATATGCATTTCCTACCCTTTATTTCTGTTACTTAACTAACTTAAAATCTCTGGCTCATAGTCATATAAACTAAGCAAACTATTACACAGACTACAAACCTTGGAGCCAGACAGGTTTAAAACCAGCTTTGCAACCTTCTTAATTGCATAATTATGGGTAAGCTAATTAACTTTCTTGGTTGCAGATGACAAAAATTTCACTCAAAGGAGTAAGCAAAAATGAGATTTATTATCTCGCTCTAAAAAGGATCGGGCCTCAGAGACTCAACAAATATTAATATTCTTTTTCTCAACATCTTAGTCTTGCTTCCCTCGGTATGTTTGTCCCATTCTTTTGTATAACGGGCAGGATTCTCCCAAAATATATAGGGCAAGAGAGAAGTATGGTTCAGACTTCCATCTTCTCATATAGTGACCCAAGAAGAAAGAAGAACATTTCTTTCTCCCAACATCCAGATATAAAATCCATGATGGGAAACCCCATCAGGATTAGCCATTATGAGATTGCCTGATCCTAAGTTACTTACTTACACTCTGAAGTGCAGGGCAGGGTATTATAATCGTACTGGAGTTAGAAGTAGTTGGGCAGAAGACTTCCACTAAGGAAAGGGGTGGGATGAACAGAAAATGGGGGGAAAGAATGTTGGGAAGGGGGAAAAACCCTGATGCCTCTATAACCCCTAATCCAGCTTCTACAAGTAGAAATTGCGGTTAAAGATAGCACGCACTGATAGGACATGTGTGAGGACCAAAGGAGATAAATCAAGGAAAGCACTTACCCCAAGACCTCCATAATAGGTAGTAGCTACAAATAATAGCTATTTTAGTGGCTGTCAAACCTGAGGATGCCTCTTTGCCACATTGAATGTTTGGTGTCCCCCCTCCCCAAAATTCATATGTTAAAATATAATCCCCATTGTGATGGTATTAGGAGGTGGGACTTTTGAGAAGTTACTAGGTCATGAAGGTGAAGCCTCATGAATGGGACTCGTGCTTTTTTAAAAGATGTTCCAAATAGATCCCTCCCCTCTCTGTTATGTGAAGACACAGAAAAAAGAGCTATCTATGAACCAGGAAGCTGGTCCCCACCAGACACTGAATTTGTTAGCACTTCGATCTTGGGCTTTCCAGCCTCTAGAGCTGTGAGAAATAGATTTCTGTTGTTTATAAGACATCCCCATCCAGTCTATGGTATTTTGTTATAGTAGCCTGAATGGACTGAAATAATTGTCTCTCTAGGGAGCAAATGCAATATTATATCGTATGTCAGTACTACCTCCAAGTATAACCACAAGGTAGCTCCGATCAGCAGAGAGAGCTCAGAGGAACCTGGCCCAAGAAGCAGTCTTTCTTTTTTTTTCTTTTTTATTTATTTGACAGAGAGAGAACGTGAGAGAGGGAACACAAGCAGGGGAAGTGGGAGAGGGAGAAGCAGGCTTCCTGCCAAGAAGAGAACCCAATGCGGGGCTTGATCCCAGGACTCTGGGATCATGACCTGAGCTGAAGGCAGATGCTTAACGACTGAGCCACCCAGGTGCCCCAAGAAGCAATCTTTCTGCTCATTGTGGGAGACCTCAAAGGCAGAGGTGCTCAAGACCTTCCAGCTATTGATGCAGCCAAACCCAGGCACAATTTCCAGGACAAAGGGAGTTCTCTAACCTTCTTTTCCTCATTTTTCAAAGGAAAGAAATTATTGGCCCAAAGGGAGAAATCCTTCTACAAGCCATCTTTACATGAATTAAAATATTAATTTATTTATCAAGACAACATACAAAAAGAGCGAACAAGCAGGATTCATAAACAAAAAGACTCTAACCAATAGATGTGGGTTATTCATGGTTATTCAAGTTATTCATGGTCCCCCAGGGTAGGCAAACATTCTGTGTGTATTCCAGAAAGTCCCCTGGACCCCAGCCTGCCTTACTCAAGAATAAAGATCATGATTCAGGGTGCCTGGGTGGCTTGGTCAGTTGGGCATCAGACTCTTGATTTCAGCTGGGGTCATTATCTTAGGGTGGTGGATTGAGCCCCATGTTGAGCTCTGCACTCGGGCTCCCTCTCAGCAGGGAGTCCGCTTGAGATTCTCTCTCTCCCTCTGCCCCTCTCCCCGCCCCATGCTCACACTCTCTGTCTCTCTCTCAAAATAAATAAATCTTAAAAAAAGTTTTTAAAAAAGATCATGATTCATTAATAATTCTAATCTTTATTTGTTTTTTTTTTTAAGTAGGTGCCACACCCATCATGAATCCCAATGTAGGGCTTGAACTCACGACCCTGAGATCAACACCTGAGCTGAGATCAAGAGTCAGTTGCTTAACCAGCTGAGCCACCCAGGCACCCCAATAATTCTGATTTTTAAGAAGGTAAAATGATTTTGGCTAAAGGTTTCATCCCCTACTTACGAATTGTCCTAATCATGCTCCATAATTTTGTCCTATGAATTTATATAATATTTAATTTTTAAGGGGATCATCAATTCTAATTCATTTTTCCAATACCAAAATAGAAAGGTAATAAATACTTTATGCCATTTTAAAGTGGAAGAATTGAAACAAGATATATTCATGTTCCACTTCAAATAGCAAAACAACACGGATTTGAACTCTGCTTTCTTTGCACAATTTAATAAATAGGGGTCTTAATTATAGATGTGGAGAAGCAGACAAGGATATCTGCTATCACCATTGCTGTTCAACATTGTATTGGAAGTATTACTGAGAGTAATTGGCAAGAAAAAGAAATAAAAGACATTCCAGATTAGTAAGGAAAAGTAAATCTATTTCTATTTGCAGTTGACATGACCTTACATGTAGAAAATTCTAAGGAATCCACAAGGAAACTATTAGACCAAAGGAAAGACTTTAGCAAGGTTACAAAATACAAAATCAATATACAAAATCAAATTCCATTTCTCTACACAAGAAATAAACAATCCAAAAATTAAATTAAAAAAATTTTACATTTACAATAACATTAAAAAGAATAAAATAATTGGGAATAAATTTAACATAAATATAAGACATCTACATGGAAAACTACAAAATATCATTGAAAGACATTTTTTTAAAGATTTTATTTATGGGGTGCCTGGGTGGCTCAGTCATTAAGCATCTGCCTTCAGCTAAGGTCGTGATCCCAGGGTCCTGGGATCGAGCCCCGCATCGGGCTCCCTCTCAGTGGGAAGCCTGCTTCTCCCTCTCCCACCCCCTGCTTGTGTTTCCTCTCTCGCTGTGTCTCCCTCTGTCAAATAAATAAATAAAATCTTTAAAAATAAAAAAATAAAAAATAAAGATTTTATTTATTTATTTGACAGAGAGAAAGACAGCAAAAGAGGGAACACAAATAGGGAGAGTGGGAGAGGGAGAAGCAGGCTTCCCACTGAGCAGGGAACTCAATGCAGAACTCAATCCCAGGATCCTGGGATCATGAGCTGAGCCGAAGGCAGATGCTTAACCAACTAAGCCACTTAGGAGCCCCATTGAAAGACATTTTAGAAGACCTAAATAAATAGAAAGACATCCTTGTCATTGATTGGAAGATTTTGTATTGTTAAAATGACAATACTCCCCAAATTGCACTACAGATTTAAAGCAATCTCTTTTCAAATACCCAGCTACCTTTCTCATAAAATTAACAAGCTTATCCATATGGAAACAATATGGATACTACTGGCTTATATTCATGTGGAAATTAAGGGAATCAGACTGGCCAAAACAATCTCAAAAAAGAACAAAATTGAAGGACTTCTTCCCAATTTCAAAACTTATTACAAAACTACAGTATTCAAGAGTGTGTGGTACTGACATAAGGACAGACATATACACTCACCAATGGAATACAACTGAAAGTCCAGAAATAATCATTCACATTTGTGAGTGATTATCAACAAATGTGCCACAACAATTCAACAAGGAAAGAATTTTTTTTTCGACAAATGGGACAACTGGATATCCACATGCAAAAGAATCAATTTGGATCCATATCTCACACCATCTACAAAATGAACTTAAAATGGATCAAGGTCCTAAATGCAAGCACTTAAAACTATAAAATTCTTGGGGAAAAAAATAGGCATAAATTTTCATAAGTGTAAATTAGGCAGTGGTTTCTTAGATATGGCAGCAAAAGCACAAACAAAAATTTAAAAAGGTAAATTGGACATCATCACAATTTAAAATTTTGTGCTTCTAAGGTTACTATCAAGAAAGTGAAGAGTGAAGCCAGGAGTAGGAGAAAACATTTGCAAACCATATATCTAATAAATATCTTTTATCCAAAATATGTTAAAACAACAACAAAAATCTTTACAACTCAGCAATAAAAAGACAACCCAATTTAAAAATGGGCAAAAAATCTGAATAGACAGTTCTTCAAAGAAGATATCTAAATGGCCAATAAACACATGAAAAGGCTCAGCCACCTTACATTCAAGAGAAAATGCTGCTCTCAGTGGTTTCCAGGCCTGGGATTTCAACTTTTGGCTATAACAAAAACAACAAGAAGCTGTATGTGTCCTTGCCTCAGCAGATGGCATCAACTAGTCCAAGCAACAGTACCCCTAGCAGCAGCAGTGGGAGCAATGGAAATGACCAGCTGAACAAAACCAACCTCTATATCCAGGGGTTACAATCAGGCACTTACTGACCAGAACCTTGTAAAATTGTACCAGTCTCCACCGAGGTCATACTGGACAACAGCACAAACAAATGCAAAGGCTGTGGTTTTGTGGACTTTGACAGTCCTTCAGCAGCACAGAAAGCTGTCACAGCACTGAAAGCCAGTGGCATACAGGCACAGATGACAAAGCAACAGGAGCAGGACCCCACAAATTCATACCTATCAAAGCTTCCACTAACAATGGTTAAGCAAGAACCGGAGGGGATGCTGAAGCCCTTTGGCCAGGTTATCTCCACTCAAATCCTCCGAGACACCAGTGGGACCAGCAGAGGTTTGGCTTTGCAAGAATGGAGTCCACAGAGAAGTGTGAAGCCATCATCACCCACTTTAATGGAAAATATATTAAGGCATCTGCTGGAGTACCAGCTCGACCTAATCCCTTGCTTTGCAAATTTGCTGATGGTGGTCCAAAGAAATGACAGAACCAAGGAAAATCTGTGCAAAATGGATGGGCCTGGCCAAGGAATGCAGATATGGGTGGTATAGCCTTGACCCATGACCCTACCACAGCTCTTCAGAATGGGTTTTCCCCAGCTCCTTATAACATCACCCCCAGCAGGATGCTTGCTCGGTCTGCACTCTCCCCATGTCTTCCATCTCTCTGATCCCATGTCTTTGGATCAGAGAGTGACTCAGACATCTCTGCAAGCATCTAACCCATCCTAGATGCACCACCAATCATACGTCATGCAGCCTTCAGCTTCAGTTCTGCCACCAGAGATGGATCACGCCATTTCTCTCCAGCCTGCCTCCATGATGGGACCTCTTACCCAGCAGGTGGGCCACCTCTTCCTCAGCAGCAATGACACTTACATGCCTATGCCTGCCACTATACAAGAAGCTCACATCTCCCAGGACACCCCCTGTGCCTTCTCCCAGGACCTGAACCCACAGTATCTCTGACGTATGCCTATACAAATAAATTATTGGAGATGCTGATGCTCCCAGACTCCAGAGGGCTAACCAGGAATACACACCATCCATGGGCCTGCTCAGGACTAACACTTGGTCATCATTTTTCACAGGCCTGGGCGTGGAAAAAGAAATCTCTGCACTCCTGCCCTCTGCTTATTCCTCCATTCCTGAGGGAGCCTAGGGGAACCGTCACTTTTTGTGTGTGCTGCATTCAAGGAGATCAAAAGAACTTTTTTCTTTCTTTTGCCAAGAAAGTTTTATATTTTGTTCTTAACTGCAACATACTCTTTCCATACCCCCCCCAAAACAAAAACAAAAACACATGATAAGGTCTGGAACATCATTAGTTATCAAGGAAATGCAAGTCAAAAAACCAAAATGAGATACCTTTTCACTCTCTCCAGGTTGGCTATAATCAAAAATAGGAAATAACATTGTTGGCCAGGGTGTGGGGAAATTGGAACCCTCACACTCTGCTTCTGGGGGTATAAAATGGTGCAGCCACTGTGGAAAACAGTCTGTCAGTTCCTCAAAAAATTAAACATAGAATTAACATATGACCTAGCAATTCTGCTCCTGGATATATACCCCAAAGGACTGAAATAGTCAAAGTTCCTCAAAAAGGTAAACACAGAGTTACTATGTGACCTGGCAATTCTTCTAGGTACATGCCCCCAAGATGAAAATACGTACCCACAACTTGTACGTGAATGTTCATAGCAGCCTCCTTCGTAAGAGCTGAAAGGTAGAAGCAACCTAAATGTCCATAATTCATGAGAGGATAGACATGGGTGTGTGGAATGGATAAATCATATCTATACAATGAAACATTATGTAGCTAAAAAAAGGTAAGAAGTACTGATACACCTTATAACATGGATGAACCTTGAAAACATTATGCCAAGTGAAAGAAGCCAGACACAGAAGACCGCCTACTACATGATCTCATGTATATGAAATATCCAGAACAGGCACATCTACAGAAGCAAAATGATTTAGTGTTTACTTAGATTTGGTGGTCGTTGGGGGAACAGAGCAGTAATAGCTAAGAGGTGAGGGGTTTCTCATTGAGATGATGAAAATGTCTACAATTACCTGTGGTGACAGTTGCCCATATCTGTAAGTATATTAAAAACCATTGAAATGTACACTTTAAATTTATGAATTACATGGCACAGGAATTATATTTCAGTAAGGTGTTACAAAAAGAAAAACAATAAGACATTAAGTTGAAAACAAGAATTTATTTATTTTTTTTAATAATTTTTTTTGTCTTTATTTATTTATTTTTAAAAGATTTTATTTATTTATTTGAGAAAGAGAGAATGAGAGACAGAGAGCATGAGAATGAGGAAGGTCAGAGGGAGAAGCAGACTCCCTGCCGAGCAGGGAGCCCGATGCGGGACTCGATCCCGGGACTCCAGGATCATGACCTGAGCCGAAGGCAGTCGCTTAACCAACTGAGCCACCCAGGCACCCGAATTTATTTTATATTTAATAAAATTACTCAGTAGTTTCTATTTTCACATGTTTTTATAAAATTGCTAAGTAACTTACCTTCTTTGTTCAACATTACATCATTGTCATTGGGCCAATAGATAGACCTCTGTTAATTCTGCTCTTTTTATTTATTTTTTTAAAGATTTTTTTAAAATGTATTTATTTGAGAGAGAGAGAGCGCGCGTGTGCACTAGAGAGAGAGCACGAGTGGGGATGGGGCAGTGGAGGGGGAGGGGAAAAGTTGGGGGTGGGGCAGACTCCTCACTGAGCAGGGAGGCAGATGTGGGCTCAATCCTGGGACTCTGGGATCAAGTCCTGAACCAAAATCAGATGCTTAACCAAGTGAGGCACCCAGGTACCCCAGTTTTGCTCTTTTTAATGCTTGCATAGTATTCAATATTTCATGCTTGAATGTACCACAATTTATTTTGCCATCCTCTTTATCAAGGGATGTTTGTGTTGTTTCTAGTGTTTTGCTTTTACAAACAGTGCTTTATTTATTTTATAAAGAACTTAATTTGTAAAGACGCCAAGATAGTTTGGTAAGGAGAATTACGGTGTCCTTTCCTGAGAATTTGTGAGAGCAGTATTTTCCATGTATCTGGTGACGTTTAGATTCAGCCTTCTAAAGTGACAGATAAGATGAATGGCCCTTATGTGAACCTTTGAGCTTCATTCCCAGATATCTACATTATTCAGCAAAATGTTTCCACCCCCACCCCCAAACTACCTTCCCATTGGGGTAACTGTTCACTCTGTCATTTAACCACTCAAAAACGTTCCCTTTGGTAAAATGAGGTAAGTATATACTTCCCTTCCACACTGTGAGATTTAATTAGCTAATGATGGAGAGGTCCTTGGGTGAAGAGTGCAGTGGAAGTTCAAAGTAATATTGTCATATGATTAGATATATTTTCAATATGTAAAGTCATATAACCTTGTTATTACAGTCAGATATATGATTCTGGGCAAGCGTTACTTCCAGGGAGAAAACATAAAAGCCAACTCTTTAGAGATCTAGCACAAAGACATATTTTCTTGTGATCTCCAGGTGGTGCCCACGTTTGCAACCTCTCTCAACTCAACTTTAATGATAATGGCCTCCATTTGTGCCCCTCTGAATGTAATCTATTTAATTGAAGTTCCAAAAATGACCCTGACTTTCAGCCCTGCCTTGGCCAGTGGTACAGCTGTGCTGAATGTGTCTTGGATCTGTAAATAAAATACTGATTCTAGTCACTTCTGCAGAATGCATTTTGATACTGCAGATTTTTTCAGTGCTGGCTCAATTAAGTTAGGTATCTCTAAGGGAAAGTAGGGTATCAGGTAAGGCAAAAAGGCAGGACATGACTAACACTGGTAATTTCTTTAAAAAAGTGCTTTGAGCCCTCCTAATTTTAAAGATAACCTTGCACAGCAATCAGATAGATTAAACATTGTCATTTTGACTCTGAAACAAAGACAAAAGCCTTGGAATTCTAACGAACATCTTATCATATATCAGGTCTCTACAATCAATACATTCTTTACTGGTAGTATTTTAGAACACCTGAGATGGTCTAGGACAGACTGGGTCTCAAAGGGACCTTTGCCTGACCACTGAAGACTTCTCCATCTTTTCTTTTCAATGGGAATTTGGCCCATGTTATCTGCTTAATAAACATTCTGATTGAAAAATGAATGTATTTTCCCAGGTGATGCTTAAGATCATTGTACTCGTAGTTTCTGACCATAATTTGTTCATATAAGTGTTTCCCCCTCAGGGAATTCATATCCTTCGTGTTTTGTTCTGATGTGTACCTAGTAGGCAGACTAAGAGCTCTCCAAAGATGTCCACAGCCTAATCCCTGGAACCTATGATTCTCTTAGTTTCATGGCAAAGGAGAATTAAGGTTGCCGATGGAATTAAGGTTGCTAATCAGCTGAGTTTAAAATAGTGAGATTGGGGCACCTGGGTGGCTCAGTCGGTTAAGTGTCTGCCTTCGGCTTAGGTCATGATCCCAGGGTCCTGGGATCGAGTCCCACATCAGGCTCCCTGCTCGGCGGGGAGTCTGCTTCTCCCTATCCCTCTGCTGCTTCCCCTGCTTGTGAACCTGCTCTCTCTCTCTCTCTCTCTCTCTGTTAAATAAATAAATAAGTGAAATCGTTAAAAAATAATAAAATAGCGAGAGTATCCTAGATTTTCTGAGTGAGCTCAGTGTAATCACAAGGTAAAAAAAAAAGACAGAGAAGGAGGTCACAGTGAGGCATGTGACAGTAACTTGCTGTGACTGGCTTTGAAGACAGAGGAAGGGGCGGAGCAATGCTGCCAGCTCCAGAAGCCAGAAAAGGCAAGAAACGGGTTTTCCTCTAGAATCTGCAGAGAGGACACAACCCTGCAGACACCTTGATTTTAGTCCAGGGAGACCCTTGTCAGACTTCGGACCTGCAAAACTGTAAAATAACGAATTTTTGTTGTTTCAGGCCATCAGGTCTGTGGTCATTACAGCAGCATACAGAAAATGAAGTTCCCTTGAAGTTCCCTTTTTTCTGGTTGACTCACTAGAGTTCCTTGTATATTCTAGATCCTGACCCATGTTCTACTTCTCCGTATGAAAAGTTTCTCCTTACCTCCTAATCTGTCACTTTTTCTATGGTGTCCTTCATTCAGCAGAAATCCTTACTTAATTTTTGTTAAGTCAAATCTCTCATTTTTTTCTTTCACGGATCGTATTTTTCAGTATTTTATTTAAATCCTTTTCTCTCGGGGCGCCTGGGTGGCTCAGTCAGTTAAGCATCCGACTCTTGGTTTCAGCTCAGGTCATGATCTCAGGGTCATGAGATCGAGCCCTGCGTTGGGCTCCGCACTTAGCAAGGAGTCTGCTTGAGATTCTTTCTCTCTCCCTCTCCCTCTGCCCCCACCCAAATAAATAAATAAAAATCTTAAAGCCCTTTCTCTCCCTCAAGTTCCAGAGACATTTTCCTTTCCTTCTTTTGTTAGCGCTACGGCTTAACCTTTTCCATTTGGGCTCCTAGTTCACGGAGAACTTTATCTTTCATGTGGTGTAAAGTAGCTCTCTATTGGTTAGGATACTGGCTCAGCTACTTTAATGGGGTCCAAACCATCTGTGGCTTAAGAAAGATGGAAATTTATTTCTCTCTCACTAAAGGTCAAGCTATCAACGGGCAATCCAGATGTGTAGGACCTCAACATGTACCTTCCATTTCAGAGTCCGAGCAGCAGTTCTAGTACATGTTTTATCTCAAAAGACAGGGAATGCTTTCCTTCTCACTTGCTTTCTGATAAATGTATCCAAAGATAGAATCTCACATTATGTTCTGCTAAAGCGGAAGATTGTAAGACCATCTAAAGATTTGTCTCCAAATTTTTTGGCTTTAAGTGCCTTCACTGTCATTTATTCCCGAGTATCTTAAAACTTGCTGGGAGATTTCTATTAACACTTGGCAGATTTAGCAGTTCATCCTGTTTTTCATTATACTGGCTGTCCTAGAATCATCTTCTAAGAAATTTTTGCCTTTGGGTTTCAATGTTGTGTCATGGTGTAATTTTTTGGAAGAAATTAATTTATTAATCAATGATCCAAATATCCATTAGAATTTAATTGATACCATGAAATGGGTTACCAGGAGTTTCAATTTGGGAAAATGGAAAGTTCTGGAGCTGGGTAGTGTGATGATTGGACAACAGTGTGACTGTGCTTTATGCCACCGAGCTGTACACTTAAAAATCATTAACTTGGTAAACTTTATTTAATGCATATTTTGCCATAATTTAAAACATAAATCTAAAAAAAGAGAGATAAGTTTGAAAAGTGAGAAGAAATGGCCAGATCAGGGCAGAGGACATCCAAGTCATGCCAGGAACCCGGATGGGGAGGTTGGAATTGCAGAATATAAGATTTCGAAATGAATTTAGAGATCGTGTTCGTGGTTTCATTTGTTGGCTTCTTTGTGTTTTATTTTAACCCAGTGGCCATGGGTCTCCAGGGTGCCAGTCCATCCCGAGCTTTCTCATAATTTTTTTTTTTTAATTCTCACAGGTGTACTATTCTAAGGAGAAAGTCCGTGGCTTTCATTGGATCCCAAAGCGTTCTCTCAACCCACAGAAACTAAAGAGATGGATCCAGTCCACGCTCACCTTTCTCGGATGAGGAAACTGACAGGTCCCAGAGATAGTTACGGTAGGTCCTGCTTCTCCTTTTCACAGCGGATTTTGAGTTTCAGGCGACTTCCCCCTTGACAGGGTTTCCATTTCTAAGGGAGGGCTGCTTGGAACTCGCTGTCCTCTGAACTGTATAGCACAGTTGCTTCTGCTGGTCCTGCCTTTACTGATTCCACTGGGAGTCCTTTGCCGAGGGAGGGACAAGGGCGACCAGAATAGAAGCAGAGGAAGGGTACGGTATCTGCTGAAAGCCCGGGGGGGGGCCTGGGGGGCAGGTGCTGACTGTAACTTTTTGGATGTCCTTGAGTTTAAATGACTCCCCCGAGAAGGTGACAGGAACTAGAACCATTGTACTCATATCACAGAAGGATCTAGCTGCAGGGCTGGGCACAGCACGGTCCAGCTTCCCCAGGGAGGATGAAGAGTGATTCGCAGCAGGATCTGCCCAGAACAAAAGGAGAAGGAAGAAATTTGGGCTTAGCACAATGACTACAAAGACCAAACAGGCAGTCTGGTAAAGCATGGAGCCAGCCAAAGAAATGTAAGCCCTCTTCTTGGCGGGAACTAGTTATGTGTGAGTAATAAGATCCTTTCTCAGGGAAGCAGGTGCTTTGTAGACAACTGGTCTCAATGAGCACACATCAATAGGTTTGGCTGAAAACCTCCCAATACCAGAGAATAGAATAGTTAAATCAAATAATGAAGGTGCTGTAACGGTGCAGTAAATGGAGGCACGCTGCCCGGAAACTGTGTGCTCTTCTATTAAGTCTCAAAAATGTTGTGCCAGGTGACACAGTGCTCAAAAGAAGTGTTAGTGAAATTAGTAGATTAGAATTACCAACTAATTAAATTGTGGGGCACAGTCTTTCAGCGGTAGTCAGCAGCGGAACCTATTCCACGTACCTAGGGAGAAATGGCTCTCATGGAAGAAGGAGGGTAGCAGCTCAGCCAGCCTCCTGTATCCTTGACTCTCCACAGTATCAGCTCAGAGGATCCACTCAGTGATGGGGAGAGACATGTTTTACAAATGTGGAAGAGTCCAGCAATAGCTCCTTTTCCTATATGCGACTGTAAATCTGCCTCTTTCAGCCAATGTGGACAGCAAATATAAGAGATGCTGGTTTGTTTTTTCTTATATCCATGAAATGAACCTCAGAAAGTCTGAGGCACAAGAATTAGACTGTCCTGACAATCACCCGGATGCTGCAGCCAGAATTTGAATGATTACACAGTGAGAAATAAAAATTGTTTTGCTATGCTGTCAAACATACAGTTTTGGGCAATTATAATTTTTTTAATCGTATACTGACTATTGAGCTATCTAAGGACTAGCTATAATAACGTATAGCATGAATAAATTGCAATGGGGAATTAAAACGAAATTAAAATCTATATGGAAAAAAAACTGATAAGTAGAGGGGCACCTGGGTGGCTCAGTCAGTTGAGCATCTAGATCCTGATCCCAGGGCTCTGGGATGGAGCCCCATGTCTGACTGCCTGCTTAGCAGGGAGTCTGCTTCTCCCTCTGCCCTTCCCCGCCCAACTCATGCTCGCTCTCTCTCTCTCTCAGTCTCCCAAATAAATGAATAAAATCTTTGAAAAAATCACTTAAACAAAAAACTGATAAGTAGAATATAGATATGATTAACATCTAAACATCATATAAATGAATGTTACACAAGTTGCTTAGCATGAGAAATTGCAAAAAATCTGCGATTAACTTGTGTTAATTTGACATCAAATGCAGCAGTTTTATTTTTAGCACTGTAAGAATAAACATGTAATTAGCTCTCAAAGAGGATGTATCATAAATAGTCCAGTCTGGCTATTTTAACCACCCAAATAATTCAAGGTTATTGGATTTTTTAAAATTATATATTCAGTTTTCATGATAAAAGTAATCTTTGTCATTAAAGACATGTTTGAAATTACAAAAAGGTAGAAAAAGAGAAAAATTACATTTTACTTTTACTTTAGGATTTCTACATACAGGTTTCCTTGCTTATTTGGGGCACATAGTCACAGTTTTATAATGCAAATGATTTGGTGTTCTTATTTTTTTCCTTAAATAAAAATCATCTTCCAATGCTATTATACCATACTTACAACAATAATTTCTATTATTATACATACCATACTTTCTAAATTGTATTTTAATAGATGTACAACATTCCATTAATTATTATTTATAATAGCATCAAAAAATACTGAGGAATCAATTTAATAAAATAAATGTAAGACTTGTACACTGAAAATTACAAAATGCAATTGAAAAAATATTTTTTAAGACCTAATAAATGGGAAGACATCCTGTGTCATGCATTGGAAGACTCAGTATCATTAAGATGGCAATACTCCCGAATTGATCTATAGATGCAATGTAGTCCCTCACGAAATTCCAACTGCCCTTTCCACAGGAATGGACAAGGTTGATCCTAAAGTTCACTGAACAGAGAGGCTCAATTAAGATGTTGAATCAGATGGTTTATTAATTAATTCAAAACCCGGGGCGCCGGGGTGGTTCAGTTGTTAAGCATCTGCCTTTGGCTCAGGTCATGATCCCAGGGTCCTGGGATCGAGCCCTGCATCAGGCTCCCTGCTCAGCCAGGAGCCTGCTTCTCTATCTCCCACTCCCCCTGCTTGTGTTCCCTCTCTAGTTGTCTCTCTCTCTGTGTCAAATAAATAAATAAAATCTTAAAAAATAATTAATTCAAAACCCACAGTGAGACACTCTGTCGGGGGCTATAGAATAGTTCGACATAGCATAGAGTCCAAGTGAGGTGAAAGATGATCCTCCCTGAATCTTGAATCTTTGGATTCCCTTCTCTCTCTCTCTCCCTCTCTCTCTCTCCCTCCCTTTCCTCCTCCCCCTCCCCCCGTCTTTTCCTTCGTCCCTCTCCCCACCACCCCCCTCATTCTGTCACAAGTACCAGAGTTGAGGTTGAGAGGTTAAGCCAGAAATGCCTGGGATCAATAATATGCACTACCTCCTTTGGAAAACACAGGAGCGAGTACTTCTGACGTCAGCTGTAGCTTGCCAACTAGCCTGCTGAACAACCATGGTTTTGTCTGCATTTCTTAACCCGAGCGCCATGGGGCCAGGATGGGTCCAAATGAGTAGCCAACCTAGGGATGATTAGCTGTCAACCTAGAAGTGACAGGATCTGTACCTTATGACTTGGCTGTCTCATATTTTCTTTCCGTAAAGAAACACTTTTGCTTGTTTCATCCTATTTATCATATATGTAATATGTCTTGAATGTTACTAATGTATCATCTATATTTAACATATTTTGTGAATTCTGCTCATGTTGTTCAAGCTACTTCTTTACTCATTTTCTATCTTTAACGCATCTTATGAGTTTTACCTACCACTCATAAGCTATTAGCTTATGTATTAACTTCGCTTAACACTTACAGGTTTCATCCATCCTGTCTGTGATGGTTAATTTTATGTGTCAACATAACTGGGCTAAAGGATGCCCTGATAGCTGGTAAAACATTATACCTGGATGTGTCTGCAAGGCTGTCTCTAGAAAAGATTAGCATTTGAATCAGTAGACTCAGTAAAAAAAGATTCACCATCATCAATGAGGTGACATCATCCAATTCCTTGAGGGCCAGAATAGAAATGAAATGGCATAGAAAAGGTGGAGGAAGGGTGGATTTGCTGTCTCTGGTTAGCTAGGACATCCATCTTCTTCTGCCTCCAGACATCAATACCTGTGCTCCTGATTCTGGGTCTTTCAGACTCAGACTGGGACTTCCACCCCTCATTCTCAGACCTTTGGGTTCAGACTGAATTACATCGGTGACTTTCCTGGTTCTCCAGCTTGCAGATAGCAGTTCGCAGGACTTCTTGGCCTCCATAACTGCATGAGCCAATCCCTATTGGCTCTTTCTCTGGAAAACCCTAACTAATACCCCATTTGTCTCTCTTGTCTTCTGTTACAGAATTAAATATTTCATAAATAAAATAGCAAACGCACATTATAAGGATCGAGAAAAATTACTGGATTTAGTCAATTTTTAGGGTACTTTCATATTCCTCTCTCTTCATAAAATACTACAAATTTTAGCCATTTGACCTTCCAAGCAAATATGAATCTTTGTAAAGTACTAGCCCCATTTGTTGACTGATTGTTAGATTTGGGTTGTTTTCATCCCTTGTCTCCTGATACAACTGTATCAGTCAAGAGACAGAAATGACAAGTTATATATTTTTTAAAGATTTTATTTATTTATTTGAGAGAGAGAATGAGAGAGAGCACATGAGAGGGGGGAGGGTCAGAGGGAGAAGCAGACCCCCCGCTGAGCAGGGAGCCTGCTGGGGGACTCTATCCCGGGACTCTAGGATCATGACCTGAGCCGAAGGCAGTCACTTAACCAACTGAGCCACCCAGGCGCCCCGACAAGTTATTTTAATATAGACAATTTAACATAAAGGATCAATAACTAGATATAAAGAATTATTAACTATGCTTTGGAGCTCTGAAAAGGTAAAACAGGGAACATTAAACCACCATGGAGGTAACAAGACTTTGGGAAGCAGATGGTCCCTTCCTTTTCGGGGGACTAAAGAGAAGCTTGGAGAAAGAGTCCCACAGAATTGAATCCCAGACCTCTGAGAAGGGGGTGCTCCATGGCACTGGAACCCCAACTTTTGTGAGCCACTGATGCTGGTGTCTCTTAAGGTGGTACTTTTTTTTTTTTTTAAGTAAGCTCTATACCCAACATGGGGCTTGAAATCATGACCCAGAGATCAAGAGTCATATGCTCTATTGACTGAGCCAGCCAGGCACCCCAAGGTGGTACTTTGATTTTAGTTCTTCAAGGGTTAGAAAACCTGCAAAATGGATTCACCTTCTGTCCCAGGAATCAGCTGCGGTTGCTGGAGTGAGGAAATATTGCTTGGGGGTTGCTCACAGCTTCCTGTCTATGAAGTCCCCAGGAAGGAGAAGCTCTCCTCCCTAGCCCTGCATCCTCCCTCAAGCAGAACCCACAGGGAACCAGTTGGCAAAACAGATATGTGGCTTGCAGAGACGAGCCCCCCGTCACAAAGCCTAGCAGAGAGGGTGGTTTGGAGCAAAGGGCCAATGACTTGGTAACTGGCACAACAACCCTGTCCAATGTAGCTAGATAATTTGGTATGTGTCATTATTACTGAAAAACGGGGGCAATTCCTTACTGACATCAGAGCTACGTATGAGCTGAAGACACAAGGGCCAATTTTTATTTCTACATGTGACAAACTGATGTTCTATTCCAGGTGAAGCCTTAGAATCGATCCCAAAAGGAGTAACGTACATTTCCTCTTTGAATGGGGAACCTATCCTAAATTATCAGTTAATAGTCAATACTTTATCCTCCTGAGTATTTAATTTATGACCCATGTTTCTTTCAGACTTTCAGAAAGGTCTATTTGGTAGTTCCTGCTAGGATATAATGATAAGATATTTCAAAGTGTTGGGCGCCTGGGTGGCTCAGTTGGTTAAGTGACTGCCTTCGGCTCAGGTCGTGATCCTGGAGTCCCAGGATCGAGTCCCGCATCGGGCTTCCTGCTCGGCAGGGAGTCTGCTTCTCCCTCTGACCCTCCCCCCTCTCATGCTCTATCTCATTCTCTCTCAAATAAATAAATAAAAATCTTTAAAAAAAAAAAGATATTTCAAAGTGTTAAAACTCTAGTAACTGTCCCCATTTTCTACAATTCTATAAAGGGTCACTCTCAATTGCCATGTGAATTTTTATCTGTATCCCATTGGGTATAAATGTGGCCAAAAAATTCTTTCTACTGAAATACTTAAACAATGATTCAAAATAAGCTCCATTTACCTAGAGGTATTATGCTAAGTGAAATAGGTCAGAAAAAGACAAATACCATCTGATTTCACTTATGTCTGGAATCTAAAAAGCAAGACGAATGAACAAACAAAACAAAACAGAAATAGACTCAAAGATACAGAGTACAAACTGGTAGTTGTCAGAGAGGAGAGGGTGGGGTGATAGGTGAAATACGTGAAAATACAAACATCTAGTTATAAAATAAATAAGTCATGGGGATGAAAAGTACAACATAGGGAATATAGTCAATAATATTGCAATAATTTCATATGGTAACAGATGATGTTATATTGGGGCACCTGGGTGACTCAGTCAGTTAAGCGTCCGACCCTTGATTTCAGCTCAGATCATGATCTCGGGGTTGTGAGACTGAGCCCGGCAATGCAACAGGCTCCACGTTCAGCATGGAGTCTGCTTGTCCCTCTCCCTCTGCTCCTCTCCCTGCTTATGCTCTCTCTTTCTCTAAAATAATAAGTAAAATCTTAAAAAAAAAAAAAGAAATATATATTTAGTCAGATGACCAAAATATATTTCTCAGATATATTTGATCTTCATTCATAGTTACTGAAAATGCCCCAGAGCATAAAGGTGAAATGGGTATCTTATTATTAATGAAGGCAACTTTTGGACCCTACCCAAGTGTGGAGGCTAGTTGCCAGGAGGACCAACCCTGAGATTAGAGGGTTGGAACTTCCAGTCTCATCCCCTGACCTCCAGGGTGGGGACGGGCTGGAGATTGAATCAGCCAATGGCTAATAACAATCATGATTCTGCAATGAAGCCTCTGTAAAGACCCAAGACAACTAGATGTGGAGAGCTTCCAGGCTGGTGAACATGTGTAGGTATGGGGAGAGTGGCACAATTGGAGAGGGCAGGGCAGCTTCGCACCCATTCCCCATACCTTGCCCTGTGTATCTCTTCATCGGACTGTTGATTCGTGTATTTTATCATATCCTTTAAGAAACTGGAAAACGTAAGTGTTTCCCTGAGTCCTGTGAGCTTCTCTAGCAAATGACAAGAACCTAAGAGAAGGTTGTTGGAACCTCAAATCTGAAGCTTATTGGTCAGAAGCATAGGTAACAGCCTGAGGTTTGAGACTGGCATCTAAAGTGGGGGTGGGGGGAGGGGGCAGTCTTGTAGGATTGAATCTGATGCTATCTCCAGGTAGAAGTGTCAGAGTTGAGTTGAATTCATGGACATACTGCTGGTGTCCAAGAATTGTTTGGTATTATGTGTGTGGGGGGAACATTCCCACAAAGTTAGAATTGAGTCCAGGAACCCTAAAAGAGATGGTAACTAGATCTATCATGGTGATCATTTTGTAATGTATATAAATGTTGAGTCACTATGTTATAACTGGAAACAAATATAATATTGTAAGTCAACTATCCTTCAACTAAAAAAATTGGAAGAATTAAAAAAAAAAAAAAGCAAAAATTAGCTCCATTCAAGGTATATTATAATACTGGTTATGTGTAGTTATTTCCGAAGAGCAAAACTCAGTTTAACTATCAAGGGAATTATACCAATATCCATTAACCACAAATGTATATCTTGAATAGTTTTTGAATATCAGTAGAAATTCAAAACTATATTGAAGTTTTAATAATTAATCAGAAATATGCAATGTTAATGAATCCCAATATATTCTGTATGACTTGTTATACACAGCAGGGGCATAGAAAAGCACACATCACACTATGTAAATGAGACCATAGAGTTGGGAAAAAACCCAGTACTCATTGAGGTCACACCTTCCCCATTTTAATTTTAAGTGGGTTTGCATCATATTATTGAAAGCAAAGTAAAACTAAACATTCAAATTGGTCACAAAGTAGTGTTAGGGGCATACTCTACTTACTAGAAAATGTTTCAAAGTAATATTATTAATGATGATATTCTTCAATTTTATATATCTGTTATCTAAAATAATAATTTTAGTGGCCCCTGGGTGGCTCAGTCCTTAAGCGTCTGCCTTTGGGCTCAGGTCATGATCCTGGGGTCCTGGGATAGAGCCCCGCATCGGGCTCCCTGCTCCGCGGGGAGCCTGCTTCTCCCTCTCCCTCTGCCTGCCGCTCCCCCTGCTTGTGCTCTCTCTCTCTCTCTCTCTCTCTCTGTCAGATAAATAAATAAAACCTTTAAAAATAAATAAATAAAATAATTTTAAAACCCCTACAGTAATAGAAGAATATGCAAGAATTGTTTACTATAGCAAAAGATACTGTTTTTGTGAAGAATGTAGTTTTAACAATGACACAAGTAGTTTCATTTATCAAAATATTTTTGAAAGATATACGTCCAGATATTAACCATTTTATATTATATATTTCTCCATTCATTCAAAACATTCTTTTTCAAGAAATATAAAAACTAGTTATTGCCCCTGCCCCGGTGGAATTTGGATTCAGTAATTCTAGAATTTTAGCTCTATCCATCATGGGTATTCATCTTTTTTCATGCAATCTTGGAACAGTTACTGGCCTGAGAAAGTACTGATTTGGGATTGAGATGTAATATTTACAAGTTTTGTCACAATGGTAACATCTGGTTTAGTCTCTGCCATCTCACCTTAGTGAGCAAGTGCCTATGATATGTTATCTATTTAAATAACATGTTCAACCACTGTTTATAGAATACACACAGGGTTATAGGAAAGGTTAAAGCACTTTTCCAGATAAGAAAAGCCGAACAAGAATTTCTTGGTCAGATTGTATCCTTGATCAAATTCACCAGATCACAGTCAACAGATAATCGACTTGATGATAGAACGGGCACAGAAAGAAAGAAAAGACTTTTCTTCTGTTTGTATCTATTCGTTTTAATTAGTTTTTGGTTATTGGGTTGCTGTAGGAAGTTTTAAGAACTTGTTATTGCTAATTAAGTTTTAAAGACATAAACATACACAGTGATTGTGCCAACGGGGGGAAAGGTTTATTTTGCATACCTTAAAGACTGTACTTCCTATACATTCAGAAATTTCTTGCAATTTTTAGATGATTAATATGCAGGTTGCTAAACCATAACAGCACAGCAAGTAGATAAAACACATTCAGTTCAGGAGTGAGGCACTAGGATTTCAAGATGCTTATGGAATGATTATTAAATTCACAGAAGGACTCTCCATTTTGAAAATGCTTGTTTTTACTAATAACTGTGACTTAAAGTGACTCTATGTGCCAGGTCCACAATTTAATCTCTAATTAATCTCCACGATTTTATGAGGAGGTTGTTCACACATGAGGAAAATGAGTTAAAAAGCTAATGACATTTGTCTAGGATCACACAACCAGTAAATGACACAGTGTCATTCTTCCCACAGGAGCACCTAAGAGCTGGATTTTCTTAAAACAATTATTTTCCCACAGTTTCAAGGGGCCATTTCACAAAGTTAAAACCGTAAAAATCTGGAAACTCCAGGAGCTAGAGAATCTCTTGGTTCAAAGCCTGATGTTGAGCCTAATGCTGAGAACCTAAGACCAAAATAACTCATGGCTTATATCTGGCATCTCCAGCAGCAGGAGCCCCTGTACCTGAAATGCCCTAACAGTATGCAATCCAGCCGCACGCTGGAGATCTTTCCGTAGATGTTCCTTCTGTGCTGCTTAAATTCCAAAGCTAACCCTCCTATGCCCGATTCCCTCTTTAGTTGTCAACTTAACCTCTGCTAAGGTTTCAGCTGATATTTCGAGGTGCTGGTTATTATTAGCTCACGAGTTCATTCACACATCCAGAAGGTCTAGAAACTAGATAAGCTTTTGATGCATCTCCAATGTCAACCACTGTACCGGACACATAGTAGAATGTATTGAATGGATAAATAAAGGAACAAATAGGTGAATGAATGAAAGTTTGTCACAAGGACAAGGGAAGATATTTGGGATTCACTCTCAGTTTAGCATGGCGACCAAGCCTAGAGAGAGAAGCACCATCTCTACTGCACTGTTGCTCTCCATCTCTTCTGGTCATTTGCTCATTTTTTTCTGCTGGAACTCTAAGATGCGAACACTCAATTAGATCAGCATATCTCTTCTAATCAGGGGTGGGCTGGAAAATGCTGAACAACTGCTGGAGGCTGTAGGGAAGGTAGCAAAAAGCATAACAAGACTCGGTACAGACTGCTGTAGACACCCAAGACGATTTAAGAGCCTAAAATTGTAGAATTAAAAGATCTTTCTAACTTATCTAATCCAATGCTTTCTCTGGTTTACAAGGAATACCTGAAATCCAGCCAGAAGCATCTCCTTAAGGTTGTAGAGTTAGTGGACCAGAAACCAGATGACACACTCCTCACCCTTTGGGTGGTTCCAACACATTGGTCCATGGATACTGCTCATCTTTCCACAGCATATCAAAAAAAGAAAACAAGTGTGTTCACTTTATTATTTTCACTTATTTAGCACTTTTCATAAATAACGTAATAAATGACTCAATCTCTTCACTTTGGAGAACATTCTAATTCCATCCCATCAGGTAGTATGCTTATCATTATTCTTCTAATTAAAGTAAATACTAGGTCTGAGATGAAAATCAATTGCCACGATGGAAAAGGAATCAAAATCTGCCAGTATCTGGTAACACTAGGAGCTAGAGCTTCCTTGACATTAAGTAATCTAAGGATAAGCCCCTCCCCCACCACCATGATATTTTTCAAGACTCTAAGGCAGTTTTTATGCCTTTATCAGAGAAAGAAAGGGTGAGAATCTACCTATCAAAGTAGCTAGGAGAGTTCCAAAAGTTCTCTTCCCTGGCAGTCATTTACAGATTTAGGAAAGAAACCCAGGTACTCACTTTTGCTATCTCTGTCAACATTCCTTCTGGTCAAAAGCACATTCAGTTATTCAAAAAAGAACAGATTCCTGAAGTCCAAGAGATCTGAATTCAAGATCTAGCTCTGCCTTCTTGGGGCTGAGACACTTGACATCTCTGGACTTCAAATCCATCTGTAGAGTGGAAAAGATATGAATATTCCTTACTTTTCAGTATTATGGAAATCAAAAATGCTGATGCATGAGAAAAGATAAATAAGTAAATACACTGCATTATTATTTACCAATATGTCTTCCAGAGAGGAAAAAAAATGTGTTTAAAATAGACTAGCCTTTAGAGAATAAGTCAAGATTGTTCTGTTGGTAATTGACTTGTGCAATACACTACTTTCCAATTTTGAGAATTGATTACAGAGAAGAAAAGGAAGATACCATGTATCTGTCTGAACTGAAGATCCTTTAGATCAGTTCACTCTCCATTTGCCAAATTCAGGCAAATGGTAACTACCTCGGAAGTTTTAAAATTTCACAAAAATCCTACAAAAATAGGCTTATGAGAAATGGCATTGTTTTTAATGATGTGATTAATTTATTACTTTCTCCACAATTATTATGCTTTTGGGTTTAAAAAAGTCAGAGAAAACAGTGAAGAAAAAAATACATAAGGCTGCATAAATATGTGTAGGCTATGGCTCAGGTTCCTCTGTGATCTCCTCTCCCCTGGACTCGTTGTCACTTACATGAAAGAGCCGAAACCCCTGGATTTCCCCGTCTCAGCCACTATAATTCTGTGGCTGTTTGCAGATCAGCTTTTCACAGCTTATTCACATTTCTTCACACAGGGTAATAAGGTCGTGAAAGAGTATTATTTTTAATTGAAGAGTTGGCTCCCAAAACAATATTGAATTCAATGGCTATTGAGTATTTGAAGAAGGACAATGATCTTCTCAAAGTTTCAGTAACAGTACTCGTTCCATGGAACTACATTTTCCACTTGGAAGTATGTCTCAGTTTGGGCAGGGGATCTTATTGTGCGAGGGTGTTTTTTTTACTGCAGAAAAAGACATCTTTCACTTGGAAAGTGTTCACCTTTTTCCTGAAGCGAGCTAAATTCGGTAACACGTGGTAAAAATAAAATAAGTTCATTATGTGGAGCTTCAGGTGTATGGAAGCTGTCTAATAAGACTTTAATCACTGTGGATTTTAATGGCCTGTCCTTATTTTTTTCTGTTCTGGGACTTACCTGCCAAAGTACCTAGCTGAGAAGTATCCCATCTAAATTTTAATGAATATCAATGCTGACTAGTCTCTGTTTAAAAAAAATATATATTTTTTTTCTTTTTACCAAATGGAAGAATTGCATAAACCATGGTGACAAATGTTGTGGGAGGTGCCTTTCCCCATCTGCGTCCCTGCTACCCTTCCTGGGTTGCATTCAGTCATCGGGAGATAAGCCCTCCTCAGTCCTGGGTTGGGGTGGGGATGGAGGCTGAACCTCCACTGGTCACTCCACCAGGGGCTGGTCAAGCACCAGCCAGTGACAGGAAAGGAGAGATCTATGGGGAACTCATTCTAAAGTAGGATGCCGGAAGGAATGTGCTCTTCACTGCTCATCCAGCCTCTGGATACTTTCGTGCGAGCACATGATGTTTGTAGCTGCGGCAGCCACCTTGTGACCATGGGGAATGGCAGGAGGTGGCCCAAAGCTGTGAGGAAGACAGAGCAGAAAGATGAAATCATTTCCCTCCACGATGTCTTAAGCCTCTGACTTAATGACCCAGGGGAACACCCTCCCTCCAGACTGCTTGCTATGGAACTTTCCCCTGAACTTTTGAGCTGAGTGTTCTGTTACTATCAGACAACACTATTACCACTGACACTTTATATAACTAACAATCCATTAGTTAATTTTTTTAAAAAAAATATTTATTTGAGAGAGAGAGAGATTTCAGAGAGTAGGGAGGAGGGGCAGGGGGAAAGAGAGAATCTCAAACACACTCTTCACTGAGCATGGAGCCTGATGCGGGGCTCGATCCTATGACCCTGAGATCACGACCACAAAATGACAACCTGAGCCAAAACCAAGAGTTTGGAACTTAATGGCTTTTGCCACCCAGGCACCCCAACAATTGATTACTTAAGTGATTGTTTTTTGGAGTTGAATACCAGAATGCTCAGAGCTTAACTTAATAAATCATTACCCTGTCCTGGTCTTAGTTCTAACAGGACATCAAACTAATTTTAATGGGTGTGATTTTTTTCCCCCTCAATCCAGTGTAGACAGACATATATCAAGAGCCTTCACCAAAAAGATATGGAGAAGTAGAATAGATTTTTCCTTCTTCAGTCTGCCTGTCCCCTGCCTCTTAGTACCTTGGGTACCTGGAGTGCTCTGACAACAAATTCCCATGTACATTTTAAGACTTATTCTCAGGGCACCTGGGTGGCTCAGTCATTAAGTGTCTGCCTTCAGCTCAGGTCATGATCCCAGGGTCCTGGGATGGAGCCCTGCATCGGGCTCTCTGCTCAGCAGGAAGCCTGCTTCTCCCTCTCCCATTTCCCCTGCTTGTGTTCCCTCTCTCCCTATGTCTCTCGCTGTCAAATAAATAAATACAATCTTTAAAAAAAAAAAACCTGAGTCAAATACTAGCTCCAAAGCACACTAGCAGCAAGTAATGGGCAAAACCACTTAATGCCTTTCAACCACAATCCCATTTAAGTCAGGTGGCAATGGAAAGGAAATGTAGGCAGAGGAAACCAAATCACAGAATCTTCCATTCCCATTGTCCATAAAAAGTGAGTGGAAGAAATAGTGTGAAAGAAAAAGGTAAAACACATCTGCAATGATCAAAAAGCGTGACTTCATGACAAGAGGTAGCCGTTTAGTTAATAAGCAAATCCCGGTGAAACTCCCAGCAGATTCATCAGGAGTCAGTAGAATTCCATGGATATATCTCAAATATGGAGAAATATATTTTAGGGATATCTTTATCTTTCTTCTTCTGCTGTATGTGTGTGTAGGGGGGGGTGTTGGGAGGATTTAATATAATAATAAAATGGTAGCGGGGAAGGAGGGCCCTGCTTCCTGCCCAAAGCAGAGGCTATAGGGTGTAGTGCTGGCTTGGGAACCGCCTGAATCCGGGGGTCGTCTCCCCAAGGGCACAGTGTCCATCCTGCTTTCTCTCTCTGGGTTAAAGGAGCAATTGGATAGGGCAGTTAGCAAAGTGTGAAAAGAGAAAGTAAAACTCTGTAGATTCAGTTTGTAAACCAGTCCACTTGGCCATCTTAAAGAACTCCAACTTACTAGGAAATAAAATGGAATCTGGGATAAAAATCTCTTTGAAGGGTGTGTTCAATAAATGAATGAAGGCACAGTACCATTCCTATTTGAACATCTAGAGCCATTTTCAACAACTGCTCTTTCATTAGAATAAGCAAGAAATTATTTTTTTATTCATTACAGCTTTATTAATTATGTCCACAACAGAAGCATCACTACTCAGTGGTAAGATTTTATTACAAGGGAAGGGTGACAGTGCACACTGCATACTTTCCAAAGGTGTGCCTTTGTTAGAAAAAACTAGCTAGGGTGTGGTAGAGCCCACAGTCCGTGTGAAGTTACAGGCTTATAAAAACAAAAGCATTAGAGTACGCTTCATTCACAAACAATGGAAAACTCACAAATTCGTGCGTTACTTACTCTGATGTTCAGATTAGAGCCAGAAACAAACAAAAAATAGTCTTATTGAGAATTTTGAAGTAATTCTTTTTTAAAAGTCTTTTTTTTTTTTTTCTGTTTTAACAATGATATATTTCTTTACACAAATTTGTAGAGCATTGCAATGCAAGGCAAAACATTGGTTGGGCTTGAAGGAATATGGAATTCCAAATAATACTATTGCTGGGTTTGTGTGAAGACCAGTAATTAACAGTGAGTATCAACAAATGACATTGTTTGTTAACTTGGGCACACAGGAAAACTTAATGCGCTCTGGCTCAGAATTGTAAGAGGGGCTGCCCTATTTACCTTTCCCATATTCAGAAACAAAAGATCTAACCTTGATTTAACTGTGGTTACAAATAAAATACTTGGTGCTTTATTTCTTTGTTTACTCAAAATTATTTTCTCAAAATGTAGTTACAGTGGTGCATAAGGCAAAGTCTACAGCATAATATTCACTCCCTTTTACCCTAGCAAAGAATTAACAAAAAAAAAAAAAAAAACCTATCACAGGAATTTCTGACAATGTTTTGGGAAAAAAGTGTGACATTTTTTGAGTAGCAATGGAATGTTTTTTTAGTGGGTAGAAACAGTAACAGCAGACACTCAGAAACATAATACTTTATTTTTTTTATTTAATGGAAAAATACTTTTCAAATGTATTGCAATTTATCTATAGAAAATAATCAGTTTGTAGAAAAGTGAAATCATTGGCTAGGTTTCGGAATCATAAAATTCAGACAAAAACTTAAGGAGTTTTATTTACATGGAGAATGGATTTAAAACTCTAACATAAAAAAATATTTTTTTAAAAATAGTCATTGTGTTAAGATGGTCAGGTAATGGGCGCCTGGGTGGCTCAGTTGGTTAAGCGACTGCCTTTGGCTCAGGTCATGATCCTGGAGTCCCGGGATCGAGTCCCGCATCGGGCTCCCTGCTCGGCAGGGAGTCTGCTTCTCCCTCTGACCCTCCTCCCTCTCATGCTCTCTGTCTCTCATTCTCTCTCTCGCAAATAAATAAAATCTTAAAAAAAAAAAAAAAAAGGTGGTCGGGTATTTAGGGGTTTTATTTTTACAAATATAATGATATACATAGGGATATATAGATACCAAAAAACCCAATTTATATCAATGGTTTTCCATACCTATCTTTTCAGTATGGGAAAACATTTAAAACAGAATCAGTTACTCAAAACTGTAAGGCATCATCTGCATTGCTTAGGATTACAGGTGGATTGCTGACATGATGATCAATATCCATTAAATGTCCATGGCACTTTATAAAACAAGTACTCAGACATTTTTATCCCAAAAATGCATTCAATGAAAATAAAAACACCCACATGAATTCCTAGTTTACCATTTCCTTTTTGCAGCACCCGCCTTACCATAACGTCACACAGGAAGACTGCTACAGAATTCTTTTCATCA